GGCCAGGGCCTCCTCTTCCCCATACCAGTCAAGGATCTGCTTCCAGGGGACCCACTCAAACCATTCTTTCTCCTTCTTGGAGTTGGCGACTTCTTGGCTTTTTTTCAAGCCCCCTTCCTGGGCCTGACCAGTCTTCAGGAAGTGCAGAAGCAGTTGCTTCTTCTGATCCAGGACACCTGGGCCACCCATCTGGAGCCAAGCTGCTTCGGCTTCAGGGTCTTTGTTCCTGGCTCCTTCATATTTTTTCCACAAGGCAGCTCTGTCTTTGTTGGAGATTTCTTGCCAGAATGCAGCCTCTGACAGGTGGCCTTCTTTCAGGCCTTGGATGGCTGCCTGTGTTTTTTCGTGAAGTTTGAGCCTGGAAGAAGTCAAAGTGGCACCAGCCTCAGAGCCTTCTTTCAGGCTTGCCTGGGCTGCCTTTGCTACACTTTCTGGAAGCATCTTTGCTGCTTCCTCTATCTCAGCCTCAGCAGCTGGTTTCCCTTCTTCAGAAGCATCTGGTTGGTGGCCTTCTTGCAGGCCCTCTTGCTGTTCCTCAGCAGTTGCCCCCTGGGTTGCTTCTTCCTGAGTTGCTTCGGGCTCAGAAGCTCCTACTTGGCCTTCTTGCAGGCCTTCTTGCTGCTTCTCCTCAGCACTTGTCTCTTGTGTTGCTTTCAGTGGTTGGCTTTCCTCATTTTTTCATTCAGTTTCTGTGTTTTTTTTTCTGCCTTTCTTTCAAGCCCTCAAGGGATGCAGGCCTTTTCTTGGCCATAGCCTCCAAGTACGGCTGGGGATTTGAGTTCTGAAATTGCTACAGAAAAAAAAGGTTTTGGTTTACATGAAGTTTGAAAGTTAACATTAAAAAAAAAACATGCGTGTGAGTTTGCCAGACCCCAGGGAACTCCACACGATGTTTTTCGCGCAGGTTTCGCGCAGTTGGGAACTCCACAGGATGGTTTCGCGCAGGTTTCGCGCAGTTGGGAACTCCACAGGATGGTTTCGCGCAGGTTTCGCGCAGTTGGGAACTCCACAGGATGGTTTCGCGCAGGTTTCGCGCAGTTGGGAACTCCACAGGATGGTTTCGCGCAGGTTTCGCGCAGTTGGGAACTTCACAGGATGGTTTCGCGTAGTTTAGGCGCAGTTGAAGTTATTTTTTTAAATTATAACATTTTTATGACATGCTTTTTTTAATTAAATGTTTCTTCTTTTTTCAAATAGTATTGGCTCTCTTTCAGTTACCTTAACTATTATTTCTTATTATTTCATTTTATTTTATTTTTCAATATTTTATTTACTTTTAAATTTCTTATTATATTATTTATTATCTTTTTCTTTTTTATTTATTGGTCGCTGAAGCAGGGGGGCCTTCTTTCAGGCCTGTCCCCTGGTGAGACAGCCTGAGGTGGTTTGGCTTTCTTTCAAACCTGTTTTTGGTTACTTTTCTTCCTTGTGGCTTTCTCTCAAGCCAAGTTTTTGTGCATGCCAATTTCTTCCCTGTGGCTTTCTTTCAAGCCTCACAGGTCGGAAGCATCCACCTCTTTCTCTCTTTTTTCTTTTCCCTCCTCCTGCCCCTCCTCCTCCTCCTTGACCACTTTCTTCCTTTCCTTTCGCTTCTTGGCTGTTTTCCCCTCCTCCATATCCTTGTCATCTTCCTTCTCCTTCTCCTTGGGCTTCTCTTCCTTTTGGGGCTTCTTCTCCTTCTTTGCAGCTTCCTTTTCCTTGGAAACCTTTTTCTCCTTTCGCTCCTCCTCCTCCTTTGCAGCTTTCTTTTCCTTGTCCTTGGGGGTCCTTTTTCTTTGGCTGCTCCTCCTCCTCCTTTTCCTCTTTCTCCTCCTCCTCCTGCCAGTCTGGCTGCTCCTCCTCCACAAATACCTCCTCCTCTTCACTGTATTCATATGAATAAGAAGAGGAGGAGGATCTGCCGGCTTTTTGTTTAGGCCTTCTTTCAGGCCTGCTGCTGCTGCTGTCCTTCCTTTTTGGCCTTCTTTCAGGCCTGCTGCTGCTGTCCTTCCTTTTTGGCCTTCTTTCAGGCCTGGCCCCTGGCCCTTCCTGCAGGACAACCCCTCTGGCAGGGCTGGGGCTCATCTCCTGCTTGCTGAGCCATGCAGCCTTCTCTTCCAAGAAGGCTGCCTTCTCTTCCAGCAACTGCTTTCTTTCAAGCATTAGTTGCTCCTCCTCCTCCTTCACCTCCTTCTCCCTCTCCTTGATCATCCTCCATTTCCTGCTCCCTTCATGCAAAGGCTGAACCTTGTCTTCCTTAAAGCCTTCTTTCAGGCCCTTCTCTTTCCCGGCTTGGACTTCAGGGTCTCTGGCCCTCAAAGCCTTTCTCGCTTCCCTTCCCCTATTGCCCCTGGCTTCTTGCCTGAAAGGGTCCCAATCCTCCTCCCCTGGTCGATGCTCAGGGACAAAAGCTGGCCTTCTTTCAGGCCTGCTGCTGCTTGCACCTGACCCCTTTTCTTTGGCCTTGGCTTTGCCTTTGCTTTTCCCTTTTTGGCCTTCTTGCAGGCCTTCCCTGGCTGCCTCTGCAGGGCTTGGGCCAAAGAGGCGGCCCTGTGTGCTTCTGGGAGCCTCCTCCTCCTGTCTCCTCTGCCCCCTGCGCAGTGAGTTGTCAGAGGATGATTCCTCCTCCTCATCCCTGTCCCTCCACCTTCTCTCCCTGTCTCTCAGCTCCCTATCAGGCTCCCTTTCCCAGCCAGTCCAGGTGTCGCCATCATCCCAATCCTTTTCATGACCCCAGGGCACATAGCCAGCATAAGCTCGGCCTACCCACCAGGTCATGTGGTTTCAGATGGCCTTCTTGCAGGCCTTGAGCTGGAAGATTTGCAAGTGATTGAATTGCTGGGCCTTCTTGCAGGCCTTAAGTTGAAGCGCGCTTAGAGGTTGAAAGGTGCCCCCCCACCTATCTTCGGTTTTGAGGCTCAAAAGGCTGCAGGCAACAAACAGATTGCTTTCGCCTACTATGTTAAACCCTTTTTGGTGAACATAACACCCCTGGAACACTCAGGTCATAACCTAAGTACAAAAAGAATGACAGTGAAAACGGTGAGGTTTTTCTTTAAATTTCGTTGGCTATCCCCTGCCCCACAAAAACAAACACTTTACCCAAACCCCAAACCACAATTTTTTTTGGCCAAGAAAAAAGTCCTGGCCACGTGCTTTGCACATGGCTGCGGCCTGAACCCTCCTAGTGGCCTTCTTTCAGGCCTTGCCCTGTTAGAAAGGTGTATGCCTTCTTTCAGGCATTCAATCTACATTTTTGACTAAATCGTCTCTTTTTTCTTTCATGTTTTCCTTTGTTATGTCCTCCTCCATGGCCACCTTTTCCAGCTCCAAAATCACAGCGTGATGCCCACCTGGGAAAATCTTTCCCATTCTTTTGGTGCAGCCAATGATGAGCTTCCAATCTCTTCCAAAAAGGCCCATGAGATAGGCTTGGTCCTTGCCCATGACTTTTTTCACTGCTGACCATGGCCTTCTTTCAGGCCTTGGCCCTTCTGCTGCCACCAATGGTTCTGGCTGTGGTGCTGCTTCTTTTTTTGGTCCTTGCTTCTCTGTGGGCCTTCTTTCAGGCCTTAAGCTTTTTGCCTTGGGCAAGGAAGCTTTCTTCGAAGCTGGCTTTTTTTTGCATTCTTTGCTGGCTGGCTTTTTTTGGATTTCTGACCTTCTTTCAAGCCCTGGTCTGCTCTCAACCAACTCTTGGGCTGCCCCTTGTGCAGCTTTATCCAGCTGCTCCTTGCAGCTTACCCTCATTTTTTCCAGAATTGTCATGTTTCTGGAAAAGCAATCTTTCACTTCTTCTTCTTCTTCTTTTGCAGCCTTTGGAGAATTGAGAATGGCTGGCCAGCCATGGGAGTCCACAGAAACATCTGAAACTTGTAGTTTCAAAGTTCTGGCCTTCTTGCAGGCCTGCTCCTCGGGTTCTTTCAAAGAAGCAGAGCTGGAACTTCCTTGGCCACCAGCCTCTGCAGCTTTCGTAGAAGAAGTCTCCTTGGCAGCTTTGGCCTTCTTGCAGGCCTGGTCATCCTCAGGACCTGGGGCTGCTTTCTTGCAAGCATCTGGCAAATCCACAATTTCAAGAATGGATTGCCTTTGAGCCCCTGTAGCTCCCTGCAGGCACTGCCTTAGTTTCGAAGAGTCTCTTTTCAGTCTTCTCACATGGCTGAGCAAGCAGACAAATTGACTTGCAAGCTTGCCTGCCCACAGGTCATCCTTCCACTCACTGTCGTTGTGAGTGTACCCATATTTGAGGATGCACTGCTTCAACTGCCCAGAGGGAATTTCTCCTTCTGAGATTTTGTAGAACTCCTTGACATACTTTGCATTGTGGTGCAAACCTGCAGAGCTCACAGCTGTGCTTACACTTTTCTCCTGATAGTCACCAAGTTTAAAAGCATCAGCACCTTGGGTGGCCACAGCTGTCTCAAAAAATTTTCGCAAAGCATCCAAGTCCACTGGTGGCACCAATGACCTGCGTGCTCCACCCTTGGATGTCATGGCTTTCTTTCAAGCCCTAGCAAGCTGAAAATCCTCAGATTCAAATCCCTTGAAGATGATTGATCTTTCAAGCCCACAACACACCAGCTGAAACCCCAAAACTTTGAAGAATGGCCTTCTTTCAGGCCCAGACCAGGCAATGAGTTTAAACCTGCTATAAGCGAAAACAGCTCTGGCACATATGAGTATGAAATAGAAGCTTGCGCGTTGTGAATGCCTCTAATGGCCCCCTACATGCTTGAAAAATGGATCTGACAATTGTAGCTGAAGACTGATGATGGTCTTGACTTGCTGATGATACTACTATATGATATTGATCATGCTATTGATCGATATTGATTGGAAATATTGATCTTTTCTTTCAATCCTCGATATTGAAAAACATATTTTCCTGGTATTGAAAAAAACATTTTCAATATTATTGATCAGGATTGATCAGGATTGATTTTTTTCAATATCGGATCCTCAGGGCAACTGGTCAGGGACCATTAGTTGTAACATGTTGTAACCCAAATGGCTCTGATAGGCTACTCCGAATCGGCGAATCCTCCAACATTCATCCAATCAATGGCCATTTCAGGAACCTAAAATGGAGGTACCTACCATATATAAGGCCTATTTTTCAGGCCTATGTAAGGGAATATCCCTAGAAAATCCAACTGTTCATCCAATTTTTCCCTCTCTTCAAGTCGCCTGGAGCTATGCCCCCCGACCGGGTCCGACACGGTCGGCTTCACCAGCTTCGTTTAAACATCCAAGATAGCTATGGGAAATCACCATGGCTTTATGGCTAAATCATCTATATATCTCTATATACATATATAATTAATTCTAATTATATCAATGGGCCATTTTCCAGGGCTATGATAAATAATTTTTTCTGCTTTCGCAATCACTGAGGAATTATTTATCCAGTCGGTTTTTTCGCCCAAACCGCGCGCAACGAACGCAACGAACGCAACGAACGCAACGCGACGAACCTCGATCTTGATCTCGTGCTCGTTGACCTTTTTGGGAGACACGGCTCGCAAGAATTCGCTGGAGACCCTGGGCGCCACGCATGGTGCAACGCGGCGCAACAGCGGATGGAGGCCAAGTGACTCACGCAACGGGAAGGTTGGCTCGTTTTGGGTGTGGAAAAAGAGGCGCAAAACAGGCTGAAACACCAAGAAATTTGAGTTTGAAACATCTGAAACATCTTGAAACATCTAGAAACTGGATATTAAAGATTATAAAGTGTATGTAGTTGAGAAATGTGCCCCGAAAAAATGTCGACCCAAGGAAACGCACCCGAAAACATGGTCAAGCACACGACCAACCAAATCTCACCCATCAGGCTCCCTGGCTCATGCACGGTGACCAAGGGCCTCCATACTTGGCCGAGAGAGTCAACTGGTCAACCAATCCGCGTGACTAGCAAACAATATCAACGAACCATGTCTGTTTCACGACGGCTGCAAAAACATGTTTCAAATCAAGGCGGGAAAAAAAACATCAGAAGTTGTTTCATCTTCAATTGATGTTGGTTTCCATGAAATACTAGCAGATTTCCATAGATTTCCCAGCATCATTGAAGAAACATGTTGGAAACCAAGACACCAAGCGATTCCAAGCCAGAGCAACTCTCTGGCGCCCCGGCCTTGCCGTGATCGTCATTGGTGCCTTGGGATCTCTTCTCACCTCCAACAGCAACTTGGAACGGCGGTCACAAGTGAGGATGGTGAGCACAACGTATGTATATATATATATATATTGGATGTATATATATATATAAATAATTATATATATAATACTATATATATATAAATTATCCACCAAACAAGCAGTTTTAGAGGTTTGTTGGGTGAGTCAAAGATCATTTTTTCTGTGTCTTGGTTTTGATTCATCGGGTGTGTTTGACCCAGGGGATCAGCTGGTGGCTGCAATGTCCCTGGAGCCTCAATGTCCTGAGGACAAAAGAGGGATCATCGGATAGTTGTTCAATGGGGAAGAAATGATCTGGTTGGTGGTGCAAACCAACCATTTTGAAAAATATGATGGAGTTCGTCAAGGGAAGGATGACATCCCATATATGAAATGGAAAATAAAAATCATCTTCCAAACCACCAACCAGGAGAGGGATAGGGATAGGACCTAGATGTTTGGTCCCGGCTTTCCAGCAGTTTTTCTTAGGTCGAAGTTTAGGGATAGTTGTTCTTCAGGTCGAAAGCATCATTCATTCCCCAACAGATCCTCGCACCTCCATAGTAGCAAGTTCCTGGGCCCAAGGGGCTGCTACTTTGGGTCACCATAGGTCACCATCTATGAAAATCGCCTCTATAAATCGAACTCCACCTTTTCAAATCCCACTTAAATCCATTAAAATCACATGAGCTCACCCATTTTTCCTTCATGGTTTATTCACCACTTTCCAACAGAGGATGACTATCTGAGAACCCCCGCCATGGGCGCAGCTCGTCCGGCCAAGGCAAAGTGAGTGTGCACCAAAGGGCCCTGCGGGTCACTTGGGTCGAGGGGGTTGGAAATGCTGATGGGGCAGACATAAAATAAGTATCTATCTAATAGTTATCTATCTACCTACCTGACTATATTTATATACATATACATATAATATATATATATATACATGATATATAGAAATGTGTGCATATATATATATATATAAACTCAACATATCTTGTATATTTACATGCTTTAAATATATACGCACATCTTCCATGAGATCCCAAAGCACCAAGTGCCTTAGCACGAGACAGCAGCAAGGTGTCTCCATGCAGACCAAGGATACCCTTGGGGATCTGTTTCACCTGGCAAAGGATTGGGCGAACAGCATGTGATGTCAATTTATGGGCCATTTACCCTCTGGTAAACAAACATAGCTATTGAAAATGGCCATTGAAATAGTTGATTTACCCATTAATAGTATGGTGATTTTCCATATATAGTTATGTAAATGTTTACCAGAGGGTATGGGGAACAAAAAACATCACCTATAGTAAGCCCCAAAGAAATAGACACACCCAAAAAAGACTAACATTACAGACTCATAATTTCACCAACAACGCTAAATAGTTTATTACTTTCAAAAAAATATAACTAACATGATAGACTAATACAACTAACTTATGTGTATATATATATAATATAAATAAAATTAACAAATAAGTATAAGTAACAGAAGTCATGAGTTTCCCAAACAAAAATCTGACCACGGAAAGTCCCGCGTCAGACCTCAACATCTGCTCGCAACGCTCCCGGAGATGTCGAGGTTCCCTCGGCGAGCGGCCCGTGGGCCTTAGGTTCAACGGGAATTCCAGGATCCTGAAATGGAGGTACGTTAGTACCATATTTTTAGCCATATTTTGGGGGTATATCCCCTTACATAGGCCTGAAAAATAGGCCTTATATATGGTAGGTACCTCCAATAAATCGATTCCTGAAATGGCCATTGATCTGTTGGATGGTAATATGGGTTTGGGTCAAGATTAAAGACCTGTGAAACCACCGATTTTCGTCTATTTTGAATACTTGGTGGCTCATCCCACGAATGGTTTGAGTGTGGGTTAGACGCTTAGTTAGTTATAACTTACCACTTTTTTGAGTGGGATAAGTATGCTTAATCCACAAACAACTGGGGTCACAATCCACTTACTAAGTGGGATGAACCACCAAGTACATACACACACACATATATATATAACCTCTGGTAATTTAACATAACTAATTATAGAAAATCACCATACTATTAATGGGTAAATCAACTATTTCTATGGCCATGGCTTCAATAGCTATTTTGACATAACCAGAGGATTCACTAACCTGACACGTTCGGAGTTCGGGTTGGATAATTCCATCATTTCCCCCACAGGTTTCACAAAAAAAAAAACGGATCCAGATTCTCCTGGTTTAGTAATAGACTGAAGGGATTCATGGGATATTATATATATATATATTATATTATATATATATAGAGTTATATAGAGTTATATATATATAATCTACTTCACCAACTTGACATGATCATTTTTTTGAAGAACCGGATTCAGAAACGCTTAAGAACCGGGGCTATCGTACTTGAAATGCACCCAGCGGAGTCGATTGATTCTTGCAGCGCAGCTCCTGAATATCCAGCAGTTTTCTAAGTGGCCAACAGTTGGCTTAGTGTTTAGAGAAATCTGCAAACCATGGTTTTTTACCTGTTTTTACCCTCTGGTTATTTAACATAGCCATGGAAAATCAACATTTTTACTAGGTAAGCCCAGGTAAACCATCTTTTTATCCATGGTTTTGGGAATGTTTTTGTGGGAAACAATATCGTTGAACAGGTACATTTGTACTCCCACTGCTGACCCACAGGGAGCAGCACAGTTTCAGGTCGCGCAGGTCGCATTTGATTCTGAACCTGGGCAAGGCTGATTGGAGGTCCGATCTTTGTGTATGTATTGTATAGTACGTATATACCAGTAGTACCGCACAAGGCGGTGGCGGAAGTTTCAAAAATGAAAAACCTATAGGAGAGGTGAGTTGGTGTGGCGCAAAAATGGCAGAGCGAACCCACTGATGGATTGAAAGGTGGTTGAGTGTTTCTGCCTTTCTGTCTTTCTCTTTCTCTTTCTCTCTGTCTCTCTCTTTCGCCATCTATCTACAGAGTTACCTTTCTAGCCATCTACCTATCTACCTGTCTATTCATGTAGCTATCGTTCGATTTGTTTGTTCACCTAACTCTTAAACTCTCCATCTTTCTGTCTATCCAGCCATGCATCCATCCACTTACTTCTCTCTGTTAGTTTTTTTCCGTCCATCTCTTCATCGATCCATGTCCACCGCTATCCATCACCATGTTCTTCGTTCTGTTTCTCTATCGATTCATCCATGCATCTGTCCGTCTATCTCTTCTTCCAGCCATCCATCGATCTATCTAGCTATCCATGAGTTTATCTGGACATCGACGCTTCTAGCGATCTTTCGATCTAGCGATCTGTGTGTCCATCTGTCGTTCCATCTACCTGTCTATTGATCGATCTGTCTCTCTATCTAGCCACCCATCTTTCGATCTATCTCTCGATGGATTTATGGATCTTGCGATGCATCGATCTGTCTATGTATCCATCTATCTATCTATCTATCTATCTGTCTATCTGTCTGTCTATCTGTCTGTCTATCTGTCTAGCCATTTATCTATCTATCTCATCTACCCAGCTGGCCTCTCTCTCTCTCTTTCATCTAATTACCTATCTATCTATCTATCTATCTACCTACCTGTCTATCTATCTCTCCCTTCATCTGTCTATCTGTCAAGCTGTCTACCTGTCTACCTGTGTTGCAGTGTCATTCAGTGTAATGTAGTGTGGTGTACTGTAATTTAGTGTAGTGGAGTGTACTGGAGTGTAATGTAGTGTAATGTAGTGTACTGGAGTGTAGTGTAGTGTAATGTCCTGTAGTGCAGTGTATTGAAGCGAAGCGACATCTGAACCTCCAAAAGTGGTCCGAACCCCTAGTGTTTTGAACATTTTTACTTCGAAGTGTCCTTCGCGCCACAGCGGCGTTGACTTTTTCCACATCCGAACCTCCAAAAGTGGCGCGAACATGTGGTGTTTTGTACATTTTGACTTCGAAATGTGCTTCGCGCCACAACGGCGTACACTTTTTCGACATCCGAACTTCCAAAAGTGGCGCGAACATGTGGTGTTTTGTACATTTTGGCTTGGACATGTGCTTGCACTTTTTCGACATCTCAACTACCAAAAGTGGTCCGGACCTGGTGTGCTTTGTACATTTTGACTTCGAAATGTGCTTCGCGCCACAACGGCGTGCACTTTTTCGACATCTGAACCTCCAAAAGTGGCGCGAACATGTAGTGCTTTGTACATTTTCACTTCGAAATGTGCTTCGCGCCACAACGGCGTACACTTTTTCGACATCCGAACCTCCAAAAGTGGCGCGAACATGTGGTGTTTTGTACATTTGGGCTTGGAAATGTGCTTGCACTTTTTCGACATCTCAACTACCAAAAGTGGTCCGGACCTGGTGTGTTTTGTACATTTTGACTTCGAAATGTGCTTCGCGCCACAACGGCGTGCACTTTTTCGACATCGCAACTTCCAAAAGTGGTCCGAACCCCTGGTGTTTTTAACATTTTGACTTCCAAATGTGCTTCGCGCCACAACGGCGTGCAACTTTTGATCTCTCATCTGGCCAGCTGGCTCCACACCCGCCGCTTTAGCGAGCCTACTTTTCGACCCTCCGGAGCCCCAAATCATTGGGAAAACACAGTGTTTCGCGACTTTCCTACCTTTTCGCGCATCTGCATCTTCTTTCTTCTGATCTTTCTCTTCTCTCTGCCTCTTCCCTGCTCTGCTTTTCATCTGTCCATATTGTCGGAAGTTTAACTTCTAAACTTCCTTCGATGATATAATATGATATAATATGATATAATATGATATGGTATATGATATATGATATATGATATAAGATGATATGATATGATATGATATGATATGATATGATATGATATGATATACTATGATAAAATATGATATGATATGATATAAAATGATATAACATGATATAACATTATATAATATGATATAATATGATATAATATGAAAAATGATATAGCATGATTAATATAATATAATATGATATAATATGATATAATATGATATAATGTGATATAATATGATATAATATTATATAATGTGATATAATATGATATAATATGAAATAATATTATATGATATGATATAATATGATATAATATGATATAATATGAAATAATATTATATAATGTGATATAATATGATATAATATGAAATAATATTATATGAAATGTGATATAATATGATATAAGATGATATAATATGACATAATATGAAAAATGATATAGCATGATTTAATATGATATAATATGATATAATATGAAATAATATGATATAATGTGATATAATTTGATATAATATTATATAATGTGATATAGTATGATATAATATGAAATTTTAAAAAGTATAATACGATATGATATACTATGATATACTATGATAAATATGATATAATATGATATAATATGATATAATATGATATAATATGATATAAAATGATATAATATGATATAATATGATATAATATGATATAATATGATGTGACATGATATAATATGATAGGATATAATATGACATAATATAATATGATATAATATGATAGAATATGATATATGTGTATATGCTATATATATATTAACATAATATACAGTATGTACATTCAATCAACACTATAACATGAAACTACAGTACATGGATTACAAGATCCTGTGGTCAATCACGATTGAGTGGCTCTGCTTCTTGTTCGTAAATCAGACTCTTTTTCATATACCACCCATTTTACTGGTTCCCAAGATTTCATGATTACTTCTTCATTGTATGCGTAAACTTCATGTTTCTTGCTGAAAGCCTCAGTACGTTTTGTTGGGTTAAACTGTTAAACGGTTCAACGCTTCAACTGCTGGTTCTCTCCCAGAATTGCTTGGTTCGGGAAGATAAAAAAGTGCGGTCGGAACAACACCATCTGCCGTCCCAGTGAAAAAAAACTGGTTGATTCCTAGGATTTCCAATGACGGATCCTAACGGTGCTGCTATACATGGTGCTCCATGGATCCCATCAACAAAACCCCCCTATCAATGTTAGCATTTATATACCAGCACCATGGATCCGTCATGGGAAATGGCCCATGAATTCTTCGTTGGTTTACTGAAAGCTGATCTGCCATAGATTTACCATGGATCGCTCTCAAAAGTGGTGCGGTGCGCTTCACCAAAGTGTCACCGGCCGCGCCTCCTTGACCGCCTTCTCCATGGCCTGCTGTCTGGCCTGGATGGTGGCCATCTGATACCGTGAACTTATGCCGTGAACTGAAAAGATGTGGGAGTTGATCTCCGTAAAGATATGTTTATGTTTCAAAAGAAAACACATCAGCGCCATGACATGATAGAAAGCTCCAGCTAGTCACTAGTCGTTAAACTGGCAAAATTCCCGCGTTTTTTTAAAGCACAACAACCCCAAACCCTGTGCACTACAGAGTCGTCAGATTTAATGGTGCTATCTCTGAAAATGAGATATGGTATAGTATGCTCCTCATTTTATGGTGATTTATATAAGAGGGGCTAATCCACTTACAACATCTTAGAAGTAGGGTCTAATCCTACTTAGTAAGGGGGATGAGCCACCAAGCAGGGACAATGATGATAAGCACCTTAATTTCTGGCAGCTGCTCAACAGAAAGCACAGGGAGCTGCCTGATTCTCCGTATCCGAAAGGAAATGCGTCATCCTCAGAGCTTCCCAGATGAGAGCTAAGCTCACAATTTTTTCTGGGTCGGCTGGATATGTTTACGGAACAGGAGATACTTTTACTACACAAACGGGGATGATTTCTCTAGTCTTTTCATGTTTTTCTCCGGTAAAACCACACATCTCTCTGGCTTTTGGTGGTTCTCGTCTGTCTCTGTTTGTCTTATCTATCCATGGACTATCGGTCATGTGTTTTTCTGGGTCAAAACCCGGAAGCCCAGGTGAACACAAAAATAGTTCATAAATGGATCTTCATCCCCCCAAAATATGGTTTTTCATAGGTGTTGATCCATAGCATATCAAAGTTTAGCAGTTCAAGAGTTTCCCAGGAGCCGATTGGCGCCACAATATGGTTTCTAGTAGACTCCCATGTGGCCCATGCTCGCGGAAAAACCTCCGATATCTATTGCAGTTTGCACCGTGCACCATGGTCTTCCCGTTGAAAGAACAATGGCATATCCAATATCTGTGGGAGCGTTCACGTTTGACCACGGTAAACACCCCTGATGACCCCAGGGGTCCCAAAAAACGCCAGGAAACTTCGAGGAGAAGAAGGAGTTCTGTCGGGACTCCATGGTGAACGGCCCGGCCCCGCGGTTCGTCGTTGATTTGGGCCGTCTCTGTTTCATCTTGGTGCTTTTTGATGCTGAAAATCAGGTGTATCTGATTTTGTTGGCTGTTTTCTTATTGGATATGGAGCTCAAACCGAAAAAAACATGGACAAAGTTCAGCACTTACGACAAGTCCTCACTAAAAGCGTGTCATTTGCTGCGGAAAAACAAACTGGTTTTAGTAACTATGCACGAGATCAACATGCAGAGGTGTTGTTTCATGGCGAACTGCATGGCCCAAGCAACTCAGTCTCATCTGTTGAGCCAGCCACCGTACCATGCTGTTTTTGGACCCATGAAGGGGGCTTTGGTCTGTGGTAATCAACTACGCCAATTGAAAATCCATGAAAATCCACTATAAATAAGGCTTTCTAGCTGGGAAAATCATCTGTAAATTAGTGTTCTATTCAGTGCCATGTTGGATTACCACAGGGTATACATGGCCAATCTTAGATACCCTGCATTTTTTTTCCCAGCTGGTGTCTGTGTGTGTGTCTTCGTAGCTATCCCTATTTTCTAATGGCACATCCAGTCGGTTCCCTCAGTAGTGGCTGCAGGCTTCATTGAGAGAACAACCTGGGCTTTGTTGCAAGGAAGCCTTGAATAGCAATAACAACAGTAATAATAACAATAAACCCTGTAATAACGCAAGATAGAAGAATTATCAGAATACCTACTATTCTTATCATGTCTTGTCCTTGTCATTGTCATGGTTGATCCATTCTTGTTATGTATATATATATATGCTATCATTCATCAGGGGCCTTGGGTATTTTTGCCCCGGGATGTCTGCCCCAGCTTCCATGGCTGTTTCATTAGGGTACCACTTAAGTATCAGATTATCACTGCGGGGGACCCCCATCATGAAAAGAAACCTGGGTTGACATTCATCCAGGACATTCCGCCATTTCTGTCTTGGTGACAGAGTCTGACTCTGACCGGGTTTTTGACCAACGATAAAAACACCATCCCAGACCGGAGCTTTTTTGACCAACTGGAGCATTGGCAAGTTGAATTGGCCAAAGCGAGGCACGGATAGGCACCGTCGAGACGCCTGCCTGAGAATTTGATCCAACTCATGTCTTCATGCAGGTTTCAAATTGATTATATATATAGTTCATTCATCTTGATGTCCAAATCACCTAGTTGACCTCAAATATAAGTTGGATTGGCCCGATTAACTACAGTTATATTTAAAACAGCAAGAGTTCACCTAGCTACAACCAAAAACAGTGTTTGACACATGGATATGGCACCGTTCTGCACCGTTACGAACTGGCAGGTTGGGATATTTATTGGTATTTATGATAACCCCTAGTCACATCTAGTCACTACATTCATGGTGAATATCATATATATATGGCTTATATCATCTTATATCCAAGGATTCCAGTTGCCCTGATGCCTCAAATACCTTCACCCGCAGGCGGCTCGGGTCGTTCGGGCCCCTCGGGTCGCTCTTGGGCTTCCAAGGGCCTGGAAAGAGCCATGAAAAGTTAGCCACCGGGGCTCTGTCATCATTTTTAAACTGCAAAATGGTGGGTTTTAATGAGAATATCATGGAATATCATCTATAAATATCTATAAATATCTATAAATATCTATCAATGAAGGTTTTAACGGGACAATCCCCATGGAAAAATAGAGAAGAATCATAGTTTTGGAGGGGAAAATCCACTCTCACATGTTGTTAAATGTTAGTAAAGCAATAGTAAACAACGCTGGGTTGCTCTCTGGCCACCCCGGTGGCAATGGGGGTTGGCGGAATTTCTGGAGCTCAAATCCATGGAAAATCACACTCGTGATTTCCCACTGTGGCCATTGTTTACCCTTGGTTGGAGCAACCCTGTAACATCTTCTAAGCCAGAAACCATGCGGCAAGGGACCGCGGGATGGGGGTGTGGAAGATTGAGAGTACCAAGATTCGCGAATGTTACATTTTTAAAACGTCTGTTCACCTTAAATGTATGATTGTATGATTGAGTAGGAGAAAAATAAGTCGTGCTGGGTTAATTGAGTAGGAGAAAAATAAATCGTACACAAGCCTTTTTCCCACGTACCAGAGGTTCGAAACAAAACTCAGTATCTACAGTATCAATGACATGGAACAACGAACAACCAAGCTGGCAATAAAATAAGGATACTGAGGTCGCGTCTTACATAGCCCATGGCATTGCTTCAAGAGACATGTTTGCCATCGAACCACAATAGCACATGGAATTTTCGAGGTTGTGGGGGCCTAGCAATCTGCGCCAACAAGCTTGATGGTGGAAAGTTTCAACCCTAAACTATGGAGCTTTCCTGAAGTGGTACCCCAAATCATCCAAGTCATTCGACCATTTTAGTATTAAAACATATTAAAACCCATGGTGACTTGGGGTACCCCCAATCCAGGACACCTCCATATCTCAGAATTCCAAGTCCAACTTCATCCCAACTCCAACTCGTCCAGCCTTTCTTGCCCCTTCCCCCCATAAACTCCATACACCCCCAAAAAAATGGGCCCCAAAATTATTCACATATTCAACGCATTTCGATCATGGTTTGAAGACAAATCACATCCTGGCAATGCTGGGGATCCAGGGTTGAACTCTGGGCCGGGTACCAGAATAGTAAGCGAACATAGCTATGAAAGCCATGTCCCATGTGAAGCTCGATGATATAGCTCTGAATTTTATCATGATTTCCAGTTTGCAAAGTGTTTGTTTGCCAGAGAGTAGTTGTCAACTTATTGGAATGGCATGCTGGAAAATCCCACATTTACGTGCCCTCCAGATCCCTCCAACATGACAGCGGGAAATCCCACATTTACAAATGGTTTCCGATCAAAACCCAGAAAGACACCAGGATTTTCTGACCCTTGCCACGTTTGATGACACCAGGGGTAATTCCATCCATAACCATACAAATCAACATGAAAATTCATTAATCACCATGACTAACCATTATGATATATATTAAAGATTACTATATGGAGCTTTCCTAAAATGAGGGTATTCCCAAATCATCCATTTAAAATCATTTTTGTAGATAGGATTTTCCATGAAAGAAACCATCCAGCTATTACCCCCATGACTATGGAAACCTCCATAGATCCAGAGATTTTCTTTCGGCATCCGGGCGGTGTTTGTCGCATCTCTAGACGAGCTTCTTCCAGCTCGACCCATTGCCTCACAGCGAACCATTGCAGCAGGGGTGGAAAGGCCTGGAAAATTGTGTTCGACATGTGCATCATGTATGTAATTATATTATATATATATAGTTCCCAGGCTTGTGCTTACCAGAAATCATGACTGGTCAATAGCCGTGGTGATCACAAGTCGTGGAGTTCCGAAAAAAAAAAGTCGGAAAGTAAGCTGCGTCTTCATGCATGTTCTGCATCTGAAAATGGTATGCGGCATTGAATTTCAATGAATAAATTGCTACCCTCTGGTAAACTAACATAACTATGGAAAATCCCGATGTTTAAGGGGAAAATCCACTATAAATGGTCATTTTCAATAGCTATGTTAGTCATTACCAGAGGGTAAGTGGAATGTACATCCAAGATACAGTACCAAGTACATCCCGTATACGGGGGGTTTCTCAAAGGGCGTCCCGTGGAACAGGGTGAAGCAAAAGTATCTCTGAAAATTGGAAAAGACCAATGTTATAATGGTTGGTTGAAAGATAAAAACAGCATGGTTGGATTATAATCCATAAATATCCATAAATATCCATAATCCAAATCATGAAATTATCTATACTATTTCATACTATTTTACGAGGTTCCTTTTGTAATGGCTGGTGGGGATATCTTTTTTGGGTTCTTCGACGTCCATTTTACTCCGCCAGCCCTCACCAAGCCAGTGATCCCAGAATTCCCAGCCTGAGGTAGTTCAAGTTCTGCTCTTCTCGTGGTGCTGGCGCCTACCGCGCTTTTTTATTTTCTTGGCTGGAAAAAAAACCATCCCATAAATTGGGTATGTTTAATGAATGTTCTTCGTTTGCGTTTAGAGCATGAAAATCCCAGGTGTCCTCCGGATCCCTCCGGTCTCACGGCTGGAAAAATCATGAAAATTCCACCATCTTCTCATCTAAATCTCCCACAGATGTCCCGCCAGGATTCCCGGAGGGCGACGTAGTTTCCCATGACGGATCCGTTCACGGTGCTGCTATCTATGGTGCTCCATGGATCCATATGGATCCCATCAATATACCCCCTTTATGTTAGCATTTTTCTACCAGCACCATGGACCCCTCATAGGGGTTTTACCAGCTGGGTCTTTCTCACTCCAAAAGGTCGACAAAAAACAGAGGTCTCATGGCTGGGAAAAATGTAAGGGACGGGATGGGATGGTATCCTCTAGAGTAAACATACCAAAAAGCTATGAAAAATGGCCATTTATAGTTGATATACCCATACAAAAATACTGGATCTTTCCATAGTTATGTTAGTTTACCAGAGGATATGGGTCAAGATTCAGAGTTTCGTCTATTTTTTAGTATGAACATGTATTAAGCCTCCAACTTTTGTGGTGTCTCCAACTGTTGACCCGGACCCAGAGCCAGCTTTTTTTCTCCATTCTCTGCCATCTGGATTCATGAATGCTTCAGACCATGGATTGATTGAGATATTCTGATTAAGGTCTGCTTTTTGAAGAATGTTTATGATTATTCTGATTGTTCTGATTATTCTGATTGTTCTGATTGTGCAGGAGATCAGATCCATCTGATTAAGAATATGTTTCTTGATGTTTTCAGATCTTCTTAATCAGATGGATCAATTCTTTTTGACCAGATATTCTGATTTAGATATGACCGGAATTCGTAGATCTAGGATTTATCGAATCCACCATGAATTCATATGGGAGGTCCTAGATCAGAAATTCCTATGACAAATCTCCAGCACGAAGTTTAGGAATTCTGATCTAGGAATTCCATGGGGATTTGTTTTCCATGAATGGCTTTTTTTTGGGAACATCTCCACAAGATCAACAGAATTCCTGGACGTTTAGGACATCTTTCGCACAGGATTTTCCCGAATCAACCTGAGATCCACCCGGATCAAAGCTCCAACGTTTTGATCGTCAACGTCCCGCAGGTGACCAACGTCCAACCAGCCTGCACCGGTGCCTGTCTGACACCTTCACAAGGAGAGATCGCCTCCTGCCGCTGAAGATTCGCAGGAGGGATCATGATGATGGGAGTAATAACTATAACTAACCATTGATCAATAGCCTATCAGTTGATCAACCATTGATAACTAACCATTGATAGATAAACTGGGAGTTATCAATGGTTGATCATGATTCAATGCTATTGTGAAAATGGGGATCTCATCAATATTCATCAATGATTGCCTCCTTCCCAATTGATGTAAGAAAATCTGGAAAGGATGATGGTAGTGATGAAAAAATGATGAGTCTGGTGAGTTATTTTCATGGTAGTGAATATGAACAAAAATGGCGATTATATCATGGTGATTAACAGTTTTTTTGGTGATAGCTATACTTATAGTCATTAGTGTAATTAACAATTAACCTCCGGTGATCATCGAAGATGGCTGGGAAACTCAAAAACGGGTCAAAAAGCTGGGGAAAATCATCGCAATTGCTATGGGCATTCTTCCATTGCTATGTTTGATTACCAGAGGGTTGACTGGGGGGTTCCATAAATGGGATACCCCAAAATAGATGGTTTATAGTGGAGAATCCCACAAGTGAACTATCAATGGATTGGTTTTGACGGGAAAATTTTACCGGAAAGCCCCATATGAAAAATGGAAAAATCTATGGTTTCTGTACAGTAGAAGATTTCCCTTTAAACCAATTCATTGAGTAATGGGTTACAACAAGCACTTGTGGGCATGAGTTTTTGGGATCTACCGCGATATCAACAATTCCGAGTATCCGTCAAAACGGCTACACGGTTACCCTAGCACATTGGCACACAGGGAGCGCTTCTATTTCACAATAATGATAACATAGGATTCCCTGATGAAGATAGTTTTTCAAGCAGTCTTACCCTCTGCTAAACTAGCATAAAAGGGAAAACCGCTATCTTTAATGGGCAAATCATTTATAAATAGACCCATTTTTCCATAGCAAAGTTAGTTTACCAGAGGGTACTGGAGCACAAACATCTGCGCCAAAAATGTGCTCTTTTTCCTCTGGGCATCGCTATAAGCTCTAGGAGCTTCCCATTTTCCCACACATTCCACGGGATCCTCACAGGATGGGGCCTCCCAGTTCTGTTTGTTGGCTTATAAACCCCATGAAAACTATAGCTATATCTACTATAAACCATAGAAATCAGCCACTTATACACTTATATCTCAACTGAACGTTATCTTTGGGCCCCATTCTGCACCATTTTACCCAACTTTGTTTGGAGCCCCCACCTTCTCCACTTCCGCGCGGAGACTGCGGGGAGTAGAGGACACCCCGCTGCGCGCCTGGTGCTGGGTTGTCATTCGAGGAAACATCCGTGAAATCTGGACCAACGAAGGGAATGCACTAGGGATTTTGGTGTTTATCCTCTGGTAAACATACAAAAAGCTATTGAAAATGGCCATAGAAATAGTGGATTTACCCATTAATAGTATGGTGATTTTCCATAGTTATGTTAGTTTACCAGGGGGTATCTACTTGGTGGTTCATCCCATGGATCGTTTTTGTGGCTTCGTTCACCCCAGTTGTCAGTGGAATTCAGTGGATTAAGCCTACCAAGCCTACCCTAAACCCTCCCAGGGATCGGTTTTTTGCTCGATGCTTTTGTTGAAGCCCGGCTCTGCTGTCTCAGCGCTGGACACAGGGGGTTGGGGCCGTGTTCGAAATAAAATGAACTGGGTGATGTCCTGCAAGTTTTTGCCAGATTTCGAAATGCATCAATGAATAAACATACAATCACATACATATATGACTATACCCATAGGATCCATGTATGCTATATATGGTAACATTTACCATCAATATACCCCCAATGTTAGCATATATACCATACATGGATCCTATGGGTACATGATTGTATATTTGATAAATATCATCAGTATGCATCAGTACATTTTCCCAACCGTGACTGCCACAGCTTGGAGAACGCCGCTCAGCACGGCTCAAGTCTTCCTTCTCTGCCGGAAGACCTGACCGCCGGAGAATCCGGGGAATCTTAACGGTTCCCAACGTCTCCTAAGTCCTATGGGAATATATCTAAATGGATGGATGGTTATAATATCGATGGATAGATGGTAGATGGTAATTTTTATGTGGATGGATGGAGACTGCTGGGATTTATGGATGGTTATTCCATGTTATTCCATGTTATTCCCCCAGTCAGATGGTTATATATATATAATAGGTTTTGAGCCATCCCCGGATGAGCAATGGAGTTGGCTATACCTAATCCTCTCTCCCTATTACTAAAACACCCCCCAAATGGTAAACAAGGTGATCTATTTTTATTATTAGGGGGTATTTAGTATTAGGGTGCCCCTAATATTCCAATGAAAAACCCTAAATAATAATAAACAACTTTGATTAAATCCCTTATTGACATCTATATAAAATATTGCCGAGAACTGGATTTAGAAGCTTTCCCCTAATATTCCAATGAAAACCCTAATAACAAAAATAACAAATAAAACTTGTGAGATGGGACCCTAATTTAAAAAAAACTCCAGGTGGCAATCTATGTTTATTCATAGGTTGAACCCATTGTTTCACCATCCTGTTCTCCTATTGATTCTCAATGACCACAATTAAGAATCCAATTGTGCCCAACCAAAAAAAACGGAAGTGCCACACGAATCCTACTTTTTTCTATTTGGGGGAGTTTTAGTAATAGGAAGAAGGGATTAGTAACCCCAAACAGAAGGGGATAATTGGGTGATAAGATGTAACAAGCCCATTCTTGGACATGTTCAGAGAATCATCATCAGACAGGCACTAATATGGAACATGTGAAGCTTATGATCCGGAGAACTATGGATAACTATGTGATATATCACAATTATGTGGTTTTTCTTGGTTTTCCCATGGCCATGTTATGCCATTCACCACTTCGGGCCTGCATGATGCCTTCAATGGCTTTGTTCACTTCATCACGATGCTCCGGCGTCATCTCACCATCGACCTCAGCTGTTCATCGTCATTTTCCACTGGTGAAATGCCCATAGTTGGGGTATACCGAGTGCCACCGGGTATACTATATTTTCAGACACAGCCATTTTGGAATGTATCATAGTGTATCATAGTGTATCATGGTGTATCGGTATCACTCCTTCTATCGTTCACTGGCCATTATTTCTAGCCGATCTCTCAAGCTGTGAAACAAAAAATGAATACTCAAACCCCAAGCCTACAGCATAGGCAATCCTGGTGCTGGTGTTTCTGTAGCTGCTGTAGCTTCTCCCAGCCATGATGACCTTGTGAATCAATGGGAAAACCATGGCTTTTTGGACGAGATACGATGTTGGATGACTCAATGTCGGATTCACCCAATGCCATGTTTACCATCCTCAACATCGCCGTTTTTTTTTGCTGGGATTCCTAAACCATCCCCCACTTTGGTAGTTGTGGCAGGCTTTCCATATTCATTGTTCATTCTAGTAACCATCAACAGAAAGAAATGTTTCTGGTTGGTGGTTTCAACCATCTTGAAGGAAGGGTTATCCCATATATTATGGAAAATAAAATTCATGTTTGAAACCACCAAGCAGATTTATTACTCACCCTGTTTTGTCCATCGACTTCGATGTTTTTCCGTCCGCCATTGCGCGCTCGCACCGTTCGCACCCAGGTGCCATGAAATCCATCAAGTCAGGCATCTGCTCCTGAGACCGTTGCTGAGGCTACGAATGGCCATAGGTGAACACCATTTTAGTATATATCGGCTTTAGCCATGGGTTAAACCACCATAGTTCTAACCATTAAAAAAAGAACACCATAGGATTTTGACCATCTATACCCTGAAAATTCCACTCATGGATTACCTGATTAGCCCTGGCCCTGTTGGGGATTATCACTATGGTAAACTGAGTCGGTTTAACTCTCAGGGATGGCCCCTAACCAGATAAAAGAAACATTGAAAGCCGGATGGCTCTTGAAGACTTCTACTCTATTTGAATCTATTTGATAAGAAATGTGGTTTATCCGAGTTTATCCCCAAAAAAAAACACGTTTGCTCAAAAGGCGAGGAAACCTTTTTGCATTGGCTAAAAACCACAGCTGCTCGGTAGCCCAAGCAGTTCGGCGAGATTCGAGGGCTTCGCGGACTTTGGGCAAATTGGGGTTTGTCGTTCGACCTGGGCTTCGCGGAAGATGGGGAGGGCTCGTCGTTCCACCGGTGGAGGTTGAAACTTAACATAACCATGGTGAGTTCATCTGGTGAAGCTGGGATATAGCCCCGAACAACTAGGGTTATAATACATATATACAAAGTGGGGCCCCCGTGTACGATAGCCAAGTTGGTGAACATAACTCCAATAACTATGGTTTATGGTACCTATAACGAACTAGCTAATGGGGTTTATAAACCATCTTATAACTGGGGGGGCCCACATTGTACACATATACTATTATATTATATATAACTGGAACTGCGCTTCCGAGCATGATGTTCTCTTCGAGAAAAAATATGGGTTTGGTACTGTCTGAGATATTTAAGTGATATACCACATTATCCACATTTCCAAAGACACCCTTGAGAGGGTTGACTTCTGCTTCGGTAAACAATGGCTCGTAAACTATGGATCGTAAACCATGGCTCGTAAACCATGGCTCGTAAACTATGGCTCGTAAACCATGATTCGTAAACCAAGACGGCCTTGACTCGTAAACCATGGCTCGTAAACGATGGATCGTAAACCAAGATCCGTAAACTATGCTCCGTCATCTATGCTTCGCGCCACAACGGCGTGCACTTTTTCGACATCTCAACTTCCAAAAGTGGTCCGGACCTGGTGTGCTTTGTACATTTTGACTTCAAAATGTGCTTCGCGCCACAACGGCGTGCACTTTTTCGACATCTCAACTGCCAAAAGTGGTCGGGACCTGGTGTGTTTTGTACATTTTGACTTCATTTTGACATCTCCCCAATCCGCACGCTTTAGCGAGCTACTTTTCAACCCTGAGAAAAACACAGTGTTTGGCGACTTTCCTACCTTTTCGCGCACCTGCATCTTCTTTCTTCTGACTCTTTCTCTTCTGATCTTCTTCTCTTCTAATCTTTCTCTTCTCTCTGCCTCTTCCCTACTCTGCTTTTCATCTGTCCATATTGTCGGAAGTTTGACTTCTAAACTTCCTTCGATGATGTGTAAGATGAGACTGTGCATGTACTTGCCACAGGGGGTGGGATTTTGATATGACGTGGAAGATGAGAATGTGCATGTACTTGCCAGAGGGGGTGGGATTTTGATATGACGTGTAAAATGTGGCTGTGCTTGTAATTGCCAGAGGGGGTGGGATTTTGATATGACGTGTAAGGTGAGACTGTGCATGTACTTGCCACAGGGGGTGGGATTTTGATATGACGTGTAAGATGAGACTGTGCATGTACTTGCCAGAGGGGGTGGGATTTTGAGATTACGTGTAAGATGAGACTGTGCATGTACTTGCCAGAGGGGGTGGGATTTTGATATGATGTGTAAGATGAGACTGTGCATGTACTTGCCAGAGGGGGTGGGATTTTGATATGATGTGTAAGATGAGACTGTGCATGTACTTGCCAGAGGGGGTGGGATTTTGATATGATGTGTAAGATGAGAATGTGCATGTACTTGCCAGAGGGGGTGGGATTTTGATATGACGTGGAAGATGAGACAGTGCATGTACTTGCCAGAGGGGGTGGGATTTTGATATGATGTGTAAGATGAGACTGTGCATGTACTTGCCAGAGGGGGTGGGATTTTGATATGATGTGTAAGATGAGACAGTGCATGTAGTTGCCAGAGGGGGTGGGATTTTGATATGATGTGTAAGATGAGACAGTGCATGTACTTGCCAGAGGGGGTGGGATTTTGATATGATGTGTAAGATGAGACAGTGCATGTACTTGCCAGAGGGGGTGGGATTTTGATATGATGTGTAAGATGAGACTGTGCATGTAGTTGCCAGAGGGAGTGGGATTTTGATATGATGTGTAAGATGAGACTGTGCATGTAGTTGCCAGAGGGGGTGGGATTTTGATATGATGTGTAAGATGAGACAGTGCATGTAGTTGCCAGAGGGGGTGGGATTTTGATATGATGTGTAAGATGAGACTGTGCATGTAGTTGCCACAGGGGGTGGGATTTTGATATGATGTGTAAGATGAGACAGTGCATGTACTTGCCAGAGAGGGTGGGATTTTGATATGACGTGTAAAATGTGGCTGTGCTTGTAATTGCCAGAGGGGGTGGGTTTTGGTTGCTGAGGATTGGTTGCTGAAGCGAGAGTAGATTTTGGTTGCTGAGCCGTAGTTGCTGAAGCGAGAGTTAGTTTTGGTTGCTGAAGCGTAGTTGCTGAAGCGTAGTTGCTGAAGCGAGAACCTAGTTTGGTTGCTGAGCCGTGGTTGCTGAGCCGTGGTTGCTGAGCCGTGGTTGCTGAGCCGTGGTTGCTGAGCCGTGGTTGCTGAGCCGTAGTTGCTGAGCCGTAGTTGCTGAGCCGTAGTTGCTGAAGCGGAGTTTAATCCCCTTGGGTTCCTTGAGAGGGACGGCTTTGGGATAATTACCTATATCATCTACCCTCTGGTAATTTAACATAGCTATTGAAAATGGCCATAGAAATAGTGGATGTTCCCATTAATAGCATGGTGGTTTTCCATAGTTATGTTAGTTTACCAGAGGGTATCACCATCCTGTATGCATACTTATCTGGAATGGGTATATTTTTCATGTGGGCACCCCTCTTCATCGCTTGGTACAGGACACCCAAAAAACCGCGGTGGGCGGGTTTCCCAGCGTTGTGACAGGGGTGATCCCCGGTGATCCTCATCGGTGCCATCCCAACTCTCGATACGGCGCCGTATCGGTTTTGAAAAAACAGAAACAGCTGACAGAAGTCAATGACTCAATGACTTTCTTGCGCAGAAGGATTTCTCAGCTGTTTTTCATTGGCTTGCTATGTTTTGATTAGGAAGCATTGGACCCTACATGAATTTGCCAGGACCGGGGGGGAAGCATTGAATCTGTTGCGTTGACGTTGACGTTTTCACTACGGCCATAGGGCCCTTTAAGATCATCCTTTAGGGCCATAGGGCCAAGAGGCTGCGTAGCAAGTAGCGCGTGGCAAAGACCAGAGAGGCCAAAGACAAGTTCTTCACGCACCTCGAAGAGGCTACGGACGAGACGGCTTTGTTTGGTGGTGGAAATTTGACAAAGACCATGAGCTAAAGTGGCTTGGTTCACATGGAACTAAAATGTTTTGAATGTTAGTTCACTCACCCCAGTGTTTTTTTCAAGTAAGGCACAATGTCGAGTTGATTCCTGGGAACTAAGCCACTGACTGAGTGGAGTTAAACACTCATGGCTTTCTACCTGGAAATATGGTTGAAACAAAGATAGATTCAAATAAGATATCATAATATGACATACTTCCTGCGGGTGGCCAGGATGAGATTTCACATGGCTCATTGCGAATGCGTGAAATAAAAAGCTCATTCAACCTATCATTTGAAGGGGACAATGTGAAGCTACAGCTACAGATCACGCGGTTCAACAAAAAAAACAAGACACATAGCTTGTTTTTCTGACTGACTTGCAAAAGATGTTGGCATATTGTACCCACTTTAAAGGACGTTGACTCAACCATCTCTGGGGAAATCAATGCCCAGTCGCCTTTTGTTTTACTGGATGCTTGGTCCTTTTTGCACTCGCAGAACTGGGTGGGTTGCTCTGAAAATAGGCTTCCCCAAAAATCGGTTGATAGTCATATTCATATATGCTCCATGAAATGTGTTTCTATTTGTAGCTTTTTGGATGTATATGAAAGATCATGAACGTAGCTGTTTGGGTGCAAAAAAAAAACATTTTCAGACACCCTCAAAACCATGTTTGTTTCCATGTTGACCGTGGCACTTGGAAAGAGCCGGATTGCCGGAATATCCATCAACACAGAATTTCATCGCAGCGTTGTAGAGGTTCTTCCTGGCCGCGAGCTTCGCGCAGGGCTCTGGAGCGATGGCTCGGCTCATGTTTTATCGGGGGCTGTAAAGCAATAGGATCCCAAAATCACCAAAATCATCATAAATGGGGGCTATAAACTATAAACATCTATAAAACCATGAAAATCTGGGTGGTTGATTATTAATTTATGATTGCTTTACGAAGATTCACCTGGTGTATTTCATAAAAGTCCCGATGTTCTATGTCGCTATGTCGAAAAATTACCGGGTAACAACAATCACACAAACCCACAGATGTTGATGTCTTTCTTCACCCTGAGGTCTTTAGCTGGCACCCTGTCGTCCATGCCATGCGTTCGCTGAATTTTCTTCGGAGCTCCTGAGATATTTGCGATCGTAGGGATACGCAGCGATGAACAGGGGCTGCTTGAACAGCTCATCGACCAGTCCTTGATGCGGAAGAGGATCAGCTGAACAGCTGCACTTGGAGCCATCATTGAGGCGAAAAAACAATAGCTCCAAGTGATCAATCAAAGCTGCCCCGGCTGGAAACGACCCACGTTGTTTTTATTTCAGAGAGGAGCCATCAGTTTTGTGTGTTCAAGGCATCATGTTCATGGAAAATCCCATGGGATAACTTAGGGGTACCCCCATGGATTGGAAAGCCCCTTGTTATATCTGGTTAATCTTGTTCCAAAAAAAGTACCCAAATTCCACTGGGTGTTTCAATGGCTTCATCTGGGCATCGGTTCGACATCGATCCAGGGCACGGTCGGTCTGCTGATCCAGGTATTCCAATGGCATGAGCACATCGAAGTGAAAGGCTACAGCCTTCAGAACCAGAAATTCAATCCTGGCAGCTGACAGGTGGGTTCCAAACACCAAAAAGAAACAACTTAATTCTTGGCCAAGAATGGCGATATGAAGAGCATGTTTCTAGGGGGATCTATATATATATATATTGATTCTATGATTTATTTTAATGTGTTTATTTGTCCTTGATGTCCATTTTGTTGATCTACCCTCTGGTAAGTTAACATAGGCGAAATGGAAAATGGGACCATTTATAGATGATTAACCTACTATAGAAATGGTGATTTTCCAGTTCGCTATGTAAACGCTGACCAGATGTGTGTATATATATATCGCAACACCCATTATATATATATATATGTGTGTGTGTTTAATTTCCAAGATGTTTTCCACATATCTTCATCTAATTTCATATATATATATATGTATATATAGAATATATTGTTCATGTATATTTTCGAATTCCAATGTGTTTTTAATGGATGCCATAGACCTCCCAACGATTTTTGGCACTGGGATGGCAAATCCTTTCAAGCATCCTACTGATGGGGGGTTCCATGGGTTCCTTAAATGGAAGTACTCCAATAGCTGGATGGTTTATGATGGAAAATCCGAACATCAAATGGATGATGACTGGGGGTAGCCCCAATTTAGGAAACATCCATATAAAAATGAACAGAATTGCTGTTGTCCATATTGTCCATGTAAATACATGTAAATACTTTTTCTTTGGATATTTTAACTGGGACAATTCTTGGACAGTAGACAAAGCAATTAGAAAATCATGCTGGAATTTTCTTGTGTTGATGGTGTTTTTTGTTGTCCAATGATTTTGAAGTTAACAAATCCAGTGTTCCAATGATATTCCCATTGCAAACCCCATATGAATCTTCCAACATGATGTTCTAATTGATTTGTCTACTGTCCAAGAATTGTCCCAGTTAAAATATCTAAACAAAAAGTATGTTTCCATTGTTTTATGTGACGTTCCCATGAAAGATCCCTGGTTGCTGGTATACCTACCCCTCTGAAAAATATGACTTCGTCAGTTGGGATGATTATTCCATTCCCAACTGTTTCTGGAAAGTCATGTCATAAAATTCCATTCATGTTCCAGTCACCACCAACCAGAATCCTATTCTATATAACCAGATCTATTATATATATAATTAGATATATATATATAGATATATATATAATATTTGTCCATTGTTTTAGGTGATGTTCCCATGAAAGATCCCTGAAAAATATGAAAGTCAGTTGGGATGATGACATTCCCAACTGAATGGAAAGTCATAAAAATCATGTTCCAAACCACCAACCAGAATCCTATTCTCCAATTTTGCCAAAGTCTCTTCAAGATCTTTTCCACGAGCTGCGTCTGCTGTTCATCCGACAGCTCCGGTTTTTCTGGGCGGCGGCATGAAAGTCAGGCCCTAAACCTCCAAGGTGGAGTCCCCCAGTGATGTGAACGTTGGTCTAGTTTCACCGAATTATATAAGTTTATAGTTTAGTAGTTTGAACTATACTAATTTCATTTATATAAGTATTACTATACTATACTGTAGTTTGAACTATAGTCTAGTTTGAACTATAATATATATATATATACTATAGTATAGTATAGTTATATCCCCCATAAACCCAAGCATTTTGACCGAAACCCTTTACCGTTTTCAGTGATGACCAACCAGTCTCGAACTGGGGAGCCACCTTTCAGGATCATATTCCAGTTAAATGTTAAACTTGGGGAGTTTACGATAGATCCATTACGGAAGAAAAACAGTAATTTAGATATCAAACAGAGATATCCAGTTTATCTAACTTTAGCTATCCCATACACTTTGGATGAACCTTTATTGTTATTAGACAGAGGTCCAGTTGTTTTAATCAAATACTTGCTGGCCCCCGACGGATTAGATCCCGGGTTTTTCCTGGAGATGTTTATCCAAGGGACGTACCTCCCTGTAGGATGAACATCACCCTTTGGGCGAAGAACCACTATATCTGGTTGGTGGTTGACCTACCCCTCTGAAAAATATGACTTCGTCAGTTGGGATGATGAAATTCCCAATATATGGAAAGTCAAAAAAAACATGTTCCAAACCACCAACCAGATATATATATATATATATATAACCAGCATTTGAAACAGTGATGTTTCACCCAGAATGATCCACAAATTTGGAGATGGAAGATGATGGAAGGGATGTAAGGATATGTAAGGACCTTTGTTTCAAGGAGCTCAATCAACCCATCTTTCTTGTCGACCACCAATTGGACAAGCTCCGCTCCTGATTTGCTCCTGTCATGTTTTTGAACAGGGAAACCCTTGTCTTTTACTGTCAAACATGGGTGTTTCCTATGAAATTTCAGTGGTAAAGCAAAATCCCAATTTCTGTAAAATTGTGTCTCATTGGTCCCAGTGGTAAAATCAAACATAGACCACCAATTGGGATAAGCTCACGTGACATGTCACACAAATGTTTTTGTCCCCTCTTGGTCGTCAACTTCAGCGGACATCTCTTGGTCGTTCAACCAGCGGATTGAAATCTTGAGTTCTCAGATGAGTAGTGTCCAAATCCCATCGGTTTATTGCGAACAAATATTCAGGGCTTCTACGAAATAAAACACATAAAACTTAATGATAAAGATGGGTTATATATCTGGGTAAATTATAATATTTCACTAACCTGAATAGTTCGGCCATTTGGGGATGATTTCCCTTATTCACCATGATTTCCAGGGCTCGGTCGCAGTGAGGTCGTGATGAAATTTACCCAGATATATACAGCATATATACTAAGAATATACCCAATTATAATAACCCATAATATAATATTATGGTTAATAAAACCCACCTTGGTTATATCTATCAAAACATACTGGGGATCTTCATAATCTGCTCCAGGAATCCCAGAATCCCAGATTGGAAAAGTATGGACAAGTTCACTGATTTATCAACCATCCATTGAGCTGTTCTAAACATTTCTAAACCATCCATGTTGGGATATGTTGGGCTACCTTCGAAACCTATCGAAACCTCACCAGACCCAAAAAGTCCAAAAAGTCGATCAGCCCAGGTGCTCTCTTCCTGCAGGACCTGATTATAGGCCCTCACCAGGTTTTTGATTCGCCGCGCGTGGTCTGCGACCTGCTTGGACTGCTTGGACTGGTTGGAGCTTCAGAGCTCAACGGACGTTGCATCGACTCCCACTATATATCTGGTTGGTGGTTTACCCATGGTTTTTTGGGGGGGCTATTCACCCAATAGTCATGGTTAATGATGGTTAATGATGATGGTTAACGATGATGGTTGGTGGTTGACCTACCCGAAAAATATAGGGTGATTGTATGGTTTAATATGGTGCAAAATCCCATTGATGATCATACTTAGTTACTTATCTGGTTGGTGGTTTCAACCTACTCCTCTGAAAAATCATGGACTTCGTCAGTTGGGATGATGAAATTCCCAATATATGGAAAGTCATAAAATTCCATGGTTCCAAAACACCAACCAGTAATGTTCATCACTATTCCCATGATCGTCATCTTCGACAGGATCAGTCTCAAGATCTTCAGATGCTGCATACAATAGATCCTGCTAGATCCAAAGAACCTACGCCCGTGCTTTTCCCAACTAGAAATTGCTAGAGATGAGTTGAAAAATATGCGGATACCAAAAGCTTTAAAGATTGTACTGCCAGGGCCCCATTTCTTGAGTTCTACCAAACTGAAAATGATCTCAGAATCAGAGAAACTGGATGATGTTCCCTTTGAATAGAACACCTTTTCGTGGTTTTCATCACAGTGTTTCCTCTCTCAAACTGCCCATAAAACACATCCATCTCATTTCCTCCTCCCCTTTCAGCCTTTCCTCGCCTTGCAGGCTACAAAGATACAGCCCAGGGCGACCACGTCATAGCTGTCCCTCTCAGGGGTTGGTAACTGTCCCATTGGGAATATCGGACATCACCTAAAAAAGTAGCCATAATTTTAGACCATATACCATTCATGGTTGGGTAATGGTTGGGTGATGTTCAATGGGGACATCAGTCATGACCCATGCCTCTCTCCAATGATCACTTCATGGTTGGGGTGGTAGTACTGCTGCACGTAGTAGCAGCTCAGCAGCGTCACTTGCGACGTATCTAGCTCTGATGTCGAGCGGTTTTGGGTGTTGGCCACCTGGGAAGCTGCGAATAGCTGCTGCGAAGCTGGTTTCGTCACATAAAGAAAGCATCAGTTAAAATCAACAAAGTTTTTTTTAGCCTTCTTAAGAACCTGGTTGGTGGTATACCTACCCCTCTGAAAAATATGAAAGTCAGTTGGGATTATGATTCCCAATATATGGAAAAATAAAAAATGTTCCAAACCACCAACCAGTAAAGTGCTGTGGCCTTCTTAAGAAGCACTATTCATTTATCTGATTTCATGATTGGTTGATTGGTTTCAGAATATTGATTGGTCATGGATGTCATGGTGCATGGGACTTCTGGAGCATCAGCTCAAATATCTTCAGCCATCATTCAAGTCATCCCAGAACGTGGCTCATGTTTGCCTTGTTTTGCTGGGTACATTTTTCAGCTGGCTCACTTCCTCCAACGTTGTGGCTGGAACATTGCTTGGAACTCAGGGAAAAATCTTTCGTGTTTGGGGATGGAGAAAAACCTCAAGTTCGTGGTTGGAAAATCCATCATGAATAGATGATCTTCATGGATGTTCCCATCAAACCCTCCATTTCAGGAATTTCCCAGCTTGCCATGTTGACACCGAACTGGCTCATGGAACCATCAAACAGCAACAGAAAAATCGCTAACGAAACTTACGGGCGCCAAGACACATCAAAGAGTTTCTTCACCACCGGTTTCGCACGAGAACAGGCTGAAATCACATTCTTTTCCCGCAATTCCTGGGGGGATTGCTAGGGCTACAGGAACTGCTTGGGAACTGCTGGAAAAATGAGCCAAGTACTTACATGGCTTTGGGTGCACAGGCGAATTTCAAAATGTAGCGGTTGGTGGTTGTTTGTTTGAAGGAAAACCGCGAAGTAGGAAGAAGTAGTTACCCATAGGATCCATGGTGCTGGTATATATGCTAACATAAAGGGGGTATATTGATGGGATCCATGTTATCATACCATACATGGATCCGTCATGGGTTACAGATGTTCATACCTCCAATCTGGTCTTAAGACATGTCTTCACCAAACCTTTGGCGTTTTCACCAACGAGACGGGGGCCCAAGCCAGCCGTTTCGATCGTCTTGTTTAGTGAGAAAACCTGGCTATGGTAAAGCTAAGCACGAGGTGAGTCATCTTCAAAATGGATCATGGTAAATAATGGTAAATATATTCCATGTCAAATCCACTGGGTAGGGCAGCTTCTCAACACATTGAGAGCATGTCAGCTGAGTTCATCTAGAAATCACCAAGTCTGGTGGACCCTTGCCACATGAAGAACTGTCCCCGACCCAAGTCATGTGGATCTTTCCGATTGGGAAAAAATTATCCTCTGGGTGTTCTCAGAATATACCAACTTTCCGCGATTTTCTGGAAGTGCTTCACTTTAGAATGTTAAACCCAGTTCTTGCGAGTAATCTTAGCTGTTGAACTCCCCATCCGAACGCGAGTTTTTTTCGGAAATGTGCGTGAAATCCCCATAGATTCTGCTGTTGACCACTTCTCCATCAGCCTCTAAGCCTCTAAGCCCCAGCCGCCCCCAGCCTTTTGAGCCTCGCTTTGCCAGGGGGTGGGGGGCGGCACATACACCTGCAAGGCCGTCATGTGGTAATGGCTCATGTGGGATTCACCTGCGATGGTTACCATCCCAAGTCATCACTGTGGCTTGATGGGTGGGAGTACAAAACCATCCTCAAGTTTGATAGCTTTGTGATGGTTTATGTTTATGGCATTGGGTTGCCCACATTACTATAATTCTTCATTTCAAAATGGAGACTTGTCCAGGATAGAAACGTCCAAAAGAAAGAGATACAACTATGATACAACATATGCTATTTCAGGACATGATATGTCTCAAAATTTCCAATGTCCAACCTGTCCATTTATATTTCATTGCAGATTTCAGTGTAAACTAGAACGCCGTTTCCCCTAATTCTCCGCCAAAATCAAGCTGTTGATGAATTATCAGCAATCACAATTCAAATCATCTCCATTTTTGTGGCTTAAAACCCCCATTTTGGTGCCCATACCTGCCCCCATACCTGGCACCTTCGGAGCCTTTTTGGGGGGTTCGCCCTCCACGGGCGTTGCCGGCGGCGTGCACTGCGGCGTCTCGGGCCCCGGCGCCGCAGGCGCCGGCGCGGCGGCGCCTTCGGCCGGCGCCGCAGGCGCCGGAGGCGCGTCCGTGGGCCCCGTGGTGTCCATGGCGTCTGTGGCCATGGCGGGGGAATGGATGAAGAATCTGCTGATGAAACATGCGGGTGTTCGGGATATAGCGACCCTCCACGATGCCAAGTAACATCTGATTTAACACCTGAGAATCGAAGCTGTTTGATCTTTTTAAAGTTTAAAGGAGGCTATTTTAATGGATGTACCCCAAAAAAATCGGAATGAAACTGCGAAATACTGATTAAAATGGTGCTATCATAAGACATGGTCACTGATGAAATACGCTGCAACCCGCACAACAATTGCAATCACACTATCAAACAGATGGAGCTATACGGGCTATAAAACGCTACGAAAAAAGAAGTAACTGCAAAGTGGATGAACATTGATTTTAGATGGGATGAAAACCACTAGTGAACCAGATAAAAACATGTCTTAAGTTGGTTTTAAAAAAAAGAACAATATATAATATATTTGGAAGCTGAGGGTCCGAGAACGCGATTAAGCGACCTGTCTAGGATTCATGTTGGGATCTGGGATGCGAAGATTTTTGACGGGTTAGGATTTTACTGGGTAAATTCAACTGTGGACGTCGTGCAGTAATTCTTGAAGTTCCAAAAGCTTCAGAGGGCCCCGAGTTTTTCTGGTTTTCCTTTCAGAATGAAGAATCTTCATTATGGAAGCTATCAAGATGGGGTTTCTTCGCTGAAGTGGTATATACTCAGGACCTAAAGACTACGCTCTGAGAATTTTCTGACTTCGCCGCCAGTTGCTGGTTGAGTGGCTCCAACATCAGTATAAGGTGCTGGCGTATCTACTGGCATTGAACCAGGCAGTTTCGGCCAGCATGGACGCGCAGCAGTCTGACAGGGTAATGCTCCTCCAATGGCAACTCATGATGTCAGATTAACATGCAGATCGAAAATTCTGAAGGATTTGCGATCCAACCCCCAACAAGTACCCTCTGGTAAACTAACATAGCTATGGAAAATCACCATTTTTAATGGGTAAATCCACTATAGATGGCCATTTTCAATAGCTATGTTAGTTTACCAGAGGGTATGTTCATCCATTTTCCAGAATGGAAAGATCCACCATGCTATTAAGTGCGGTAAACCATCTATTTCTATGGGCCATCGAAATCCCATGGCCATGTTAGTCATAACCAGAGGGTAAGCCAAATCTTCTAGATCGACTCAGCACATCCAAGTTGGAACTCCATCAGAGTTGGGACCGCGGTTGACATCTGACATGAGCTCTGCACTCGCGATAACTGGGGGATACCAGTAATGAGTGTGTCTGGACATGGAGTATACAAAAAAAACCAGTTATGGCATCTAACGGCCGGCCATCTTTCTATGAAAATGATGACAAACCAGTGGATGAAAAGGGTTTTCCATGGGTTTTCCCATCATTTTGAGGTGCCAAAACTATATATACTGTAATGCAGAATATTTCTGGCTATATATCATATTCCAGTATATCCCTACTATATGCCCATGGTATTCCCACCATATCTACAACCAACAGCTACCATCAGGCGCCGCGAAAGCGCGCGGCCTTCGTCGGCTGCAAGACCTGTGACGACTGGAAGTCACTTCGAGGTCCAGGTTCAGTTCCAAATGATCCAAATGGCCTTAGAGTAACTTCCAAAAAGATGGTTAAATAGTGGTTAAATCTATATTGATCTATTACTATTACAGACTGCATAAGCTGCATACAATTCTATCACTCGATTTTGGTGTCCTATCTTTGGGGTCGCCATTTATCGTGGTTGACATTCGCTAGGGATCATCCTCCTAAGGCCGCCGATTGGGCATCGAACACGAACCTCCAACCTCCAACAGCTACATGGCTCACAAAAAAACCCTTCAATTCTTGAGAGAATACTTGGCTAGTGAAGTTCAAAACTCACCTTCGTGACAAAAAAGATTGCAGCAGAAAACCCAATGAATCTCTCACAACTTCCACAAAATCCGGTTCAAAAAATCATCCACCAACGTGCCCTGAAAAACCCAACAAAATCGAGAATTCGACCCACACAGGTTCCCTCTCCCAGGCCTCTCCCAGGCCTGGCACATGGGACAATCTGGATTTCTGTCACCATCTGATTGTATATGGAAACCCTGAAAATCCTTGGAAAACCCCCAAACTCCCATGGTTTCATCGCACCATTTTCCCTACCAAACATGGTCATAACTTCTTGTGCATCAGAAACCATAAATGTGTCCTGTTTCATGTGGGAAACCCCATTTCTGCCATACATCTAGCAAACTTGGGGGCTGGTTTATATCATCCACACAAATTGTGACTTTGGGGATGGTTTTATTATTGGCTTTACCACATTACAACCTCACAATCGTTGCAAAGGTCCATCATTCCTGGGCATTGTTGGTTTGATTCCTCCACTTTCGTTGCTGAATCGCCCATGTGTGGTGGTTAAACGTGTTGTTTCGTCCGTAGGAGCGCCATGCATAGCTTCAGGGTCCGTCCATCATGGAATCCTTGACTGATTTCAATCAAGACGATGTGATAAAATTATCATCAATACATAGAATATTAATGATAATGATATTTATGGAATAATATTCTATGTATTTTATGGAATATTATACAATATTATACATCATCAATGCCATAAAATATTCCAATTGATGATGTATTCTACTATATTATAATAGATGATGCCATAAAATAGTCCATCTTAATGCCATTCTATGGCATCCACAAATACTACCTGGAAAGATGCCATAGATTGGATCCAAATCCAATTGCCTGTGATTGGGACAAAGGGACCCTGACGAGCACCTGGCACCATAGGGCTTCGCAGCAGCCGCTTTTCTAAGGCTTGCGCCTGCACGGAGAGAGGTCAGAGTACAGGAAGCAATAAATCTGAAATGATGTAACACCACTCACTGGAGGCAAAACAATGGAAAACACCTGTTTTTGATATGTTCTAGGACACTTTTGCGGTCAATTCCCAAAAAATATCTCAGAGAAACTCTCATCAAATCCCATCTAATCTTCATTTTTCCAGCATTTTCCCAAGCAAATCTCTCCCTTTTTTTCCCCACCTTCTCCCAGAGAGCGGTATGGCGCTTGCGCAGTCCGCGCATCTTTTCGCGACTCTGGCGCACCTGGATGCTACGTCTAAGTTATCTAAGTTATCTGGGTATGGGTCAATACCTATAGATACATGTTTAGTGGGATGAACATCCATTTACCAGCTATTTTGGGGTTCACTAGGTGCCAGGGTTTTGACCCATCCCCATCTAAGTTCTTGCTGATAAATGACTGAGGCGATCTAAGTCACAAGGGGGATCTAAGTTGTCCACGTGAGCTTAAAAGTTATAGAAGTCAGTTTATAAGTTCAAGTAACTTTAACTAAGTTGGCTGACGTTTCTAGATTTGAACTGGATAGAAATGGGCGTTTGAATCCATAGATCGGGGTCTACTAACCCCCCCAGAAGCCATGGTTGAATAGGTGATGAAACCACGATTTGGGATCATAGAATGGGGTGTGACACATGAATGGGGGGGAAGTTATCTAGCGAACTTTAGAAGTTTTCTTCGTAAACTTGCTAATATATATATATAAGTTAGCTATACAGCAACCCTTGGTATAAGCTAGCCAAGTTGGTCTCTAACGAGTAGCTTGTATGAGGGTATGATATAGTAATTGTTTGACTATAGTTATAAAACTCCCAATATCCGATAGAATTTAATACCATATCCGATTCCAAAAATAGTGATAAATTGATTTGAACCTATTCTCTCTTTTGGGGGGGTTAGTGAAATATGTGATAGAAATCGGAATTACTCATCAACAACGGGAACAAAAAAATCTGGATGAGGATTATATAATTATAATCATCAATAATGGGAGTTTTTACATGGAATGACTTATGGACATCCAATGTCATCCATCCCACAATGGGAATCTAATCATGAAGCCCATTTCGTGACACTGGCACATGATGGCACATGTGTCACCAGTGTGCGCAAGGGTGAACACCATGTTTCAGAAACTGCATATCTTTCATGGGTGGGAGCATCTCATGAGAATATGTGTTAAGAGTGTCTGTGTGTGAGTGTTCTGCTTATCTTTGCACTTCTTCTTGTATACACTAACACAATCGTACATGTGTATCCATCAAAATGGCAAAAACATAAGCTTTGAACCCACCATTCACTATTCACTGGGGTTTAACACGGTTTAACCAGGACAATGCAGGTACCCAAACAAAGAATGGGAAGAAACCAGGGAAACAATACTGTACCATTCCACCAAAACCATGGGGAAAACCAGAAGTTGCTTTCGATGGTGGGAAAAAAGGCCAAGAAAAGATCAGTATGTATTCAACAAATCAAGTGAACAAACAAACAGTCTGGAAAAATAGCCTCCGGAAATCAAACATGGCTGCCATGGCTGGAAAATCATCAAATTTAGTTTGATGATTTTGCCTTTAGTTCGATGATTTTGCCAGCTCTAAAACCTCGATTTGTAGGGGTGGTGATGTTCCATACGTTCCTACGATTTTCCCTTAATTATATTTCCATGGATCTTATAGGGGGGTTGTCCATTCAAACCTCTATTCCTGATGGGAAGTTGCCATTGAAAACCGGATTTTCTCCCAGACCTCGCGAAGGAAGCACTCCTTCCGCTGTTTGGCGCACACCACCTCGCCTTGCACATCCTGGAACGAGGGGCTTTGGAGGTGCCATAACTATCCATAACTGAGGACCTGGAGATTTTTTGAAGCCATCAACCAGTATATACTAAATGCTTCATTCATTGAATGTATATATATATATGTATATATCTATAGGAAGTAGCAACTCCCAATATCCGATTGAATGGAGTAAAATCTCCGATTCTTTTAAAAAAAAGTGAAGAATTGCAGCTGTTCGGCATCTTTTTTCGGAATGGTATATGAATCCTCGGATATCTCCAGCAGTTGCTGCTCCTATTCCAATGCTAGACACCCCAAGAGAGATGTTCCCATCAAGTTGTGCCTCCAGCTTCATTTCCAGTTCCCGAGCGCGGCGCCTGCCATCAAGACTGGTGGATCCCCGGAAAGGGTGTGGTTTAACTCATAGGAAACCCTGGCTGCCACAGAACCTACATGAACCCAACCCAGTTCTGACGTAAGTCAGGACGGTTGATGACTCTGGCTGGTCATTAGTGTCAACCCTGGACTTTTATTCATCCCTGGGCTGTTGATCATGGGAGAGTTATCACTCAACCAGGGGTGATTCATCCAGGGTTGGCGGTTTACAGGAATAGATGTTGATCTCATAAAATCACTATAAAAGCTATCAATCCCATTAACTATATTAAATCTCATTGAATCACCATTGAATCAGCATTTAAACCCATTGAATCACCATTGAATCAGCAGGTTTTTCTCATGAAATCACCGTAAATCCAGGCTTGACCTTACTCATCAACTTCCCAAAAAAACTCGGCACCTTGATGCTTCCAACGCAGGCTCGGCTTGGCGCAGCTTCACCAAGGCAGGGTTTTGGGCTGCCTGAAACCGTGCTTTTTTCATGGGGATCGAATGGGAAATTTTGGGATATACATATATATATATATACACATATTATAAATATATATATATACACATATTATAAATATATATATATATACATGTGTGTGTGTGTACCTAGACCCTCTGTTTGTACCCATAAAAAGTGTGGTTTACCCTTTAATTTTACTCCTTTTCCCGTTTTTGGGGTGTATTTGGAGGGTCTAGGTATGTGTGTATGTGTATATATATATATATATATAGCCAACTCTATGGATTGGGTTTATTTCCAATTTGGTATTTGATGATGAGACCCTTCAGAATTGGGGGCACACCTCATTTTCAGACAAACACATGAAAAAACCAACAAAGCACCAAAACCAATTCTCCCCCGTTGATTGCACCAATAAGTGATAACTGTTCACAACTTATAACGAAATTTGGGGGAGACAATGGCACGACTGGCACGACTATGAATCCAAAATCCATTAAAAACACTCCAATGATTATCAATGATATTCCTCACAATTTTGCGAAATCCTGATTTCACAAGCAAAATCATGACATCGACCAGCATGTATCAGTGATATCCACGTATATCATTCATATATCCCATTATTTTCATTGTCAAAATATGTCAAAAACCTACAAAAAATTGCATGAAATGAAGGTTTTTCCCAAGTCAACAGGGGGTACCCCGTCCCCATCATCCACTAACCGTGGGATCTAGCACCTCTTCTCGTTCTGCGCGCAAGCGTTCGGTGCCTTGGAAGACCCGCTGCAACTCCTCCTCGGTCCAAGTTGCGTGGCCGGGGGGTCATTGTTCTATATGATAGTAGTACGGTCATTGTAATGTTGGAATACAATTACTCATTGGAGTAATACAATTCATCAATATAGTATGAGTAATATATTCCATCATTATCAATGATAGTATGGTCATTGTAATGTATTACATACTCATACTATTACTATAGTGAATACATGTGTATACAAATGTTATGGAAGAGTACTGTAATCCATCGGATACTCATGTTATGTGTTTGACTCGACCATCCTTCAAAATGTTGGTCAAGTTACTTCCAATTGGAGTAAGCTTTTTAGCGGACCGGCTCCTTACAAGGCTTTACTAGTATGGGGCAAAGTCTTCGATATTCTCCTGGTGCACTTTGCAAAAAGTGAATAGAAGCATTGGATATCGATGGCAATGGGTCAAAACCCTGGTAGTAGCCTTCCGTTCACATCAACGTAGCCGGGGTTTGGATGTTCATCATTGTTCACCCCCCAAAGTGTGGTAAATCATGGGTTTTGACATCCCAATCAAACGAGGCTGGAAAATACCTTTGAGTGTTTAATTCATTAGTTTAAATTTGCGGAATGTCAATGAATATCATCAAAGAAAACATCAACCCAAAGTCACCGGTGAATTTCCCATTGCAATAACATGGATATTTACCATATTGCAATACCCATCACACTGCATTGTCGAATGAATTTCCCTATATACATCTATAAACATCTATAAACCGGTGAATTCCCCATACAAAAACCAGTGATTTCTGACAAAATCCGTTCCAAGAACGGTGGCTCGCCTGCAAAGACACGCCGACTCCACTGGCACCCTTGGTACTCACCTCCAAATCCTGCAGGCTACACCTGGCGTCTGCCACACAGCTTGGATGTTAGTGATAGGATACATAGGGAAAATCTTGGAAAATCTACGGAAAATTCGGGAAACTTAGGGAAAATCATGGCAAAATCAAACTGATGTTAGTGATTTCAAACCTTTTTTGGGGAAAATTATGGAAAAAAAACATGGTGATTCAAACTGCTATGTTTGGGAAAATATATGAAAATATATGAAAATATCCTATCCTGTGCTTGGGAAACTCAATTCCTAGCTCCAACTGGCTCCACTTTTTTCGTGTTTTCCAACTGGCTCCCGGATCAACAAAAAAATCCATGAAATCTCTATGGCGCCTAGGTGGAAATCCATGTTTTGCTCAAAGAAATCCACTTCATATGGGAACTACGGACGTATCTCTCTCTGGTTAGATATCACTCTTGCTTAGATCCGCGGCCTCAGCTCCTGTACAGACTCGCCCAAGACCTGGTCCAAAGCTGTGGATCTTCCATTGGCATTGCAGCATTGACTCAGAAAAATCCGATGGCCTGTTGTAATGTAGAAAGTGCAATGTAGATTGTAATATATATAGAAATTGGCTGATGTAATATATTGAAATTGGCATTGATCTTCTATTCACTTTTGGCATGGAGGAAAGTGCACGCCAAAAATCACAGCGAAAATCTTCTGAGTTTTCTTTGATGAAAAGAGTGTAAATCGAACGGGGGGTCAAAAGAATCAGAAACAACGCTTCTCAGTCAGGAACTTGAGGCGTGTGTACTTTCTGAACTTGGGGATGACCATGTCTGAAATCTTGCATTACCCATATGCTCCATGTATCGTATATTTAAATTTACCTACATTTGAGTGACTTTTGGGCAAATGTTGGTATATAGTCCATATATGGAGCATATGGGTTATAGTAACCACCCAAACAGATAGAAACGTCATTGACTATTTGTTTTAGACATAGATTTTACTCTGTTGCTAGGATCACCACCTTCACTAATCACTACATAATAGAGTTTTACCCCGCATCCAATGGATGATTCCTGGATGATATCCAAATTGTCCAGTCGTTTTCTATCTGGTTGGTGGTTTTAACCATCTTGAAAAACATGAAAGTCAATGGGAAGGATTATCTCATATATTATGGAAACATAAAATTCATGTTCCAAACCACCAACCAGCTATAGTTGTCTATCAGTCTGAGGTTTGTTATACTCAAACGACTGGATTCCGCATCATCTCACCCTGCCTTCAAGCGCTGCTGCCAACGATCCAGGTCACCCTATCAGGAACGGCCAGTGATTTATGGCCAAGTTGGGCATTCCATGGACCTACAAGGTTGTGCCCTCCCAGTTATAAACGGGTTTATAAACCATAGTAAGTATAGATATATCTACTAAACCATAGTTATTGGAGTTATGTTCACCAACTTAGCTAACTATGGGGCACCACCTTGTAAGATGACCTAAACTGACCTAAGATGACGCAAGCAACGCGGCACACTCCGGGCCAATGAGGCAACTCTGGCCAACTTGCATCACACTTGAACTCCAAAACAACAAGCCCCTGGATAAAGATAGCAAACTAACAAGTCTCAATACCCTCTGGTAAACTAACAGTTCGCTATTGAAGCCAAAGCCATAGAAATAGTGGATTTACCCATTAATAGCATGGTGGATCTTTCCAGTTCGTTATGTAAACGTTACCAGGCCGGGTAAATCCATTACGAAAAACTGTCGAATCATGTAGATTCCCCATTCCCATGGCCATGTTGGTGCCACAATGGAAAATCGTCCACTGCTGGTCGATCTTCATTCATTTTTTAGAGCCGATGGATCCCAGGATATCCCATGGCTTCACTTAAAATACTGGCTTGAATCAATGGATTGGTTTAAGATGTTTAAGGGAAAAATTTCACCGGAAAGCCCCATATGAAAAATGGGAACATCGATGGTTTCCGGTTAAGATTTTCCCATGAAAACCAATCCATTTATTGAACCGAACGGAACACCCTCCATCCATCTCCATCCCATCCCGTTCCGTTCCCGTTCCGTTCCCGTTCTCGCACCTTTGCTGCGGTGCAATCCACTAGACTTGCGAGCCGTGCCAGGGCCTCTTTCTGCCTGAAAGCCCAGGGCCGGCCCTGGGACCTTCCGATCGCTTCGGAAGGTCACGGTCTGATGCTATTGGGAAATCCACAATAAATGGAGGTCATGGGAAAATCATCTATGAAATGGAGGATGTTCATGAGTTTACTTCTGTTTAGGCTGAGTTATCCTCTGGTAACTTTGGTATACGGTTTCGTAGCTAAAATCACCATGTTTCATGGGTAAATCCTCTACATCTTCCTATCGCCATGTTGGGCCTGCCTCATGTCCAGAGTCTCCGACAACTCTTGAGCGCGACGTTTCTTCAACTGGGCAGCCTCGAGGGCTACGGCGGCTACGGATGATTTGGAGAGGAAGAAGTTGGTTCCGGTTAGTTCACCCAGTTACAAATGGGATCATGGATAATCCAGTTTTAAAACAACTTACAAAAACTAAGGGGTAGATTACTGGTTGGTGGTATACCTACCCTGCTGCAAAATATTAAATAGTCAGTTGGGATTATGAAATTCCATGAAATTCCCAATATATGGAAAAATAAAATTCATCTTCCAAACCACCAACCAGATTAGCGGTGGATCTGGGATCACAGCAAAGCACTGCAGCACTGCCATGTTGTGCGTAGCTTCGGCCATGGAACATCTGTCGAATTACATGTTTCATATCGCCAGTAGCTCAGTGTACCAAATCATGTTGCTGTATTGTAATTATCGATGTTGCTTTCTGCAGAGTTGCGTCTGTCAGTACCATTGCAAGGTGAGCTCTCGCTGTTCAACATCCATGGTTGCTGTATTTCTCAACAATTCTTGGTTGATCAATCCAAAGATCTTGCCATATGTTCTTCATCATGTTCCCCCTACCCCGAACAGAAAACAACTCCAAAAAAAACATCTCAATCCGAAAAAAAAAACTGTACACCAGAAATACAATTAAGTCTTGTTAGGTATTAATATGTATTAATACTTGGCATTAACATACATTAACAACTATTTTCCAAGAAAAATTGACCAGCCAATCTGCGATTTCCTCCTTTCAGACCTTGACCCATAGCCCGCATCCCATAAATCCCATGGCATGGGCGCCTTCAACTGACCCTCGACCTCCACCTTCTCATGCAAGTTTGACTCGACATTGGCCTGGGCGACTCTTCAGTGGAATGGATAGGAGAGGGGAGAGGAGCGGAGAGCAGAAGATAAGATTCGATGGATTGGTTTAAGGGAAAATCTTAAGCGGAAACCCTTGTTTGTCCTATGAAATATGGGGTTTCCTGTAATTTGTCCCTTAATTAAACCAATCCATTGAAAGATACGATAGGATAGGATTCGGATAAGATAAGAATACAGATAGACAGATAGATAGTATACCAGTAGTACCGCACAAGGCGGTGGCGGAAGTTTCAGAATAGGAAACCTATAGGAGACGTTGGTTGTTGTGAATCACGGATGGCAGAGCGAATCCACTGATTGACCGAAGGGTGGTTGGAGTTGTGTTTGCTGGAGTGGTTGCAATGGTTGCAGTGGTCACCTCACCCACAACTGCTGGATGTAGTGTGATGTACTGCAACTGTAGTTGTTGTAGTTGTAGTTGTTGTTGTTGTTGTTGTTGTAGTTGTAGCTGTAGTTGTTGTGTGGTTGTAGTCGTTGTGTAGTGTAGTAGTAGTAGTAGTAGTAGTAGTAGTAGTAGTAGTAGTAGTAGTAGTAGTAGTAGTAGTTGTTGTTGTTGTTGTTGTAGTTGTAGTTGTTGTTGTTGTTGTTGTTGCTGTTGCTGTAGTTGTAGTTGTAGTTGTAGTTGTTGTTGTTGTTGTTGTAGCTGTAGCTGTAGTTGTTGTAGTTCTAGTTGTAGTTGATGTGTAGTTGTAGTTGTAGTTGTAGTTGTAGTTGTTGTTGTTGTTGTTGTTGTTGTTGTTGCTGTTGTTGTTGTTGCTGTTGTTGTTGTAGTTGTTGTAGTCGTAGTTCTAGTTCTAGTTCTAGTTCTAGTTGTTGTGTAGTTGTAGTTGTAGTTGTAGTTGTAGTTGTTGTAGTTGTAGTTGTAGTTGTTGTGGTTGTGGTTGTGGTTGTGGTTGTGGTTGTTGTTGTTGTTGTTGTTGTTGTTGTTGTTGTTGTTGTTGTTGTTGTTGTTGTTGTCGTCGTTGTTGTTGTTGTTGTTGCTGTTGCTGTTGCTGTTGTCGTCGAAGTTAGGGTAGTTAAGTTAGTCAAGTTAGTTAAGTTAAGCAGTGTCTACTTTTTCGACATCTTCACGTCAAAAAAGGCTCAAAACCCTCAGTTTTTTACACTTTTGACTTCGAAATGTGCTTCGTGCCTTTTTCGACACTTTTTCGACATCTGAACCTCCAAAAGTGGTCCGAGACCGTCAGTTTTTATCACTTTTGACTTGGAAATGTGCTTCGCGCCACAACGGCGTGCACTTTTTCGACATCTCAACTTCCAAAAGTGGTCCGAGGTTGCGGTGTTTTGTACATTTTGACTTCAAAATGTGCTTCGCGCCACAACGGCGTGCACTTTTTCGACATCTCAACTTCCAAAAAGTGGTCCGCTCCTCTAGTGTTTTGCTCATTTTGACTTGGAAATGCGCTTCGCGCCACAACGGTGTGCACTTTTTCATGTCTCATCTGGCCAGCTGGCTCCGCACCCGCCGCTTTAGCGAGCCTACTTTTCGACCCCCCGGAGCCACAAATCATTGGAAAAACACAGTGAATCGCGACTTTCCTATCTTTTCGCGCATCTACCTCTTCTTTCTTCTGATCTTTTCTCTTCTGACTCTTTTCACCTCTGCTTTTCAACTGTCCATATTGTCGGAAGTTTCACTTCTAAACTTCCTTCGATGACGGTATATTTATATATATTTATATGATTTTATGTGTGACTGTGCATATGTCAATAGAGTGGTTCTCAACCACTTCATTTCTGCCCTGATGAAGCCCCCTATGACTTGGTAGCCAATTTTCTGGCGGATCATCACGCACTGTACGAAATTCCAGGCTAAATCCAATGCGAAAATCATCCAGACCTCATGGATCACATGGTTTCTGTATGAATTTTTAGGGGCCGTCAAAAGGGAAAAACCACTCTGGCCAACAGGTCGGTCATCCCATGACCAAGCACATCGTGCTGGAAAAACAACTTTCTTTGGCAGTTTTTTCCCATTCCATGACCGAAAGATACTGAAAGAAGATCAAAAAGTCCATGGTTTTTTTTTCGGATCTCCATTGACTCTCAAATATCCATGAAATATCAACTAACATCAAGATCGATATGATCAAATTTGCTTCAAACTTTGCCTCCAGGATTTCCATTGGTGACCAGCTTCCAGGATCTAATTTTTCCGTATCCTCCAAAATCCACTGGTGAACCATTATTTCTATTCATGTTTTCCCATTCAATTGGCGAAAAATACTGGGGTATCATTCGGTATCATCCAATTTTTGTGACAGAGAGTCCATGGCCATACGTGGATGTCCCACTTCGGGTGGGATGTCACAATTTTTTCCTGCTTATATGTGGTTTATACCATCTCGAAAACCACTCTTTTATATGGGTTACCCTCCAGTAATCAAACATATCCATACCCTCCAGGTCAATGACCTCGTAGAATTTGGCCTTTTAACTTTGATGATCAGGACCTACTATTACTTGATGGGGACATATTTAAAAAAAAAACAACATTTAGTTCGATGATTTTGCCATTACAACCTCCATGGCTAGGGGATTTTCCAGCCAGCCACGTTTGATGACGCCGGATTCCGCTAATCAGCAAATCAATCAGCACTAAATCACGATTAAATCACCATTAATCACTAAATCAAAATTAAATCGCCATTAATCACCATTAAATCACCATTAATCACGATTAAATCACCATGAATCACCATTAACCACCATTAAATCACTATTAAATCACCATTAATCACCATTAAATCTCCATTAAACCACCATTAAATCACCATGAAATCACCATGAGATCACCATTAAATCTCCATTAATCACAATTAAATCACCATTCATCATGATTAAATCACCACTAAATCACGATTAGATCACCTTCACGATTAAACCGCCATTAATCACCATTAAATCACCATTCATCACGATTAATCACCACATGATTAAACCACCATTAATCACCGATAAGCCGCCATTAAACCACCATTAAAACACAATTAAATCTACACCATTAATCACCATCAAATCACAATTAATCATTAATCAGCATTAAATCACCATTAATCACCATTAAAGCACCATTAAATCATCATTAAACCACCCTTAAATCACTATTAAATCACCATCAAATCACCACTCAATCACCATTCAATCTCCATTGAATCACCATTAAATCACCATTATTGAATCACCATTAAATCACCATTAACCACCATTAAACCACCAATAAATCACCACTAAATCACCATTAATCACCATTAATCACAATTAAATCACCACTAAATCACCATTAAATCTACACCACTAAATCACCATTAAATCCCCATTAAATCCCCATTCGTCAGCAAAGACCCAGTGTTCTATGGGGTACTGTGCCTTCACCTGGCGAAGCTGCGCCAAGCCTTCACGCGCCCGCGCTTCCTGACCAACAAAAAGTCAAAGGCTTAACGGTTATAGTATATACCCTCTGCTAATGTAACATAGCTATGGAAAATGGCCATAGAAATAGTTGATTTATCTATAACAAATTGTGTTTTTCCATAGCTATGTTAAATTACCAGAGGGCAACTAGTATATAGCTAGTATACTCTGGGAATCGATGATTGCAAATATGCACATTTGAGGCATGATGTCAACATGTTGCATACGGAGGCAATGATGCCAAATGTTGCTAACATTTGTTGGTACCCATAAAAGTCCATTAAAAGTCCATCAAATGTATGAGGGTTCACACCATCATGGTGTTAGGAAGTCAAATTTATCATTTTTTAAGAGGCATCAACCCCTCATTGTTGGGCATCCAAAACATGTGATCAGCGGTGAAAGAAACACCATGTGCGGAAAATATCAAGAATATCGCTAAACAGTTAAACATCAGGAACATTATTTCAAGAAACTCACGTTTAACAGGGCCCCAAAAGGTGCATGTTTCTATTTTTTGGCGTATGAAACGCCATTTGGCAAAGCTTAAGGGTGCCAAGGCCACTAGCCATGGTAAATCGACTGTGACTGGTCATGGCGAATCTACTACTCGTGCCAAAGGGGCTTCGAAGGATTACTTGCGTTTTTGGTCAGGTGCCATCCCGCCCTTTGCTCTGGGTTGGTGGTTTTGTGCGCAAGGTGCTTTAAGATAGCAAGGGCTGTGGAATTTGTTTGAATATCGGGATGGATTAAATTGCGTTGTTGGATTCTTACAGTTACCATGTCATAATCTTGGATCTTGACGCATCAACAGGATAAACCACCAAAAGAGGTGCTGGGAACCAAAACCACATTGTCTTATTTTTGGCTGCCTGGGGGATGGTTCTTGTGCAATATGATATATATATATATATATATATTATCTTATATATATAGCACAAGAACCACCTAGGTTTTACTCACTTTTTAGTCTCCAAAAACCATCTGGACTTGGATGCATTTCTTTCAGGGACATGCCAAAAAAAGTATTTGGTTTATCGAGTTTGGATTTATTTTGGGTTGTTTCTTGACACCATGCCTCAAATGTTAATTTTTGCAATCATCGATATCCCTACCCCCCTACCCTAATCATTAAATATATTTATCAGGAACCTTGCATCCCGGGGATCTTGAGGTTTCCACACCACGCCAAGACCTCTAGCTGCTGGCTCCAGCCCTCGGCGCCATGGCGGTCCAGTTGCAGAAGTTGGTTTTGGAGGAGGGGTGTGGTGTGGCATTGGGGATAGGTCAAAACCTACATCTTTGGGTGAATAACTATCCAACCAGCTATTTCAATAATGTTTACCAGGGCTACAGGGTTTTAACCCACAACCACATGATATAGCATTATACACTATATTGGGGGAAGAACCACCCAGCCAGAAATTTCAATGTTCACCAGGGCTACAGGGTTTTTATTCTTTATATATTTATAATATATATTTATTTAATTAATTAATTAATTAACTAATTAATTATTTTGTTTAACCATTATTATATATATATTGATGTGCCCAACGCCACTTGTGCTTCGGTACACCTTACTTATGCATTTGTCAACCAATGCAGGACTTCCTCAATGACTACTTCCAGAAGAACGTGGCTGAGATCAGGAAGACCAAGAAGGTGCTGTTGATGCCAGATGATGCATCTCCGGATAGCAGCTTGGCAGCCCCTTGGATTATTAAGAACTTCCATGGATTCCATGGAATTGAATAGAATAATCAGGTGTAATCTACCTCAACTTAATCAGCTTGAATTTTACCATCCTAATGTTGATCAAGTCAGTCTGTCACCAAATTCCTCCTTTTTTCGATCATGTTCCCTAGGTGGAGCACAATGTGGCCTTCATAATGGAGTACTTCGCGAGTGTTGGCTGCTGTGTGCCCAACATGAAGTTGCAAAAGATGGTGCTCTCGCTCCTTGGATCGAGGTATGCGATCCATACCAAGTCCCGAGACCGGAAGGACTTGGGCTTGGGGCTTCAAAGCGGTGCCGCATGTCACATCGAAGTTTTTTTGTTTTCACATTTTGGAAAATTTCCAGATCTGGAATCTGTGTATGCATGGACTGTCGCATCGCTCTGTTTTTTTGCTTTCACATTTTAGGTAGTTTCCTTATCTGCAGCCTCTGGCATTTTATCTGGCATTTTGGACACAATTTTCTAGGAGGACACCCATACACTTTTGTCTTGTGCAGGAGTGGGTGACGCGGGAAGCTCCCAATGTTCGCTGCATCCTGGTCCATGCCCTGCTGCTGCGCAAGCGTGCTGAATCTTCAAGGAGCCAGAAGATTCGCTTTTTGAAGCAGTTCATTCACAAGCTGGTGACTGATGAAGGCAACTGCGGCTATCTAAATCATAGTGTTGGGCACCCATATCAAATATATACTATTTAGACAGAATAAAATGATATAATATATATATAAATATCATTTATATATATATATATCTATTATATTAATATAAATTAGTCTATCTTATATCTAAAGTTGATTCCCATAGTTAGATCGAAATATTGGTTTCTCAAATGGGGAATCCCAACATGATGGGAATACTAAAATATCTTAAATATGGGGGTACCATGATTTTAGGAAACATCTCCAACATGTGGGTCATGTCCCAACTACAATAAGTTTTTTCCCAAAAAGAAAGGGATCCCTCAAAAACTATGGGAACACAACATGATCTACTAAAGAATGATTTGGGGGTAGCATCATTTCAGGTTATATCCCCAACATGGGGTTAATGCCCTAATGATATGACATATATGGGTTTCTAAAAGTGGGGAATCCCCAAAACCATGGAAATACTAGTCTAATCAACCCCATATCTTATGAACATGCCCTTAAGGTGCCGAGCCTGAACAAAGCATCGGTGCAGCTCTCAATGCTACTGCTGCCAATATGAATCTTCGAGTGAGGAGATATGGTGGGAGAATCAGGGTCGTCAACCAAGTTGAATTGAAGTTCTAAGTATCCAGTAGTGGAACCTGTTTGTTCTCGTACCACAGCCAAGACTTTTTCCCCCATATAGACACAAACCCATGTGACTAGGAGCTGGTTGATTCTCCATCCCCGGGGACCGAAGCTGCAATCGTGAAGCAAGATCCTCTTGAGATGATGGCCACTTGGACAATCGATGCCTATAATTGGGAAAGCATGTAAAGAATAATTATGTTCCAAAATTCCCAATGTGGGGCCTTATTTGACATAAATGTCTTCAGGTGAGCCCCGAGACCATGGACACCATACCCCTGTACATTGACTTCGTTGATGCTGATGCTGGTGTCGTTGATGGGACCCGCCGACAAGCAGCCAAGGAATCTAGCTTGAATTAATCTGGTGAATGCCAAAAATAAAATTCATGGGCCCTTACTGAAGGGGTTTTATTGATCTATCTATATGTGACCGTAGGCTGGAATTGGAGAACCTCGTCAAACTCCCTGATTTGTCTCCATGCAGAGATTAGCCGAGTTCTGTGCCAAATGATACTTCTCCTCGATGACCATCACAATCGGTGCATCAGGAAAGAGTCTGGTGATGTCCTTGCTCAGACTCTGATGGCCACCTTCCCATCATAGGGGTTTCCAAGAGCATACCCCACCTTGAAGGGGCAACTGAGACATCCAGCCACACGCCTCGTAGTCTTGAAGCTGCAGGATGCACTGTGAAACCAATTCTTGGTCACGATCCAAATGTTTGCCATCTCAGGTTCCAGATTTTGATTGAAAAAGTTCAACAATAATTATTGATGATATCATGACCAGGTAACTTGATATATATTTATAACTACACTATTAGGTCTACAATTATCTCCTGGTCAATCTCACTCACCACATCCGCCCTCAAGGACCACACTCCCTTGGAGGCTGTTCCACCTGAGCTGACCGAGAAGGAGGTGAATCTTCTTGGTGACGTGGAAGAGGGGGATAAGGATGAGACGGTCGATGTGTATGGGAAACAACTGGCTAGTGTGAAAGCTTCCAAAATACAAACGGCCCAGGCTTTGCTTGACAAGGCGAATGGGAATGGGAAGGTGATCAAAAATTTGAAGGACATCCATTTTGAGTAGTGACCACAATGATTGATGGTTACTATATATTAATTGATATTTCATTTGAGTATGGGGCCCTTTATCAACCACTACCCCTGGGGCGGGATTAACATCAAAAAAACAACGCTCGTTGGGACAGAAACTTTTCCCTCACAAGCAGATTGCGTTTTCCCCCCTTCGCTCATCGATGTAGCGGTATTAATGGCAGCAGCCACGCAAGGCCCTTGTGCCCAGCTCATCTACTCCCGGGCTTTTGTTTTTTTAAGGGGACCATGTTAACATCACAGGGCGATTTTGGGATGCCCCCTTGAATTATGTTTCAGGGTGGCCCTCTCAAGTAGCGACCACGAGCTTTCACAAAGGTTCTAAGCATGGGTAGGCCATATCGACGTTTCGATAACAAAATGGTGGCATGGATTTGCCTGGAGCAAAAGATCATGTGCAACTTTGGGCATCGATCGGCCCAACATCCTTTTTAAGAATGCAGGGCAAGTTCAACATACCTGGACAAGATATCACAACAATCATGTAGTTGATCTTAATTGGCTGGAACAAATGGGGTGCTCATGTTGGGGTAGTTGAAAATTTGATATAAACTGCCAGGACTTGTTGGCCAAGTGCACTTCTAGAAGCTCCACAAATAGGCCTAAGGGAGCCGTTGCGGCACTCTTTGCCTTTGCCTTTGGGATAGTAGTGTGCTTACGGATGGGAATGGATGCTGCTTTGTAAGCTTCATTGGATCGATCCAGGGCCTTAGTAACATGATCCAAATCACCACCCGAAGCCAACACACGCTCGATTTCATCCTTTGCCGATCGAAGCTTCTCACCCTCACACTGCATTTGGGCAGCGAAGGCATCAGCAACAACTTGGGCCCTTGGTTAGCCGGATGCAGTATGAGTTGGACTGACATCCCTGAAAACAATATGATAGGTATAATTAGGTATATATTATTTTAAAAAAAACTATTATATATATAATATTATAATATAACCAACTTGATTTAGAGCCCCTGTGTGCCAGCCCAGCACAGACATGATGAGCCAAGACACGTACCGGCCTTGACCAATCGGTAGTTCCCCTGAGAGATCTCCAGCAAATTTGCATTCGCCTTCGTCAAAGCCTTGGCTGGACAGCAGGCACAAATTACAAAATCTCTTGACCAAATCCCAGTAAGATGCACTAAATACATCTACCAAGCCCAGCCAAGAGAGTTGAATTTCCAAAAAAAAAGTCTCTTGACATTGTAATGACAAGATGTCACAAATAAACGCCACATAATTAAAAAACAACAACTCAACCTAGGAACATTTCGGGCCAGCTGATCTTGAGTCTTTTCCTTCTTCGGCTTTGGTGCCCCTGATGGGGTGGGCTTTCCCTTGGATTTTCCTTTGCCCTTACTTACCTTTTCCTTTTCCCTTATTCCCGGTGTCACCCTTTCCAGGACTTGCACCCCCAGATTCACCATTCTCTGCAGTCTCAGTGAACCACCCAAAATATGTTCATGATGGTGCACACCAAGGCTAGCAGGGCCCATCTTGCTGCCACCTGGTTTCCCAAACAAACACATTCCACATCTTCATCACCAAAGATGCCCCAGCTGTCGGCGTTGCGCCGCGTTGTTGAAGAACTGATCCATATCCAACTGAGCAGAAATGATTTTCTGGATGCGTATGTTTCTTCTTTTGACTGTAGCACTTAGTAAGTGGTTTGTAATCCCATATTATATATATTTAATATAGTGTGGAATATTCCATATGTATACATATATTTTTTTTAGTGGGGATATAAGTGGAGATATTCCATATTTTTATAATCAAAGTGGGATGCCCCTCAAGTGGTTTTTCCAAGCCACCCATTGCAGGGATTCCCTGACCAGAAGAGACCAGATCGGCGAATCCTCAAGACCTTCGTCAGGGATCGATGATGATCCATGGGCATAACCCACACAGAAACACAGTTGAAAGGGTCCCAGTTCCCCAGTTAGAATTCATTCAAGTAACCCTTCTGGTGTTGTCAAGTCATGGTATCGATTCTTCAGAAGATCTAGACCCTTGCAATCGATGCCATCGCTTCGACACTGCCTAGTCAGCTCCCCCTGACCACAGAAGAGCTCGCACATGTCGATGTCCTTGCCAAGGAAAAAGGCAACTAGGGCTCACCCCCCAATCAGATGGGTACCATTTCACCTCACCTCAAAACATAGGTTTAGCGAGCTGATAGAAACCCTCAAGCCCCCAAGGATCATTCATGGAATTTGGTTTCCCCATAGGCAATGCCAAGATATCCAAATTATAGGCCTTGCTTTAGGGCCCGTGATGACATATGAAAGCTTAGAATTCGATAATATGAATACCAAAAACCCAAGGACACCTGATTCTATCCCATAATTGCAAGTAAGGATCTCGCATGGTGTCATAAGGTCTCCCAGCCAGATATGTTTGGAAGCAATAGTCGATGCAATGAATCCTGGGGATTTTCCCATGGCCATGGTGGTGATACAGAGTCTCCCTGAACTGTGTGTGTAAAAAATATGTTCAATTATGTAATTAGTAATTAGGTAGGCCGATGGATCAGCCGAGAATGTCAGTGCCTACATGGCGACATGCCAATGACATCTGATGATGCGATGATCATGTGATGATCATGGTCAACTTCTGCGTGCAATTTTGACGACTATGACTACGGCCCCATCCGCATGGTTCCGGCACAGGTTCCGCGTGGTTCCAGAATGACCATTTTATTTAAAGCTTTAGACCCCCAAATGCTGCCAGGGCACAAAACCAACGGTGCTCCTAGAAAGAGCAACATGGTTGCCTTTCCCTTGCTCAAGTGGCGAGGCATGGCTGAAAGAAAGGGAAGATTGGTGCAACCCAAAGGCCTACACTGGGGGGGCCAGAGCCTGAAACTTTCAAGCCAGCAAAGGGAAGCGATTTTGATTTCCCTGATGGGAAAGTGAATCCCAAAAAAAAGGTGGAGAAGGCATCCCCCATGTGGGAAAATCAATAACCCATTTGGGTCACTGTGGGTTTGGGGTGGTGGTTTGCTACTGGGTTTTGATTGCTCGACACTGTGGTCTAGATTCCAAATGTTAATTTTTCTGATTCAAAATGCAAAACAATAATGGACCCAGAAAGAATTAGTAATACTAGTGATTTCTCACAAACCCTGAGCAAATTTGCTGATGTTTCTTGTGGTTTCCGATCAGATGCAACGAAATCTCGACTACCCAAATTGAAAGGTCATTTGCAAATATTTGCAATAACTACACTTTGACAATTAGTCCCAGGGGATCTCATCAGATGGTTCAAGCAATAGCCCCATCCCCCATCACATCAACAGATTTTGTGCTAATCTTTTTTTTGGAAATCTAGATCCCACAGGTCTTCACATTTTTGACGCGCGCTGATTGCATCGATCTTGGTAATTGTTGCGACCAAACAATGCCCCCAAACACTATTTCAAGTGTCAAAATTCGAAAGTTGGTCTCGCAACATGTGAAGATTGGCCAGCCAGGACACCTGAGATCACTATGATATAGGATGATTTGACAAATGATTTCACATGTAATTTTGATTTGGTCATCATCCCCTTTCAGGTCTTAAATTTCAAAAGATGGTCTCACAACAAATCAAGATTGACTAGTTGGGATGATGTGACAATTTGGATGATGTGGCAATTTGGTTACCGCAGGGGTAAGGGAATGTACTTCCAGCCAGCTAGCTTCACGGCAAGCTAACATCATTTCGAAAGATAATCTCACAAAATTTCAAGATTGGCCAGCCAGGGCACCCGAGATCACTAGGATGATTCTGAAGTTGATTTGGTCAAATAATGTTTTTGTGTGATCATATCTTATAAATAAAAATCCCAGGGCTGCCAGCAAGCACTAAAGGAATCTACTTCCAGCCCGCCAGCTTCTCTGCCAGCTCATACGATGGCACCCAGCCCCCACGACGACGGACAGATATGGTTGCACCTCCCTTCTTGTTGGTTTTGACATCATTGTATTCCTTGATCACCTTGGTCACATAGATCTGGTCCAAAGTCCACCTGGGCACCAGCAGCAATTTGTGGGAAGTGCTGGAGAGAAAAAGAAAAAGAGTCCAACTTGCTAAACTGTGCAAACCCCAGATTCTGGTTTGGGATCACCTTGGATGACTGTGGGAATAGGGTTTCATTCAGGTTTGGTTTATTAGTTCAAGGAACAAGATGCCGATAATGCTTGAACCTGAGCAATCCTGTGGGGGCTTGATTGTGAAGGACTTCTTCTCAGCAACGTTCGGTGGGATCTGAATAGGCAATGCTTGAAGGTCTTTCTCCTTAGGCAATGTAGGGTCGAGTATATCATCATTCTGTATATATTTATATATATATACAAATCATGACATATATATATATATATATTTATTATCATTATATATATATATAAGAATTATGATTATCATCAAATAAATATATATTTATCTATATATATATATTATAATATATATATATCATATTATATATTATTATTTGAATGAGGGGCTTGGTTTGAACAAGAAGCTACCTGGAGGTTTCTCAAAATGTTGGCTCTCCAAATTGGATTTCCCAATGCCAAAAAAATCTATGTGTTGATGATTTGGGGTTAACCCAATTTTATGAAAATATTACCATGGGCATCAAGCAGCGATTTTGTATTTTCGCAAAAAAAGTGCTGACTATTTTGCTATGGTTCCTTTTGTTTCCACAGCTGCTTCAAGGCTTCTGAACCCTTTTCGGGAGAAGCTTCAGCTGCTGGAGACCCTTGAGAAGCCTTTTCTGAAGCATCTGGGGTATGCGGGACATCGGGGGCATCTGGGGCATCTGGCGTAGGGGTAGTACCTTTGGCACGTTTGCCACGGCCACGTCCCTTGCCCTTCCCCCCGCCCCTGGGACCATGCACAACCGAACTTTGTTTTGGTCAAAATTGACAACCACCCAAAATGGATGCTTTGTTGAAGAATGCCCATGGTATTTTGTACCCTTTGAAAAAATACAGGCTGCCCACGCAGGTGAACTTACTGGAAAATCTGCTTTTGCAGACCACTTGGTTGGATCCCTTGGTCGTGGTGTCACTTGGTTTAATACCAATGTTGGGGGGTGTGCAGGTTTGATCAAAAACTTACCACAGTTTTGTTGCTACAATGTTTCTACAATAAACCCAGTCAATGATCTAACTCTTTAGTTATCTCCAATAAACCCCATGGTTATGAGTTTTTCTTTTATAGTTTTTTTTATAAATCATTCATCGATATATACTATTAGATCTCTATATATCAGATCTATAAAATAGTATTGGATAATATACATATATGTATATATAATACCAAATTATATATATATATTACATGTGTATATATATATATAATAAATAATAAATATAATACAAATATACAACAAATAATATATAATAAATAATAAATATAATATAATGTATATATATATGTAATATAATATATATATATGTAATATACAAATATAATAAATACTATATATATAATATAGCCGATGATATAATATGTATATATATATATGTATATGTATATAAGAAACAATATATAATAATATAATCGTTAAATATATATATAATCTATCACGATATATATATATGATATTTTTGAAATATAATGTATATACTATGTTTTCAACTATATATTTATCAAATACATTATGTATATAACATATAATATATACAAATAATGTTTTCATATATTTAATATCATATATATTATTTAAAATATGATTAATATATTGATGATATTTAATCTTTTATACAACCCATAAGGCTCCCCTGTTTTGAGGTACCCATCCATCGATCTATCTATTTCGTTTTTACTGTTACCCTAAGGCTGCCCAGTACTACTTACGAGTTTGTTTATCAACCATGTTTACAAACCAGTCATGGATCCATTCACTAGATAAGGCTCCCCTGTTATGAGTATCCATCCATGGATCTATCTATTTAGTACCTCTCCCCGGTACTAGTACTATTTATGAGTTTATTTATATCACCATCTAATTCTATCACAATATCATCCTTTATATCCCATAAATCTCTTCCCAACCCTGGTGGCTGCCCAAGCGACCGGAGGCTACCAGCTGCATCGAAATCCAGCGCTCTGCAGCAGCTGCCTGCGAAGAAGCCAAGGTGTGGCAAGTTGCCAAGCTCATAAGGAACCTAAATTGGAGGTAATACCATGAGGCTTATAATGTCATGATTGTATTGAAATAAAATCATCTCCAGATAATATAGCCTGTTCACTCTGGGGTCTTGAAATTACCACTCATCGGGTCCACTTCTCAATTTCAGATCACTTTAGGATCTTGAAATTCCCACTCATCAGTGGCATTCCTCAATGTTAGCCAAATCCCCGAGGGAAGTAGCCCTTCCAGTTGAAATTGGTTGCCCACTAGTTGAACTATTATCCCTTTTTCCCTGAAGGCTTTGGGTGGCTCCCTTTCACCATTCACTGAAAAGATTGCGAAGCTTGGGGCCTGTGGTAAATACCCTGGATATGTTGAACGGGATCTTCACAATGCCTTGGAGATACCAATTCCCATCTATTGGCTGGAGCTTCCGGTGCGATCTCTGGTTGATCGGAAGACTTTGGAAACAGCTTGGTTGCCAATGATGTTGCCCCACCAGATATATCACTATCTCTTCGAACCTTTGCTATTTTGTTCAAAATGAAATTTCTCTATGATTTGATTGTGTCCGTATAGATCCTTCATTTTTTAATGAGGCATATGGCAACATTAAGGAATCCCGCAAGTTGGAGCGAGACAACCGTGCCACTGGAAAGTTCTGGGATCATTGTTCATTGTTGCTCAACTGGATTCCTACAAGCTGATCATCCAGGTCGAGGTAAAAACCCTGTTGGTACCTATGGTGATGACTGTCGCTATAACAAGACAGGGGAAAAACCGGTGGCCCTCAATTTCAATTGCATTCTTCAGGAGCCCCGCAGTATCTGGATGGGATTGAAAACAAGTTTTGATGTGTTTTGGATATTTTTTTGATTGATGGTTGATGGTTCTTCCCACTTAGCAACCATACCCACCAAACACATTGATCGTCCAATAAGGTCTGGGCATGTGTAGGCTCCCAGTCTTTGCGCTACGAAACAGCCGCTGATCCCAGAGTACACACTGGAGCGTGTGTATCATGTGCTGGCTTGGAGCTTCAAGGTTTCTAGTCGCAAACTTGGGACCCCAAGGGGGCAGTATATTATTTTATGTGTGCCCCTGCTGAAAGGTTAATTTGTTTAAAGAGTTTGGGCCTTATAAAGATTCAAACAGGACATCGAAATTAGGCTTTTGGGTGCAGAAGTTATTTTTAGCAGTCCATCATCTCCCACATGTCCAAGGCTTTATTTGATGGCACACATCCCAGCTATGACTTTGAAGGCAATCCACTGCCATCACTACATGCCAAGTGGAGTGGCAAACCAATTGCAGGTGGTGGTTTGCTTTTTTTTGTCATAGTTATCTGTTTTTATGTCAACACCAACAGCCAGCCCAATCCAGCCTCGCTTGCCACATCCAGCTTGCAGGTGACTCGGCTTGCCTCGTAGAGCCTATGTTTGCCATCTCTGTAATGCCAAATCGGCAAAAAAAAAACATGTAGATGGTCTCGGATTCTGGGGCTGTATTTCAATCAAATTTATTTTGGAACCCCTTAGTCTCTGGAGACGTTTTTTGAGATTGTGTGTGTGTGTGTGTTCCAGCCCCAGTAAATCACCTGGATTCTTGGGTATATTTCTAATGATTCGGGCTCAACCTCAGGTGGACCCAGCTGACTCATCATTTCCCACGACGTTCCCCCCAAGATGCTTTGGACAATGTATTCAGGCTCAGCTATGCTAAAATGATTTTCCCTTTTGGTTACGAATTTGATTTACAATGGTGTTTCTGAAAATGGGGAGTGTACTTGTAGGCAATAAGGCCCATCAAACAAAAAGGATATGGCCAGTTTTTATGGACAGATCACAATTCTTAGAATTCTTAACATCCAAATCAACCCTGGGAGGTTCACTCATCCTTTGCAATCTTTCCCTGGGTTTGAAGTGCGCCAATTGCGCTTTTGCTCTATGCACACGATCAACTTGGGAGTCTTGCTAGCTCTGAATGGCAGTTTACTGTCTCTACTTTGTTCCCATGGATGCTTGCCAGTATCTTCATTCTGGTGTACACAGGTGGTTTTTTATTGTTATCTCAATGTGCTTCTTGGGATGTTTAAATCTTTACCCAAAGTCCTTTTAGAATACCTGCCCTGATGCCTCGCCCAGGATTCTTGATAATGGCAACAGGATGATGGACGATTCTCAACTTCGAAGCTGCTGTGCCAGATTCAGATATTGGGCCCGGGTCAATCGCTATGAGCTACTCGACTATTGGAATCTGGGGTTTGGTGATTGAAAACTACATCCTGGGAGATGGATATCAAACATTCGGGGCTGTAAGGGGTCATCCCAATAACTGACTTGGTCTGTTGGTCCAAGATCTCGGTCGGTGGTCTTCTGTTAAGCGCACTGTGCTCCAAGTGTAGTCACCGGTCTTTCCACCATTAATATATTCATCACCCAAGAACTGCCTGACGTTCTCGGTAGTGCACCAAAGATAGCCTTGAATCTTTGGCCCGGTGCCATCGCATTGTATCTCTGCCATCTTTGGCCCAATGCCGTGGCCTTGCAACTCTGGCATCATGACCAACCGGGTTTCATTCCGTAGAATGCCACAGTTTCCCTGGCTGTAGAGCAGGAAGACCAAGAAGAAGTTGGCCATGTCAACACGAACCCAAAATCTAAAGTACCTAATTTATGATGATAATGTTTAGTTTTACTTCTGGACCCCCTCTTTTGCCACAACTTAGGCATTCGCAAAATTTCTTTACGACTGGCTTGGTGAGCCATGACAACGGCTATCCATCTTTGACGTGCAAGGCCTACAATGGCCGGGTATTTTTGGTATTCTTAACAACGTGCCTTGATGCGTTGTTGAATCAAATCGGTGATGATCAAGAAGTTACCCTTGCATTCTGCACAAGCAAAGCTATGTGTGTGTGAGCTTTGATCGCATAGAACGATATGACCGCTACTTGACAAATTCGGAAGCCCGGGAATTGCATGATGCACTAATGGGTACCGTATATGGTTTACCAAAAATTGGCTCTTTTGAGCCATAGGCAAGGCATCTCACGGTGGAAGCTTCTCCCCAAAGTACATTGTGTAGTTCACTTAGCTGAGGATGCACTTGCATCACTTGCATTCAAATATAATTGCAAGTACCACCATTGTTTTAAAGATGAAGGCCACATCGGCCTTCTAAAAAAGTTGGCAGTGATGGTGGCCAAACCCCTTATGGAATGGCGAATCCTTTTGAGGTGGCAATTGAGGTTGGTATCATGGATCCCAGGAACAGGAGAATGATAAAATTCCAACTTCAAATTCTTCTTTCATGGTCCAACCTAACTTGTAAAAAATCATTATGTGTTGATTATAATTTGGGAACCTGTTCCTCCAGATCCTACACCAGTTCAACCGAGATGCTGGGTCCAACTCGCTGTTGAATGCCAGCGAAAGGGTCTTGACGTGGTGGGTTGGCTGGGACCTGCTGAGGGGAACCCCTGGGGATATCTATAATCATAAAGATGGGATGATCACCAATAGGATTCATATACCCTTCTAGCACATTATGGGATGGAACATCCTCATGTTTGATGTTTGAAGCCTTCACCCAGAAATTCAAATCCCATTACATTAATGGAGATTACCGTTAAATGGGGTTTCCGCAAATGATCGTGATTTTTATAGTCGGTATGCATTATGCATAGTCGGTATGCAAAAAACACCTACATCAACAAATGGCTGCAAATAAGTAGACCTAATGATTGCTAGGGATATTACTGAAATATTAGGTATATAACTAACGGTACCCCTGGAAATAGATGAGTCAATGCGAAACAAAAATACACCAAAAAAAATCTGTGGTTAGATACACTCAAAATAGTGATTTGCTGCTCAAAATATGGTACCACAGATTTGAATGTGTTAGTCATGAATAAATGGTCAATACTGAAACTAATATACCCAATATACTCAAATCTGTGGTCCATAGGGCTTGATTTTTGACTCATCACTCTGAAACATAGGAGAGAATGGTGTATATATATATATGGGCGTTTCCTAAAATGGGAGCACCCCTAAATGATCCGCTTTATTTTTGGATTGTCCATTATAAACCATTCATTTTGGGGTACCTCCATATATGAATATGTGTTTCTTACAAAAAACCATATTCTAAAATGGGAAGACTTTTGAACATACCATATTCTATCTACTTCAGGATGATTGAGTCTGGGATAAAAGTTGGCACGGCTATATGGTGGTTAAGGCATTCCTCCGAGATGATTATAGAAAAATAGTTCAAAAAGAGTTCATCCCTGATTCCTAGTGAATAGACAGCCATTGAGAAATTGAATCTTCATTCTCTTTGTCTTCGCCGAAGCGCACTCCATAAGTTTCAACCAATGAGAAACTCCAGATCTAAAGCCAATTAACATTATTAAACATATTTTACCACCATTTACCATCAATTTGCCATCATTTGCCATCATTTACCATCAATTTACCTGGAATGTTTGTTCAGCTGGGGATTACTCAATATCAACCAGAGGGACATTTAAGGAACATTTTTTGTGGCAAAACCTGCATGCTTGGTGGATATATAACCTCCATTTTTTTTGGTTTGCCATAAACTGTGTTGGTGAAATTTTCTCGCGTTTGGGGCTGTAAAATTCACCATGGTTTCATTGAGCTGAATCAACATGAATCAACCATTGGGCTGATGTTTAAAATTCACCATAATTTTCTTGCTTCATCAACAGGTGTTTTTTTTAAGTGCCCGGAAGTGCCCATGCTGGCTGGATTTCAACTCGTCCTCCTCCTGCACTCGCAGCTTTTCTTGTTGTGCTTCTTCCTGGCTTCGAAGCAATTCCTGGAGCCGGTCGAGTTACGAAGGGCGATGTTGGTTGGGCTGTTCTTGGATGTGCGGCCCGCACTTAGTAAGTGTAGAATCCAGATATAAGCCATATAATCTCATATATATATATTATAATAGGGGACATTCCATATGTATATATATATATATGTGAATAACTGGGGGTATAACCCATTTACTAAGTAGGATGCCCAAGTTGGTAGAAAAACCACGGATCATCGCTGATTCGCGGGATGATCCAACTATTGAGGTAGTCTCCAAGCGATATTTGAGTTGGTAATGCCTCAATAGTTTTAAATGATTTACCGGTTACCAATTGTAGCTATATTATATATTTAAATGTCCAACTATTGAGGTAATGTTTTAAATCCCGGCAACTGGACATTTATAAATGATTTACCAATTGTAGCTATTGTTAATAGTGTTTTTCCCCATAGATTTCCCATAGATTTCCCACCTTGGCCCCGGCCCACCACCCCACCATTTTCATCGTCCTGCAGCTCCTCATGGCCCAGCTGCAGTTTCTGTGTTGCCAGCTCCAATCGCTCCTTGAAGTGGAGCACCTGGCGCTTGAACTCAATGGATGAGTTTTCACGGGAAAATCTTCACCGGAAACCATCGATTTTCCCATGAAGATCATGGGGTGTTCCTGTAATAATGGTTGGCTATGTTCATTAGCCTCTGGTAAACTGACATGGCTGTGGAAAATCACCATTTTGAGTATGCAAATCAACTATCAATGGTCATGTTCAATAGCTATGTTAGTCAATACCGGGTAAACAGTGCGGCACACCACGGAAAAACGTGAGATTTTAGGTCGCAAAACAAAACACGGTGGTTCCACCAACATGAAGCAACCAGAAACGGGAGACCAACGATGAAAGACTACCAAGAAAAAAAGGGGAACCAAACAAAATACCCTCTGGTAAACTAACATAACTATGGAAAATCACCATTTTTCATGGGAAAATCATGGAAAATCCACTATAAATGGCCATTTTCAATAGCTATGTTAAATTATCAGAGGGTAGTCTTCACAAGATTGAATCAACCAGAGTGGGTCGCCACACTGATCCACACTGAGCTTGTTGCCCATTCAATTTATATCAGCCAATGATCCACTAGGTCCTAGGTTGGTGCACTATTTAAGAGGGGTTTCCATAGTCATGGGGGTACCCCCAAGACCATGGATGGTTTACAAATGGAAAATACCATAAAAACATGGATGGTTTGGGGGTAGCCCTATTTCAGGAAACCTCCATTTCTTGATGATCCAACAGTTTCAATGGTTTCATCGGGTCCCAAAGACCTGCTTCTGAGTAGTGCCCAGCTCCTCCTGTCGGCGCTGGGTGTCGAGTTTTTGCATCTGAAAGAGCACAAACATATCCAGAGTATCCTCTTCAAGCACTATCATCATCATCATCATCATCATCAGATCATGGTGAAATCATCCCCAATTCTTGAAATAAGATGTTGAGCAGAAACTAAGTCGCCTGAAACACCGCACTTGCTCAGTGCGGGGCACCAGCCAGGCCCCCCAGGGGAGGGATCAAAAAATATTCCACTGGAACCCCTCGTTTTCTATGGCCTTTGCAACAGTTTCGAAACGAAACCGAACATTTCTGTGGCATGTGCAGCGCTTTGGAAGTGGAATCGGGCATTGGACCTGCTGGAAATCACTCATTTTGTGAACAGGTTGGAGATCGACGCTGCCGTTTCGACGATATTTGCAACACTTTGGAGTTCAAACCTCTCATTTTCGATGGTTGGTCTTAAACTTATTTAAAGGTTGGTTCAGGGTTATTGAGGGTTGGTTCAGGGTTGGTTTAGGTGTTATTTAGGGTCGGTGTATGGGTTGTTTAAGGGTTATGTTGGGTTTATCTAGGGTTAGTTTAAAGTCTATTCATGGTTGGCTTAGGGTTGATTGAGGCTTGGTTTGGGTGTTATTTGAAGTTGGTTTCGGGTCTAATTACGGTCCTTTTTTGGGATTATTTAGGGTTGGTTCAGGGTTAGCGTAGGGTTGCCTTATGGTTTTCTGGGTGTTGTTTGAAATCTTATGTAGAGTTGGTCAAGGATGTATTTAGGTTGCGTTTAAAACTTATTTAAGGTTGGTTTAGTGTTTGTTTGCGGTTTATTTAAGGTTGGTTAAGGGTTTATGTAGGGTTGGTTTAGGCTTTGTTTAGCTTTCATCTAAGACCTATTGGGTAAGGTTTTGTTTTAGACTTATTGAGGGTCGGTGTTTGGTTTATTTGGGGTTGGCTTAGGGTTTATTTAGGGTTGGTTTGTGGTTTGTTTAGGTGCTAGTTAGGGTTGCTTTAGGGTTTGTTTAGGGTTGGCTTACGGATTATTTGGGGTTGGTTAGGGTCATGTAGGTGTTGTTTAAGTTTTCCTTAGGGTCGGTTTAGGGGTTGCGTAGGGGTTGGCTTAGCGTTTAGGTTTCGTTCAAAACTTATTTAGGCTTGGTTCAGGGTTAGTTTAGGGTTTATTTAGTTTGTGTCTAGGGTTTATTTAGATTTCGTTTAGACTTACTGAAGAATGGTTTGATTGCTATGTGGGGTTGGTTTAAGGATTATTTAGGGTTGGTTTAAAGGTTATTTAGATGTTATTTCAAATTATTCGAGGTTGGTTTAGGGTGTATGTGAAGTTGGTTTATGGTTTACCTTGGTGTATGGCTTATATAGGGTTGGTTTAGGTGGTAATTAGCGGTGGTTTAGAATTTATTTCGGGTTGGCTTAACATATATCTAAGGTTGGTTTAGGGTTTCATTGGTCAGGTTAGGCTTCGTTTAAGACTATATAATTGATGGTTGGTTTAAATAAGGTTGGTTTTGGTTTTTTTTTGGGTTGGTTTAGGGTTGGTTGAGGATTTAGGCAGAGTTGGTTTGTGGTTTGTTTAGGTGTTATTTACGGTTTATTTAAGGTTGGTTAAGGGTTAGTTTAGGGTTTGTTTACGGTTGATCTAGGGTTGGTTTAGGTTTCGTTTAAAACTTATTTCGGTTTGGCTCAGGGATTATTAAAGTGCTCTTTTACGGCTGGTTTAATTAAGGTTTATTTCGAATTGGTTTGAGGCACTGCAGTCACCAAAGGATGGAAGGACCAAGGGACCAGAGGATGAGAGGACCAGAGGACCGGGAGATAAAAAGCCACAAGATTTGAAAAGGGCCAAAACACTGCACCACCGCAGGAGATATGAATATGTATGTTTGATCCCTTATATAAATAATTCTTTATTGATGCCAATATCATCTTTATTGTTTGATGCCTTAAATATTTTACTTTTGAACCCCATGTCTTCCCAAGAAACCACTTAGTATACCTATCTTAGCCAACCATCGCTTATCAGTCATATGATCCTGCTTGAAACCCTACTTGAAACCCATATGTTTATTATACCTGGATCAAGACATGCTCAAATCCCTGGTGTTAAGATTGGGTACTCCAGGAACTGTAAATCCCGCAGATCCTTCAGACTGGACCCTTGAATCAACCAATGGTTGGCCTCGTGTCATGAAAAGAAAAATTGCTGTTACCCCCTGGCCTATCCCACTGCAGCATTCTTCAGTTAATCCCAACCGGTCATAACCAGTTCATCCTGGTAGCTTGAGAGCGAGATTCACCTTTCTTGGATTCACAGAATCCCCACTTTTTTTAAGGGATTTTTTTTTATGCCCGAACTACTCAGAAAAACCCGGGTTTTGAACATTCCTCACTTAGAATAGTAACTATAATAGTTACTATAGTAACTATTCTAAAATGTAGAAACTATCATAGTTATCATAACATGAAATAATGAAACTGTTACTATATATTAATATGTTAACTATAGTAACTATCATACAAAACGGATCGATTCCCCAATGCTGATGGGCTCCTGAACGCTCTGAAGTCGCTTCTCTGCACTCACCCGTTGCCGGCCTGGCGATGAAGCACGAGGATTCTGGAGGATTTTTACCAAGGCAAAATACAAATGTGTATGTATAATATATATATATCATATGGTATGTATTATGTACTATTTATTATATTATGATATGTGTGTACATATATATATATATGTTTTCATAGTAATTCAGGGTGTATATATAAGTCCAGAAAGTGTATAAACATCACCAGCCGATGGACAAAACTACTTGTAGGCTTATACAGTTGGAATGGAGTGTCCCCGTTTTCCTCCTAACCGTGCCCTGAGGCACTTTGCAACATTTATGACATATATCTTATATTGTCAACAGAAACATTACAGTCAATCATGTCAAAATCATGTCAAGACATCGCAAAAACACATTCAACACAACAGAATGGTTGCATTGACCTCGGGACCTCGTTCAGAATATCACCCTGCACGTGCCATTACAATATGATCAAATCAGGTAGGACTCCTGTTGGGTCCTGTTGGGTGTAGAATAGTGATACAGCTAGTGCGAAGAAAACTCATCTTTGCAAATCCAGCCCCATCATAACATTGCAAAAATAATGACGTTCAACCTCAAGATGTCATGATCAAAGCTAACAATATACTATTAACATGATATTGTACTATCTACTTTCTAGTAAATGTTGTGTTTTGAAGAAATACTACAGTAGGTTATATAATGTTACATATATATATATGTGGGATGTGCCCATCTATATAACACAAATTGTCTTTAATGATTTGATATACATGATAAAATGGATGAAGGTGGCTTGGCATAGGATAGCAACATGGACACACCTCATTCCAACTTATACAAAGTGGGACCCCCGAGTTACAATTTGGTTTACAAAGCCCATTAACTATAGTTATGTCCCGCATAAACCAACAAAGTAACAATAGTACTTTCTGGTATGGTTACGCATAATACTACTATTCTGAAATATACCCCCCATTTAACTATAGTAACTATAGTTAAGCAAGTTATTTACATCAACTTAGCTATCATTTTTCGGGGCCCTAGGCACCCGTCACGTAACTCGCATCCTGGGATTTGCTACCGAGGCAGAAGTTTTAAGTGGCTTCAACTAATCTCTGCGATTCGACATCATAAAATCAGCTATACACTATAGAAATCTATAGAAATCCCATGAAATCCCTATGTTTTTTGGCTGAAATCATACATTTTCCCATGAAATCCCCCATTTTTTCTGGGTGAAATCACCCTTTTTTCCACCTGCATCTTGGACTCGCAGCTCCAGTTGCCGTGTATCGCCCCGGCGTTGTCGGTCCCGCTGGTAATCTGCGATATGTTCGAAAATTCGGGGGTTTCGCGGTGTCAAACGTGGCGATTGCATGGAAAATCCCCTAGAAACCATGCGAAAATATGGGAAAATCATCGGAAAATATGGGAAAGTGTGGGGTAATATGGGGAAAATCATGGGAAAATCCCCGAACTAAGAATGATGAAATTGCTGGGATTTTCGATGGCCATGTTCGATTCACCGGGCATATCATGGAACTAACATAGCTATCCACTAAAAATGTTGATTTTCTACAGCTATGTAAACGTTTACCAGAGGGTACTAATATGGTTTAGGTAGAAGTGGCCAAGAAAATTATACTGATTATATTTTGGGTTTGTTTCAAACTATGGGATTTGCCCAACAAATTGCCTTTTTCATCGAAAAAAAAAATGTGTCGAATTCCATTGGAGGGGTTGGGCATGGTTTGGCAACAGAGTTGCTCTGTAAAAAACCAGGTACAAGGGGTGGATAAACTGGGTAAAGAGATAACATTACCCTATGGTAAATAAACATAGACCCTGAAAATCACCAATGTTTAATGGAAACTAGTCTTCCAACCCCGATGACTGCCAGGGTCTATGTTAATTTACCAGAGGGTACCAAGTGACCCTCCAAAAGTGGCCCTTCACGACTTTGCAGCAACCCTGATCATTGAATCCAAGATTTTAGGGCTCAATCTCCCCATTAAATCCATCCTAGTGAATGGTGGTCCCCATCCAAGTGGTGGTTTAATGTCTTCCAACCTCTCAAAGTATGTACAATTTTGATCAAGATGGGGAACCAAGATAGGGGGATATTAATATACTTATATATATATATATATTCAATTACATCTACCAGAATCTACCAATCTGTATTGTACTTTATATAGCGTGTATTTATAGATGTAGATGTATCCCAATTGCATCCAATTACTATCTTTATATGTCCAAGTTTGCCCTACATTATCCCGATTCAATTCCACTATATGCCCATCAAATGCTTGGTGTTCATCATGTTTTCCAGTATACCTTCATAATATCCCCATCAATAATAAATATTCATAGGATACCTAAAAGATATCAAGATGTTAAATTACCAGAGTGTATGTGCAATCTTTACATCCCCAAATTGATTATCCAACAATGTTGATCTGGTTGGTGGTATACCTACCCCTCTGAAAAATCATGGAGTTCGTCAGTTGGGATGATTTTCCATTCCCAACTGTTTCTAAAGTCATTCAAAATTCCATGCTTCCAACCACCAACCAGTGATTATTAACCATTTATTAACCATCATTAACCATCATTATCCCATACTAAACCAATGTTCCAACCACCAACCAGTGATTGTATATACCAACCAAAGGACTTGATTCAGATCGGGGTGGAGTACCCCCGGGGTCATTGGATTCTGATCGGATCCGGGTCGGTGGAAAAGGGAGGATACCCCCGATAACCCCTGTTTCGTAGAGAAACAGTGGAAACCTTTTTTTGGCAAAAAAAAAATAGGGGGTCCATATATCGAAAAAAAATAGAGAAAATAATGAATCACCATTATTATATAGTATAACCAATATTAGCGTGAAGAACGTGGTGTCCCATCTAAAAACACCATTGGGTTCGGGCATGTTCCCATTCAAAAACACCATCTATATTAATATGTGGTGAATATAGTTAACATATACACCATTAATATCACCACTATCCTTCTTCATCAACATTTACATATAAATATAATTAACCATTCAGAGAGATTTTCCCACAAAAGAAATATATTTGGGAAGAGTTGGAATTTTCCCATTCAAAAAACACCATTTATACATATTTATACTACTATATGCTTAATATACTGAACACCTACACCATGATTATGACCAAAAAAGTCATCACCATTTTCAGAAAACCGAATCTGGGCATTTCCCATTGTCAACGTCAAAATCATATAAAATCATGACATTAAACTATGACTCAAAAAAGGTCATCACCATCTTCAGAAAACCATGAAAACCTCGCCATTTCCCATTGTCAACCTGAAAAATCTGGGTAAATTATTATATTTCACTAACCTGAATTAAGGCCATTTGGGGATGATTTCCCTTATAAGCCATGATTCCAGTGAGGTCGCAGTGAGGTCGTTATAATTTACCCAGAAAAATTCATCTCCAGCTGCAGCCCCACCTGCCGCCAGTTCCTCCTCCTGCACGGCCAGCTTTTGGACCAGCGCCTCCAGCTCCGCCCGCAGGCGCTGCCGTTCGCGCTCACACCTGGGACGAACTGGGACGAAGGGAGGGACGAGACGAAGGGATGGAGATGGAGCCGAGGCTTTCCAATGTTGATCTACTTGACTTAAGGCAGATATGTTGAACCATCAACAAATGATGTATATTTATATATACATATCCCAGATATGTTTGGTTGATCTACTTTTTAAGGCAGATATGTTGAACCATCAACAAATGATAGAAGTATCCCTACAAGTTTGGAGGGATGGAATGATGCTGGACTTTCCTATAGGTGGTTTTATTGTTGATATTCGTTGGGGGACCAAAAGAAACCACTCATGTGAACAAGAAATCCACCCACGATTTTTGCGCCCTTATGCCGGATGATCATCTCTGGGTTCTCTCATTAAGATGGCATGAACGCTACAAGTACTGTACCAACAGGAGTCTGACTGCTTGGATATGTGGAACCAGCGACCAGCATTAAATGCTTTTTTGGTGCTGCTGATATTCCTGCTTATCGTGGGTTGTCTGACAACGCAGCACCCACTATTCCAATGGATTTCGACTTAGATTGGCCATAAGTTGAGGTATCCCCTCATTTTACAAAACCTCTATATATATATATATATGTATGTATGTATGTATGTATGTATGTATGTATGTATGTATGTATGTATGTATGTATGTATGTATGTATGTATGTATGTATGTATGTATGTATGTATGTATGTATGTATGTATGTATGTATGTATGTATGTATGTATGTTGTATGTATGTTGTATGTATGTATGTATGTATGTATGTATGTATGTATGTATGTATGTATGTATGTATGTATGTATGTATGTATGTATGTATGTATGTATGTATGTATGTATGTATGTATGTATGTATGTATGTATGTATGTATGTATCTATATATATGTATGTATGTATGTATGTATGTATATATATACATATAAACATACATAAACATACATCCCATTCTATCCCATTCTATCCAACTGGTTAAATTCCGTTCTGGATATGATGGCCACTGAAATGACTAAACTGCCCCTTCACGTTGACGTTCTGGACGTCTCGGTCCAAGAAACGTGGCACTGCTTTGCTCCTCCTGCTGCATGCGCGAGGACGTCTCCTCAAGAGGCTTCTCGTTCTTTTGGATTTTTTTTTAGCCCATCTCTTGGATGGTTTATAAACCCCATGAATACTATAGTTATAGGTACCATAAACCATAGTGACATTGGAGTTATGTTCACCAACTTAAAGCTATCGTTTGGGGGCCCCACTTTGTAGTGATTTTCGAAATTATCCTTACAAAATAAAAAGGTAGATAAGTAAGAATTACCCTTTTCATCTTTTCGTACTGATACTTGTGAGTCCAGTCCCCCATCTCTTGTTTTGGCTTCCTAAATCCCAGCAGCTCCTTGAATGACAAAAGGCAAATGTCCGCGGTGGATCTCATCCCCAGGTCTGAAATGTACAACTGAGCCATGAAAAATGCCCCACTCCCAGACCCATCACAGTCTAATGTTGGCGAATTACTAATAGCTATCCTAGGAGTCATTATGATTGTCCTCAACCACGTAGTATGATACACTATAAATAAATCTGCTGCAATAAGCATTATTGGTATCATAAAAAAATACCAGGTATTAAAAATACCACTATCTGATAATCAGCCATTAAAAATACCAGGTATTAAAAATACCACTATCTGCTGCAATAAGTGGATTTAATGCTACTATAAATACCCCTGTTGATGACTATAAATATCTACTATAAATTAGTAACCAATCATCAACAGGGCTATTTTATAAAGGCCTCGTCCTGCCGCTCCTCCAAAGTACGTTGCTCCTCTCTGCATTGCCTCGAGGCACGAATGTGAACTGCTCAGTGGAGCCTATGTGACCCGGTGTTACAACTTCCAGACTAACATAGCTGTGGAAAATCACCATCTTTAATAGGAAAATCAACTATAAATGGGCCATTTTCAATAGCTATGTTAAATTACCAGAGGGTACAACTTCCAGACAATCAACACATAGGAGGTTGACATTTGCCACAACAAACTCTCATTGCTTGGCTACAAGTGTGCTCCAAAAAGTCATAGACTCACAAACAGAATCATGGAAGCCAGTCAGCAAAACAATGGAAAAACCTATGACAGTCAGCAATCGCAAAGCCAACTGGAACGCCAGAACTGGATGGCATGGATACGAGAAAACCATTTCAGAAAGATCACTATGATCCGATGCTTATCCCATACTAACCGTTACTAACCCATGCCAACCCATACTATCTCGTATATCAAAAATCCCATATATATATATATATATACCATATATCTGGGTAAATTATAATATTTCACTAACCTGAATTAAGGCCGTTGTTGTTGCACGTTGGTTTCCCGGCCGCCTCCCTGCAATGCGAAGAGGCTGCCTTACCTGAATTAAGGCCTCACATGGGGATGATTTCCCTTATTAACCCAGATATGTATATAATTGTATATATCCCCATCTTGTTTCCAGACCTTCTGTGGCGAGGCAGGCACATCTCAACCAACCGGCCCTGGGTTTGGCATCCCCACGAGCTCAAGCGTTCACAGTCCTCGTTGAGGCTGTGCGCTGCCTGCGGGCCGGGTGGTTCCAATGGATTGGTTTAGTCGGGAAAATCTTAACCGGAAACCCATGGGTTTTCACCATCAAATTTGATGGGCTTTCCTGTTAAAATTTTCCAGTAAATCCAATTCTGTGAATGTAGCTTGTCACGGATTAATATGGATCAATCATGATTTATCACACTGAAAGGCCGTGTTTCTGCGCGCACATTCAATGAGACCCGACTTGAGCCTCTCGCGTTTCCTTCTGGCTCTCTACTGAAAAGAATCTGAGCCCGACTTGCCCAGCATTCTCATGTGCTTCGGGCTTGGCACCACTTTGCACACAGGCCCAGATGGAATTGGAAGAATCAACAGGGCAGGTTTTCCTGCAACATGCACTGTACTCCGTGCCTCTCTCAGTTGTGTCCTACTCAAGACGTCATACTCAAGTTCGCTTGAAGTTTTCTTCTTCAAAACCATGGCTGTGTATGGCGGTAGTAGCTCAGCCTCATTCGGAGAAAAGCTCACAGTCTCAATGCTGCGCCCGACCCCTTCTGGCGAATTGAGTTTGATCATGTAGGTCTCTTGGAACATTGATGCCAGACTTTGACTTTCTGAAGTAGAAAGGCAGTATGGGACTCGCCAAGGGCATCCAGTGCAACAAATCTTCGGAGTCCGAGCGCAAAGCGTGGTGCGAAGGTTTGAAGACCTTATTTGATGTGTATACCATATACCCCATATATTATAGACCTTATACCCCATATATACCATATACCATATACCATATACCATATACCATATACCATATACCATATACCATATACCATAGTATATGTCTATACTGGTATTTGTGAGGACACACTTCGCACAAACGTCCCCCCACGCCCACACTTCCTGGATGCGGGCATGTTGTTTATAGCCTCGATTCATCTCCTCAAAATCGGCAAGGGTAACCATGTTGAGCTGTGCTAAGCCTCGTTCAACTTCGGCCTCACTAGGTGCTTTGGCCACCTGAATTCTTTGAGGTAGTTGGAGTCCTCGTAATCTGGGCAACTAAAGCCAGAAAACATCCCAGAACCAGAGGCATCATAAAGGCGTTGTCTCTTGCAACGAGGTACAGACTGGATTTGAGACAACTAGAGGTGAGAATGAGGATCAGCCACACAAACAGCTTCTTCACTGTGAATCTGTTGACTGTCCTCATAGACAATAGCCTCTCCAATGGAAGCAACAGTATTCAACAGGAGTGCTTGTGTCTTTGAGCGTTAAAAAAGCGGCGACTCTGCTGGGATAGAGAATGACCCTTGTCCTTGTGTCACCTTGCCTCTGAATTATCGCTTCATGAGCCAATGACCAAACAAATCTGGTTGGTGGTTGACCTACCCCTCAGAAAAAGATGAGTTCGTCACTTGGGATGATTTTCCATTCCCAATAGATGGAAAGTCAGAATCCATTCCATGAATCCATTCCATGGTTCCAGTGGTTCCAGTCACCACCAACCAGGTGATTATTAACCATCATTAACCATCATTAACCATCATTAACCATCATTAACCATCATTAACCACCATTATTAACCAGAAATAGACCTTACCAGCCAGGTTCAACCTGACATCTTACAGCCACCCAGAACCCCGCTTTCCCACAAAAATCCACCTCTTTGGCTCGCAAAACCTCCCCGGCCGCGAAGTCTGCGTTGGCCCTGCCAGCTGGTGCCCACAAGCGGTTCCTAAAAACTATATAAATATACTTATGAATACTAGATAAATCTTTAAAAAGTACTAGATAAATGTTTGACGGATGGTAGGTACACTTAAAGTTATGTATATATATATATACATAACAAGACGAGGGGGCTAATAATAATAAGACGAAGAAGAACAGCAATAATTATATATAGTAATACTAATAAAAAATAATGACAATGATAATGATAGATAAAAATAGCAATGATATGCAATGATAATAATGTTACACAGAGGCCACGAGCTTTGCCGAAACCTCAAATACCAGTTACACTACGTACATTATCAGACCTGTTCTAGATATGCAATAACGCTATAAGATGCTATAAGGATTTACATAAGGTCACGGGTTTAGGGCTAAGGGTTTAGGGTTGACCATGATCATGATCATCATCATCATCATCATCATCATCACCACCATCAATCATCACCACCACCACCACCATCATCATCATCATCATCATCACCAGCAGATGCTCAATGAAGAAGAAACACAATTACCCATCCACGGAACAATACAATTACGCTAGGGTTTTAGCTTCAAGGTGAAGCGTTCCCCGTGATCATCCTCGCCGCCACCACCATCATCACGGCCATATCATCAGCATCGTCCAGAAGCTCATTGAGAGTCCGGACATCCAGGTCTTGCCGTAATCTTCGTCCAGTGTTGTCAATTAATATACATTCAAATACCACCATTGTCCAATGGCATTGCTTATCGAAAAATACACTAATATCGAGGTTTCCTAAAATGGGCGTACCCCCAGTCATCATCCATTTTATATTCGGATTTTCCATGAAATAAACCATCCAGCGAGCGACCAGGGTACCTCCATGACTTTGGACATGTGAATCCCCCCAAGATCATGTTTCTCCACCTGGCTTCTTTGAGCCGGAGTTGTGCAGCTTCCGCCTGGACACTTGGAGAAAGGCAAGGACTGAGTGAAACTGACAGAAAAACGGTGATTTTTTGGCAGCAAAAATGGTGGATTTAACATGATTTAACCATCACAGTTGATCAAACATGTGGATGGAATCATTGATTTTTTGGGGGGATTCAAACCATCAAAGAATTGGGGGTTGACCATGAATAGAGATTTAAAAAATCAACGATGGAGTGTTCAATGGACATGATATTGTGGTTGTTGTTTACTGAAAGGCCTTGTTTTTACCGCATTAAAATTGGGAAAATCCTGCAATATGCTCTCAACGAAGTCTAGCAATACGTCAAGCAGTTCACGACAATATTAGTTCTTAGTATATCTGGTTGCTGGGTTTCTGCAGTTTCAACCCTTTTTTCAAGTATGAAAACCTAGGGATTTTTCAAACACTACGTTTTTCAATCACCAATCAAAATCAACCAAATTGATTTATGTCATGGGTCTACTTTTGGTGTGTGGACCACACACGATTCGGATGATAGCACCCCCCCATCTCCGGGAGGCACAAATCAGTAGCAAGTATTTGTTAAAATTTGGAAAGAAAAGTATTTGGTCTCTTAAATATGGTGCAAATTTCACCTCAAGTATTTGAAACTGGAAAATCTGGAATTTTACAGCAGCACCAATTGAAATTTGACAAACTAGCCTTTGCAGGAATGAAGCTGTTTTTCAACCAATTCTTCATGGGAACAAGTGACCAACGCCCTTGGACTCTTGGATGCTGGGGATAAACCCGGCCAAACCGACCTATAAAATGTGGGTCATTTATGGTCATTTGCTATCAATGTTGACTATGAAAATTGTTTCCCCAATCTAGCAAAAAACATGAGCTAGGTAGCTTTTTACGTCTTATTTCAACCAATGAACAAGGCTACGTTTATTTCCACTAACACGAGATCTTTCGTTATTCGAAATCTCCAAGTCACACCTCTGCCAATTGGGTGCGGAGAGAGCTTTGCATCCTCGAAGGTTGGACACAAAAAGTTTCAAGTTCGACTAGAACTCCATGGGTTCAAAATTCATGTCAGGGACATCCATATTTTAACGGGTCATGATGGTGATTAGTGAATAATTCGCGAATGATGACTTAGTCATGGCTATGAGTTACCCTCCGGTAAACGTTTACATAACTATGGAAAATCACCATTTTTCATGGGAAAATCCACTATTTCTATGGCCATTTTCAATAGCTATGTTAGTCATAACCAGAGGCTATATCATATTAAATCCCATTAAAATCCCATTAAAATCCCATTAAATTACCAGAGGCTAGTCATGGCTATTTTCGTTAAGACCCCTGCTGAAACTCCAAATAGCTGGTATACGAGGAGAAACGGGGTCCGACAGAGCTGAGCCATGAAGAAATCTCCGGTCCAACCAATCCGCACATGTTTGGTTGGTGATTGATGAATATGAACATATTGATAGAATATGTACATGTATATGTATATATATATATGTATATATAGTATAGATATATATATATTATGTGTATATATATATATTATGTATATATATATATGAATATTATGTGTATATATATATATAATTATATATATACATATCGGCAATAATATCGGTTATTAACACATACTGGTATTATATAATTACATGCAAGTTTTGTCGTATAGAAATAGCATGTTTTCTTGTTCCATGGTTCACTTGATTGGTTCATATTGGTTATAGATTCCCAACTGATGATCTCCAGCCAAACTCCCAAGCGAAGCATAGCGAATTACCGGATTTGTCCAAGCCACTGCGAGGTTGTGGCCTGGGATACGTAAAACGGTCACAAAACACAAAGGGGTTTACAATGTGAGAAATGGCTTTGGCATAGCTATCTCAGCTATGGATTTTTGATGATGTTTGTTGCTATCATGTTCAATGCCAGTGTCACCGATGCCTCTGGTAATCTTTTGGCACCATGTTTGCAAAGACTAGCTGCTAGCCGCGCGTCATTCCGTTTTTCTCGGCTTTAGATGTTCATCGGAAACCTTGCTAACATCATTAATGGGATCATAGGTTTGACTGGAAGCAATATTGTCACTTAAACATCAACGAAATATTTCAACTAATATGGTCATAAACCCAAACATGGATACACACAGCAACATGGGATGTTTGAAACCCTTAAAAAAAAAAAAAACATGGTTTTTGTGGTGGGATAGTAATAGAATGTAATAGATAATCAACTAACTTATGGCCCATGGCACAGTAACCTCCAGAAAGATGCCGAAAAGCTATGGATTTTTGCTGCTTCAATCCCAATGTAGCCTCTGGTAAAAAACTGTTACAGCTTGCCGTGAAAAACCAGCATTAAGATAATAAGTACCCTCTGGTTATTTAACATAGCCATGGAAAATCACCATGCTTTTAATAGGTAAACTATCTATTTCTATGGGCCATTTTCCATGGCTGTGTTCAATAACCAGAGGTTAAATCATCTCGGTTTATGGGCCATTTTCGATAGCAAACTGTTCTGATTAGCAGAGGGTATACTTCAGCACCAACTTTGGGGAGAAAAAAGACACCCATTTCTAGATCACCTCACCCACCAACGCGCCTGGTGCCTATCTGCTGATTCTTGGACTTTCTGCCTGGCAGGTCCGGCAGCGCAACCAAAAAATCTCCCAAGACTAGTGCCAAAATGTGCCAAAACCCTGATTGATGGTAACCTGGTTGACTACTAGATGATTGGGAAACTCTAAGTAGCTCCCCAATGCTCCCCATTTAATAGGAAATCCTTAGCTCCTTACCACTGGAATGGATACCCCTAGCTCCTTAGCTCTCTCCTAACCACTGGATAGTTGAAGAAAAACCCCAGAGACTTATCGCCATCGCAACATCGCCCCAGCTCGGCTGAGGCGCGACTCACCCCGTCAGATCCTCCTGGAAAAAAACATTTTTTGGGGGATCCTGAAAATATGGGTGATACTTAATCATGGTTACTAATGGTTAATCATGGTTACTAATGGTTAATCATGGTTACTAATGGTTAATCATGGTTAATGATGGTTACAAATGGTTAATGATGGTTAATAATGGCTAATAAATGACGATTAATGGCTATTATTATATAATGGTTATTAATAGAGGTTTCTGAAATGGAGAATCCCTAAGTCACCATGGGTTAACCTATACTAAAATGATCTAAGTTTGGATGATTTGGGTGGTACCCCAAGTCCGAAACCACCTCATACCACACTAACTTCATTGCATGGTCGATGTTGGAAGCTCTTCAACCCTACGATTCTTAGGGAGCTCCAGTCGCAGGGTTTCAGGACTTCACCAAGCTGAATCATGGCAAGTAAGGCACCAACCAGAAACAAGTGATTTCTCACTGGATTGGTTTAAGGGAAAATTTACAGGAAACCCATGGGTTTTTACCATCAAATATAGGGCTTTCCTGTAAATTTTCCCATAATCCAATTCTATGGATTTCCTTACTTTAGGTTATTCCTGCAAAAATAACTGTTACATCAAAGAAACTCACCAAACATCATTTCAGCACCAGTTCAATTCTTCAAGCGCCACAGAATGGGGAAGCAAATGCCTTTCCGTGCAGGGTGAAGCAAATTGCCTTTCATTAACCATCATTAATCATCATTAACCATTGTTAACCACTATTAACCATGATTAACCATCATTTCAGTACCAAATGACCCTCTCAACACTCGCCTCATCTGATCCGCTCTCTTTGAAGCGGTTTCGAAGGCATCTTCAGCCTCGACGGGGGATCCTACAGAACCGAACCGTTTTTGGGATCCGTTTTTGGCAAACCTTCGTGGGATCCCCACATCTTTGGATTTGAAGCCATAGTTACCCTCTGGTTATTTAACATAGCCATGGGAAATAGCCCATTTATAGAGGTTTACCTATTAAAACTGGTGATTGTCCATGGCTATGTTAAATAACCAGAGGGTACATGTATTTTCATACGGTATCATACAGTAAATTTACGTCTATGTTTTTAGTGGATGATACCCGAAATTACCATGAAATTAGAGCTTTACTCGGTATAAATTAGTGTACCACTACCCTCTGGTAAATTCACATAGACCCTGGCAGATAGGGGTTGGAAGACTAGTTTCCATTAAAAATGGGTGATGTTCAGGGTCAACAAGTTAATTTACTGGAGGCTAATAATAATGTAATGGGTGTGTCTGAAAATGAACCTATCAGTATGAATATTTTTTTTCGGGAAACCAATGATTATCATCCAATGGATTTGGGGGTACACTATTTTCTGGTGCGTTTTACGTAGGGTTGCTGGATGGGTTGCTGGGGGTTGCTGGGATGATTATGAAAATAGTTAGCCAGTGGATCATTCCCGAAAATTCCCTACGTACCAAGCACAAGTAAGTTTATGGGTTTCCATTGATTTGGGGGTACTTCCAAATCATCCAGCCATTGTTTTCGGATTTCCCATGATAAACCATCCAGCTATTAGCGGTGTATAGTTTGATGCTTTCACCCCTTCTCGCCTGCGCGACTCGATCGATGAGCTGCGAGAATTTGGAGCCTCGGGCAGATGGATGACTATAGAAATCTCCGAGAAAACCCATAGAAATGCGGGTGGGATCTGTGATGACAAGTCGCTGCTGAAGATGGAGATCTTCCCGAACTTCCCTACATTTTTACATGCTTCAGTCATCGTTTGATTCTTGGAGAGTGTAAAATACGTTCTTGAGAGTTGTGGAGTCATCCTGTCAACATCATTTAGTGGGCCAAAAATCAAGACGGAAAGCCTCAACACACCTTGACACATCTAGTTTGAGATCGCCAATTTTTCACCTATGTTCATTCTCTATATTACTGGTGGTGTCCAAAGTCAATCATCCAAGTCGTGGATGAACATGACTTAGCATTGAAACAACTATGGTGACGGGGATCCCCCATGACTCTTCAGAGCCCCCGAAGGTGATGTTCAGTTTTGCCATATCAGATTTATCCCCCATGACTGGATGGTTGATATTAACAATGCATAATTGTTAAATAACCAATCAATCAATCAAATCAAATCAAATCAAATCAAATCAAATCAATCAATCAATCAATCAATCAATCAGCTTCATAAGTTACAGTTACCTTCAATTTTTGGACCCATACCAGCACCGCAGCTTGGGCCGCCCCTGCAGAGCAGCTTGACCACTTGGTTTGGATCCTGGGGCATTGAAGCGGTGCCGTGGATGTTTTGAGAAATCCCAGGGAGATATCACTTTGATAAATGATTGATTAATGATTAATATTGTTCATAATCATTAATCATGTCATACAATCTATCAATTCTAAGACTAATCATTAAGTCTGCATCACTCAAGAAATTCTTACCTCTTCCAAGATCGTGAAAATTATTTTTTTTCGCGTGGCTGTGTTCTCACGGATAGCCTGGGCGCTTAAAGTTGTGGGCCCATTCATGTTGACAAAGAGCAACTGAGAGTGTTACGTAGTGTTACCATATGGTACCCTAGGGTAAACTAACATAGATGTTCAAAATCCATGGTTTCCCTCATGATCCAAGAATGGTGGGTAAACTCCACATGTATGTATTTTTTACAGCAAGGTACCTAGATCTTTCCCACAGGGTTCTAGGAAGTAAGAGGTCTCCATACCCAACTGATGGCTTAACAACCCCAAAACCCTAAAGTTTGGCGCTTCCAGCCTTCACAACATTGTTTTCTCTTAAACCATCATGTTTGGTCACGTCCTTGCGAAGTTACCGTCATTTGCCCAGATTTGGAAAATCTTCATTGATGGATCAAAATGCAGCCGGTTTTTTCTAGTGATCTAAAGTGATTTCAACTGATCTCACTGGGTGAAAATCTGGTTTCAAACCGATTTCAGCCGATGGCTCCCAGACCCCCCGGTGTGGTGCCAGCCATGTCCTGCACAGCTTCCAATAACTCGCCTTTGACGCCGGATGGGATCGTTCCAGCCAGAGGCTTAGCTGTAGGTTATCGGTGACCTGTGGCTATCTCCAGCTTCCAGCAATACTTATATATATATATAGTATATATATATATAGTATATATATAGTATATATATATATAGTATATATATATATGTACATTTACATATATATATATATATATGTACATTTACATATATATATATAGTATATATGTGTATATATATATGTATATATATGGGAGTTCCTAAAATGCGGATACCCCTGGATGCCCCTAAATCATCCATTTTATAAATCATATATGTTTGATAGGATTCTCCAGTACAAACCATCCAGCTATTGGCGAAAACCCCGATGTATGGAAGCCCTCATATATATGTTTACCATCTCCAAATTTCGTGTGATTTTAGAAAGTGTGTGAAAGTTTAGTTTAGCAGTCTAGCAGTCTAGCAGTCTAGCACCTCATTTTCCCATTTTCCCCAGCCATTTGAAGATATACCCCATGCTTGGACTCAAAAAAAATCCAATTCCTCCCAGCCCAGTCCAGAAATCCTGAGCTTCCCTACGTGGCGGAGGGCCAAACGTAGCTCCAGGGGATGGCATGATGACATTCGTAGTCCCACAACGTCCACTTGGTCTACGAATTTTCCCGTTTACGCCCCATCAAAAATGGAGGTGGAAACCTGGGAAACTCCCCGAAAAATGGGAGGTTTATAGCTGGGAAAATCCTAACATAAATGAGGGACAAATTCCAGCCATGTTTGATGACTCCTTTTTGGGGTATCTGTCTATTGACTGCAAACTGCTGAGTCCTTCTCTGTTTCAGCTCGAAGTTGACCAAAAATGACCCGACGTCGCATGGTTTCTTGTCGCAAGACCTAAAGGTCTCAGAACCAAGTTGGGTTCGAGGTCTGGCAGTGCTCGCAGTGCAGAGAATGTCCAGGGCTTCAAGTCTTTCAACTGCCGCTTTTACCCTCTGGTTATGACTAACATAGCTATTGAAAATGGCAATTTATAGTGAGTTTTCCCATGAAAAATTGTGATTTTCCATAGCTATGTTAGTTTACCAGAGGGTAAACTGTTCATCCGATAATCCCATCGTTCATATTCAACAGCCCCATGGTGAATGGTCCCGAAGAAGTGGCTTTCATCCCCATCCACCATGGTCACCATGGATCCTTTTCAATGCTGGCTGTTGCTTCGCGAAACTTGGCTACCAGTGAACTTCTTAAGAAGTCGAAATTTGTGGCGAAAGCTCTCAAACCCATGAGCTTATCATGTCTATGAGCAACATGATGGTGATATCAGCAAGAAAACTAAAATCTCATACCATCTCACACCTATCTCTTGTATCACTGGATCTTCCGCAGCTATCGCAAATCAGCTGCTGTTGACTCATATGTTCATCCATTTTTGTTTCACTAATATCTTTTGCATATCTTTACTGGTCAAACTCCCTTGAGCTTTCTGAAAGGGCACCAGACCTGGGACCTCCGTTGGTGCACTCCGACCCCGGACATCCCCAGACTCACCACGATAGCACGATCCGCCTGGCGCGGCTAAAATTTCAGGTCCTGTTTCTGGGTGGAAAATAGGTCTAAATGATATAGTTATGGTAAACTAACATAGATATTTTTGGTGATTTTCCCTCAAAAACAGCAAAATCAACTTGCCATTCTGAAAAAAGTTAAAATACGAAATGCGATTGGATAAGTGGCTGTCGCTTGAATCCAAAATTATTTATAAAAACTTTAATAACTGATAGTAGAGATTGGGCCTGGGTTCTCATAGCCCAAAAGAGTTTAAGAGCCAACGTAAAAAGATAAATAGTTTCTGACAGTTTCTGGATGTTTGTGGTTTATGGCTCGATGTTTACACTGTAAAAACTCCATGAAAATTACATATATTCTTCATCTACAATAATCTCTCAAATTCCAGCCAGAATATATGTATTCTTCACAGAGTTCATGTTTGATTGTTGAGGGAAGACATGGGAAGACGCACAAGGGAGGGATTTAAGGCTCAATCAGCTTACTCAACTTAACTAAGTGAACCTAAAGGCATTGTGTTGGGCTGTTGGGCCAGATGCCAGGCGCCTGAGAACCTCCCAATTTTGACAGTGCTCCAGACAACCATAGAGCTGAACTCTGTGTCCTGGGAAGGGGTGCCACTTTCACCAACCAACTCCAATTTTTTCAGAGCTGCACTTTTTCGCATCCGCACGCCCCGCATTTTGCTTTGCAGGGTTCGTGGGGCTATGGCCACTGATGGACAGTTGGACAGTTTGTGGCTGGTTGAAAAAGGCGGCATTGCAAAGTGATAGAAGTTTGAGCAGAAATATATAAACAGGTAGAATCAGCCGTTCCACCCTTGTTGCCATCGTTTACACAGAATTCAATGAATTGGTTTGACGGCAACCCTGCAAGATCATGTTCCCGTCGCCTTCGCTGGCTCAAGGGAATCCTCAGCCTTCACCCTGTCCATGGTGACTAGGAATCTACTGCTCGGTTGATGTCGAGATTATCATCTCAATATTTTAGTTCATGAAAAAAACAGGCAGCTATGCAGCTATGCCAAGCCAACAACTGAGTCACAGCAACCATCATGTCTGGATATCAGCTTTATCCGCAGTTTTCGCTGGTTTATTTTTCTAAGATGCTTTACCCTCTGGTAATTTAACATAGCTATTGAAAATTGCCATTTATAGTGGATTTTCCCATTAATCATGGTGATTTTCCATAGCTATGTTAAATTACCAGAGGGTAATCCCAATTGTCCAGCATCGCTTCTGGATCAAACCTCCGACAGCATCCATCAACCAGTTCCCAACTTCTCGAGATGAACAGTCCCAAGATGTCCCAAGTATTTCAGCATAACATCAACCACATCAACCCACCAGTTGGAGGTTTCCTAAACTGGAGCTACCCCCCTTTTTTTCATCAAAAAATAGATTTGCCAAAATTCACCATCCATCCCGCGAGCTACCAGGGATGATCCTCCAGCTATGGAAACCACCAGTTGTTGGATCTCTCCAACGTCTCGGCAGAAATCGATCAACTCAACAGCCCCAAGACCATTTGGTCTTCACCGGCATGCGCTCAGAGACCTGCGAGTCGCGCAGCCGTAGCTCCTACCAGCCGCAGCGCATAAAATTTCAGGGCAGGTTTTTTTGAGCAGGGAAAATGATGTTGAAAGTATCTAAAAGTTGTGTGTCATGTTATTCAGTTATTCATTCAGAAGTTTCGGTGGTGATTTTCATGTGATTTTAATCATGGGAACAAACATTCATTATAAGATTCAGAAGTTTCCTGTCGTATGTGGATCTCGAGCTCGGGCTTGGGGCGGCCATGGGCGGCCCAGAATTTCCGAGGCCCTTTTTGTGGGTCAAAATTGGAGACCCTGGGAAACAGAGATATAATCATGTCATATGTATATATATATATATGTATGTATGATAATATATACTTATATATGATAATATATACTTATATATATATATATACATTATATATATATATATACACATTATATATATATATATATGTGTGTGTGTGTATTACCCATATATGCTCCATGGTGCTGAAATATGTACCCACATGTGCCCTCACAAAATCAGCCAAGTTTTGTAGGTAAATATACCAGCACCCGCCCCTGTCCTTGATGCTGGAGAATGGAAGTGACTTTGCCAACTTAACCCCTGGCCGGCTCATCAGAGTTCGTGGACTCCGTGGACCTAAAATGAATAGGTTTCCAACACTAAACCAAGGTCTCCCCCAAAAAAATTGGATGGTTACGTGTTTTCTATGGGAATTTCAGGATCCGATTTATTGGAGGTACCTACCATTTTTTTAAGGCCTATTTTTGAGGCCTATATAAGGGCTATGTTTCTATGTTTTAAGGACCCATGTCAGCTACGCCATATTGTGTTCTTAATTACGCCAAAGGGTCCACCGAAGTCCCTACGATTTCATTCCAACGCAAACTGTGATTTCCATGCATTTCCATAATATACAGTAGTAGTCATAGATTTCGACAAAGGTCCAAATATATATATATATATATAATCATATATATATATATCCATGCATTGCGACATATATTTCCATACAGGTCCACGTGCAGTTTTCCTACAATGGGGGTACCCATAATTAATCATCCACTTTCTAGATGTATGGTCCATGAAACTTCCCCATCCAGCTACCAGGGCGTCCCCATCCGCCCACCTTCATCGTCCCCAAAGCTGTTGGCCGACAAATCCAAGCTGGTCAGGGCCAGCTGGGGCGTCTCCAACATCTCGCAGACGTGGCTCAGGTCTTTCAGTTCGCAGTGGGCTAAGGACAACTCCTATGGCTCCGCTGGCGTCCGGCTCGGGCCGTGGAGATGTGAAAAATCCCTGGTGAACCCCCAGCTATGGCCATTTGAGGTGGAAAAATGATGATCAACCAGCGGAAGTTTCGGGATCTTCTATTTTCAAACACAACGAACTGATATTTCAAGAGAAGAGGAGTTAGAATGGCCATTCATTTCACGTTGGGATCCACGGTAGTGAAGATCTATGGTTTTGACGTGCTGACCATACTCGACAAACATTGACCGTCACTGAGCACTCCCTTGCAGTCCCCAAACCATCAAAAGAACTCACACACCCGAAGATCTGGTGCTTTAACTGCCAGATTTACACTGGCTAATCTTAGACACTCTGCAAAAAAAAAACACCCACTTAGACAGGAATTGTCCATATTCCGCAATTTCCGGACAGAGATTGTATTGAAGTATTACAACACATTAAACAACGTATTCAACTTAGACTACCTTCACCATCCTTCACCCAGGGTTTCTCCATTCTCCCGGCCTTCACGCCGGCGTTGGCACGCACGTGACGCGCCAGGGCAGTGCAAACGCATTTGACCCCAGCGTCGCCCAGGCGGCACCAGTCCAGAATCAGTTTGCTCACTTTGGAGGGTTCAGCCTCCGATGGTGGATGCTGGAGGGGTGAGGGAAAGACTGGTTGGTGATAGGAAAAAATGGGGATGAAACTGATTCATATGATGGGTTTTTAAAATGGAGATACATGAAAAATCGATGTTTCACATGGGATTTTGGTGGTTCTCATGAAGCCTCTTCCATCCCCTTCTGCTGGGGAAAGGGCCCGAAAATTCCCATGGATTCTCTGAATGCCTTGAGATTCTGATGTTGATTTGGATCATCACCATCCTCATCCCTGTTGAACCTATGGGAATGGATTGGTTTAAGGGAAAATCTACAGGAAACCATGGTGTTTACCATCAAATTGAATGGGGTTTCCTGTTAAAATGTTCCCATCATCCAATTCTATGATGCCAGCATAACACCAACATTTTCACTATAAACTACAAGGTATGTATCAACTGGGCACTTGCCCAAAGAGCCACCAGGAGGGTTGGTCCACTTCCCCAGATGCCCATGGTTCAAGCCGGGACCCTCGGTATCAGTTGAGTTCCCCCAAAATGATCATCTTCAGAAAATCCCTGAAAAATCCGTGAAACATCCAATCTCTAAATTGTCATATAATGTCAACTCCGGATTAATAAACCATGGTTAATTAATTGGGGGGTACTCCTCCAATAGTCATTTCATCTGATACTTTTTTTATGGTACCCTCCCAATTAAACAGCGGTAAACGGGGTTTATTTATCCAGGGTTGACATTATTCATATATTGTCATCGAAAAGGTCCAGGTCTCTGGGATCCCATTTTCCAAGGAACTTGAACTCTGGCGATGAGGGCTTCTAGCGCTTCAAGGTCCCACAAAGCCTGGCTGTTCGCTGGGTCAAACCTGAGAAATCACCATTTTTCGAGGACTTCCAAAATATGTTCATATCAAACATGGAGATTTCCGCCATGTTGGAGGTTTTTCAGATGTTCACAAACCTTCACCCAGTGGTATATTCCGCAATACCTCCCGTCCCAGGTCGTTGGTAATGTCCGTGCCCAGCAGCGGGATCAAAGTATTGGAAGTCCAACTGCAGTTCTTTGAGCTCCGGCGCTTGTGGCAAGAACTTGCCTCGGCAGCTGCTGACCATCCAAGGGGAATGCGCCACGACACGAGTTTCACAGAGAAATCACTGACCTAGATCTAGACAGGTCCAAGCTCAAGATATTCCAAATTGTCCATTCCAGCATCAAGAATTCGTATATAATTATAATTCGTATATAACTAATATATATATATATCACCCACATATGGGAATATTCAGCAGTTCTTGGCCCAAGCTACAGATGACTTTGGCTGTGAGCCCAGGATGGGCTGACGGCAGGTTGAGCAAGAACAACTTTTGAAGCTTGGGACAGGAGGGTGCGGAAGAACTCATGGCTCCTCCAAGACACAAAAGAGATCACTCGAGAGTTGAAGATCTTGCGCAAGATAAAGGCAATTTATGGATATTTATGGCCATTTTAACTTTGACAATGATGATGAACTATCAAATTTTCGTAAATTATAGCAAGTCACCAAGCTGAAATCCGCCATAACTTGGGTCCCAGTTATCCCAGTTACCAATTCCCTTTCAGTCCCATCCAGTCGTGTAGCACCAAGCTTTCGTTCAAAACCCAAGTGCCTGGAATGCCTGGAAGCCCCAAGGACCATCCCCAACCAACAAAAATGAAAAATATGAAAATTACTTTACTTCGAGTTGTCCCCACCATGACATCTATACGTTTGGTTACTGGCATATCTTCTGGCATTCTATCTGGCATATCTTCTGGCATTCTACCTGGCATATCTTCTGGCATATGTTCTGGCATATCTTCTGGCACTCTATCTGGCATATCTTCTGGCATATCTTCTGACATTCTATCTGGCATTCTATCTGGCAAATCTTCTGGCATATGTTCTGGCAAACATTCTGGCACTTTATCTGGCATATCTTCTGGCATATCTTCTATTCTATCTGGCATTCTATCTGGCATTCTGGCGTTCTTCTGGCAAACATCTGGCACTTTATCTGGCATACCTTCTGGCATTCTATCTGGCATATTCTCTTCATATCTTCTGGCATATCTGGCATATCTTCTGGCTCCTATCTGGAAATCTTCTGACTTCTTCAAACTTCTTCTGCACATTCTTTGTCTTTCATTCCTATATAAGGTCCGGCAGGGAACACTTGGCGTGGATACTCGCGGTTGAGGTCCGGCAGGGAACACTGGGCGTGGATGGTCGTGGTTGAGGTCCGGCAGGGAACACTGGCGGTGATGGTCGTGGTTGAGGTCCGGCAGGGAACACTGGGCGTGGATGGTCGTGGTTGAGGTCCGACAGAGACCACTGTGCGTCGAGGGTCGCGGTTGAGCAGGAGGAGGAGGAGAGGAGAGGAGGAGAGGAGAGGAGAGGAGGAGAGGAGAGGAGAGGAGAGGAGAGGAGGAGAGGAGGAGAGGAGGAGCAGGCAACTGACATAAAATCTAACAACCCTCACCTGGCAGGTGGGGAAAAAATCAGCTCCGAAACTCCTCCCTGAACTCCCGTCCTTCCGTGCCACTTGGGAGTAGCCCCAGCAGATCGGCGGCATAGAGATCCACCAAATGGAGGACTTGGAGCCGCGCACCGATGCCATCCACAGCTTCCAGCGCCGGCGCGACGCCAGCGATGCCAGCGACGCCAGCGACGTCCGGGGAAGCCGCGCCTTTCGATTGATCGGCCGGGAAGCTATGCTGACCTCACAGGTGGTAAAGGACAACAGCCCTGGCTGACCTGGGCATACCTGGGGGGCATGTGGTGCACAGGCCACAGGTCTATGAAATCCTCCGAAATGATGGAATTATGTAGAATGATGGACGGAACTATCATGTAGAATATGTACAAGACATGTGCCTTTTCGCCAATGTCTAAACCAGTTTCCGATGATTGTGATTCAGCTCAAATCCCAGTTCCGCTCCAGTCACCATACCCCCATGACTCATAGGTGTCAAATTGGTTTTACTGTTTGGCCTTCAATGTTTGTTTGTGAGTCACATGCAACCCAATAGCAGCACTCCGGTTTCACATGATCAGTGGCCCCAACCAAGTCATCCCATCCATCACCGAGCGGCGAGCGCGCAGCAGCAAAGAGAAAACCGAACCCTCCAGGTGTTGTAAGTTGGGCAACTGATTCCTGGGGCATCTGCAGCTACAGGGGTTGTTTCATGTGAGGAAAAAGACAAAAATCCTGCAGAAACTGGGGGAGTGATGAGCATAGGTGGTCGGCAATAAACTGACCAGTCGATCGGTGGTCTATTACAATCCCCAAGTATCCAAACCCATAGGATCCATGGTGCTGCTATATATGTTAACATGGATCCCATCAATATACCCCCAATCAATGTTAGCATATATAGCAGCACCATGGATCCGTCATGGGAAATGGTCCAGGAAGGTATTGTTTACAGGATTTGCCACGTTGAACTGGCTTGGTATATCACACTGCACCAAAATCACAGGCTTCAAAGCCACGTTTTCCCCATAAGCCATGACCATAAAAGGGGGTTAAGGGGGTGGTCATGGCTGCGGCAAACCGCAATTCAAGCCATATTATGGTTGCGTGGAAATATGACACCCCCATTCTTCCAGTGGTGAATCATCATGTTGCCTGTTTCAATTGCCATCTGTGGTTCTACCGTAAGTTATACCTCATTCTCAGCCACGGCCACGAGGTTTCCAATGTCATGAGGCTACCCCCCCGTCGTCATCGCGAATGGACGACCATCACTTCGAAAGGAGAAACCCGTTTTGTGACGAGGATTGGGATCCCCAATTCTCAGACACACCCCGTTGAATACTATTTAATTACTGGCATACTGGATTGTACTATTATCAATAAATGTAAACTCCGGATTAGTAAACCATGGTTTAGAAAAATCAGGGGGGTACTCCCCAAATAGTGAGAATCTGATACTTGAATGGTACCCCCGTAATTCAACGGCCGTTTGGGATTTGTTAATCCAGGGGTTGACATTAATTATCATGGTGTAATCTACTAATCAAGTGATTATCGATAGCTTTTCAATTGATCCATGGTGATTAATCTCGACCCCCTATTAATAAAGGTCCCCCTAATAAAAAGAAGGCCGGCTCTCGGGACCATTTTTTTTAAATTGTTTTTCCATTCCGCCTATTGAAAACCAATACTACATGAGCCGAGAATAAATTAACACGCCTCGTCGAGCTTATTAGGGGGCATCCTAGCAGCAATCGAACTTTTCGAGGACTCCATCCGTGTGTGTGTGTGTGTGCACACCGTTATCACAAATGGTTCCATTTTCATCTAAAGCAGGGCTACTGGAGCCAATTTGCCTATCCAGTCCACCGAAGCTATGGCAGTACCCGCTTGAACTGTTGAATAAGCGGGCCCGCAATGCCCTCAAGGGGTCAAAAAACATTACTGCTACTGCCACTACGACTGCTACTACCCCTACTACCACTCCTTTCGCTACTGCTACTGCTAGTGCTGCTGCGACTGCTCGTGCTACTGCTACTACTACTACTACTACTACTTCTTACTACTACTACTACTACTACTACTACTAGTACTACTAGTACTACTAGTACTACTAGTACTACTACTACTACTACTGATACTACTACTACTACTACTACTACTACTACTACTACGACTACTACTACTACTACTACGACTACGACTACGACTACGACTACGACTACGACTACGACTACGACTACTACTCTTAGAATTGTTTGGTTCTTTACTGCCAATTGTGTCAAGTGTTATGCATGGCCAGAAAAGGGTCTGAAACAGTCTGAAACAGGTCTGAAACATCCACATCTCCAGGATCTCAGCCCGGGTCTAGCTTTTACCAATATTGTCCTAGTTTCAGTCTTCAAATTTCCATGTCTGTCTGTTTCACCTCTCGTCTCTTGTAGATGCCTTTCTGACTTGTTGCTTTTTCCCCTTCCACGCGACCTTTTGCCCCTTGGTCGCAAATGACAGCGCACTCGTATGTTCAAGGGGGCCCTCAATGCCGTGAAGGGGTCCGAATACATTACTTTGACTGCTACCACTACTGCAACGACTACTACTACTACTACTACTACCACTACTACCACTACGACCACTACTACTACTACTACTACTGCTGGTAGAATTGTTTGGTTCTTTGCTGGCAATAGCTTTGACCAATATTGTCTTAGTTTCAGTCTTCAAATTTCCATGTCTGTCTGTTTGGCCTCTTGCCTCTTGTAGATGCCTTTCTGACTTGTTGCTTTTTCCCCTTCCATGCTACCTTTTGCCCCTTGGCCGCAAATGACAGCGTAGTCGTATGCTCCAGGGGGCCCGCAATGCCGTCCAGGGGTCAGAAAACATTACTGCGAATGCTACTTGTACTGTTACTACTACTACTACTACTACTACTACTAGTAGTACTACTACTACTGCTGGTAGAATTGTTTGGTTCTTTGCTGGCAATAGCTTTGACCAATATTGTCTTAGTTTCAGTCTTCAAATTTCCATGAGTGTCTGTTTGACCTCTTGCCTCTTGTAGGTGCCTTTTCTGACTTGTTGCTTTTTCCCCTTCCATGCTACCTTTTGCCCCTTGGCCGCAAGTGATAGCGTACTAGTATGTTCCAGGGGGCCCGCATGCCTTCAAGGGGTCAGAAAACATTACAGCTACTGCAAATACCACTACTACTATGCAAATACCACTACTACTACCACTACTACCACTACTACTACTACTACTACGACTACTACGACTACTACGACTACTACTACTACTACGACTACTACTCTTAGAATTGTTTGGTTCTTTACTGCCAATTGTGTCAAGTGTTGTGCATGGCCAGAAAAGGGTCTGAAACAGTCTGAAACAGGTCTGAAACATCCACATCTCCAGGATCTCAGCCCGGGTCTAGCTTTTACCAATATTGTCCTAGTTTCAGTCTTCAAATTTCCATGTCTGTCTGTTTGACCTCTTGCCTCTTGTAGATGCCTTTCTGACTTGTTGCTTTTTCCCCTTCCATGCGACCTTTTGCCCCTTGGTCGCAAATGACAGCGCACTCGTATGTTCAAGGGGGCCCTCAATGCCGTGAAGGGGTCCGAATACATTACTTCGACTGCTACCACTACTGCAACGACTACTACTACTACTACTACTACAACCACTACTACTACTACTACTACTACTTCTACTACTACTACTACTACTACGACTACTACTGGTAGAATTGTTACTACGAAGCTATGGCATTTCGGTGGATGAGTGGTCTGATCAACCACTGGTACCTGCTTGAACTGTTGAATAAGCTTTTCTTCTCAGGTTGTTGAGGTATATTCCGACAGGTTGGATTTTCGATTTTCCTCACAGTGTGTGTCAATGAAATCGTGCTTGTGACTGTCGGTGCAACTGTCTTTCACATGCAAATAACGCTAGTACTAGTACTAGTAGTGGTAGTCGTAGTAGTAGTAGTAGTAGTAGAAGTACTAGTACTAGTACTAGTACTAGTACTAGTACTAGTAGTAGTAGTAGTAGTAGTAGTAGTAATTAGTAGTACTAGTAGTACTAGTAAAAGAAGAAGTAGTGGTCGTAGTAGAAGAAGTTAGTTTCTTGAGGTTGAAGTCCCTTAAATAAACAGTCTGAAACAGTCTGAAACAAGTCTGAAAATGCACTAATTATTCGAATGAGACAAGGTCGGGGGGGGGGGCCGACCGGTTTGCTTTGATGCCTTAAGAAAAAGTCCATGTGCTGCTACTGGGCTTTCTTTCATTCCTTTACTCCTGGCTTCTTTGCCCCCCTTCCACATGTTCCTTTGTCCCTTGGCCGAAAGAATCCAAACGAAAAAATTGGTTTGAAGGGGGTGCTGCTGAAGGGGCTGGGCTTTCTTTCATTCCTGGTGGATACTCTGATCTGGTCTTGCTTTGCCCATTTTGAGGTATAGCCGTGTCGTCGAACGAGAGGAAAAAATATATAAGTCCGTTCTGCTGCTAGGGCGAGGTAGTGATGGTCCGAAGCAAGCGTGGTAGTAATCGTAATCATGTCGTAATCATGCACAATCGAGGCAAACATGGCCAACCATAATTGGGTATCCTTGGTAGCTTCATCATAAAACTCCTGCAAATTACGAGAATCAGTCATCAGCAACATAAGTTATACAAAGATCGCGCCACTCTTAATACACCCCCCTAATAAAAGAATGGTTCCAAAATTTCGACTTTTATATTTGGGGGGGTGGGAGGGGGGGGGTGGCCGTTATTAATATAGTGGGGTAGGGATTATACTATTTATCATAATAATGATATATTTCATCATGGTGATTCTACTATTATAAAAGCCCATATGCAACTATTTATCATGGTTATCATAGTGCAACTATTATCAAAATCTTCCGGCCCAAAGCCAGGTTGCAGCAACTCTGTGACGCGAGCTGCAGAACGTCGCTGTTCTTCCTCCCAGAGGCCAGATCTCAACGAATGTCATTGCCCCAGGCATCAAAACGTCGCCACAAAAAAATTAAATCGGACCAACTGCGATAGGAAAATCATGAAAATCCCGATGAAGAACTGAAATGTCATGAAAGTTCAGGGTGATTTGGGGCAAAACTATAACTCAAGTACCATTTTTGGGGGGTGAAAAGTCCTGCCACTCTAGGGCCTGGAGATGCCGATACTGCAAGCTCTGATCAACAATATGAATGTCATCGGGCTCAGTTTCTGGATCTTGGTGTGGGTTTCCTCAACCCGGCCAGATCATCCTCTTAAATCAATGATAGATCGTCTAAACATATCAGTCTAATCTTCAATTGGGGTCTGAAAAATAGGCGACCCCATTCCATTGACCTATGATCGTTTTCCTGAAATATCTCGAAATGGTCCCAGTTTTCGGAAAAAAACGTCTTCACCGCCCCGGCGCTTGGACGAACCGCGCGGGGCCTCCATCTGCTCGAACTGCAGCTCCCGCGGTCGCCAGCGCGACTGGCGATCCACGATTTTGCGAAGGCTGCGGCAGGAGCTCAAGGCCAAGCCTTCCTGGGCAGATTGGTGCCCCCAAGTGTTGTGAACGTTGCTTGGTAGTAGAAGAAGTAGTACTAGTTGTCGTACTAGGAGTAGTAGTACTAGTAGTGGCAGTGGTGGCCGTAGTAGTACTAGTAGTAGTAGTAGTAGTAGTAGTAGTAATAGTAATAGTAGTAGTACTAGTAGTACTAGTAGTACTAGTAGTACTAGTAGTACTAGTAGAAGAAGAAGTAGTGGTCGTAGTAGAAGAAGTCAGTTTCTTGAGGTTGAAGTCCTTTAAAAAAACACTCTGAAACAGTCTGAAACAAGTCTGAAAATGCACTAATTATTCGAATGAGACAAAGGGAGGGGGGCGCACCGGTTTGCTTTGATGCCTTAAGAAAAAGTCCGTGTGCTGCTACTGGATTTTCTTTCATTCCTTTACTCCTGGCTTCTTTGCCCCCCTTCCACACTAGCCTTTGTCCCTTGGCCGATAATACAAACGACAAAATTGGTTTGAAGGGGAAGAATGCTGCATCGAAGGGGCGTCATGGCAGTTGTGATCATCGTCACGAGGATGGTAGTCGTGTAATCAGCATTGTGCCAGTGGTGAAATCACAGTTTCAGTTGTGATCATCGTCAGAGTCTTTCAGGCTTTGCATGTGAAGGTTTGGGGGCATGTAAGGATTTTGTAAGAGTAGTAGCCATTGTCGTCGAACGAGAGAAAAAATATATAATTCGTTGTGCTGCTATGGCGAGGGTAGTGATGGTCGAAGCAAGCGTGGTAGTAATCGAAGCAGTCGTAGATCATGCCAATGCGAGGCAAACATGGCCAAACATAATATGGTATCTTGGTAGCTTCATCATAAGAACTCCTGCAAATTCAAAGAGAATCAGTCATCAGGCAACATAATTTATTACAACAGATAGCGCCACTCTGAAACACGCCCCTAATAAAAAGAATGCGTTCCCAAAATTTCGAATTTTATTATTAGGGGGGGGGGGGGGGGCCGTTTATTAATAGGGGGTAGGGATTACATCCTTTTGAAATCCTAGTTCTTGGTGAGAATATTGGTGCATGCTTCTTTGCTATTGAATCATTGCCGGTAATCAACAAATAAAATCATCTTATCAACCCCAGCAATTTCACCGCATATTTAATAACAAGAACAACACCGCAACTAAAATTATACCGACCGCATGTGTTTCCTATCAAGAACTTGCTTCGTATCTGCGGTTTCATCACATTTCAATATGCTGCAACTGTCTCCCCCTCAACAAAGGCGCAACAACCGAAGGCCGGGCTGCAGCGAACCAGGCCGCATAAGAAATCAGGAGCCTCAAGGTGCACAAAGCGCAGGCCGGGCGTAGTTTACTCACCAAGAGGATGTTGATGGTCAATACGTGCATGTATTTGCGTGTAAACACTGCACCTATATGAATTTATATATATATATATTATACATTAATATACATTATACATGCTGATAGATATTTTGTCTGCATGATGTACAGAACTCTATGATGTGTTCGTCAACCTTGTCTTAGTAACATTGGTTCTTCTGGAGCCCTGGCTCTATGGTTTTTGTGTTCAGAGCTCCATGTCAACGTGAATGTGCAACCGGAATTAGAATGGGGCACGCAGCTTGTCGACACAATGACAGTAATACAATGTGCATTTACAATTGATATTCAAAAGAATGATATTGCAAATATCATTACTGATTTTGTTGAATGATGGTGATGATAATGAGGATTCTGGTGGTGGCGGCAAAAAAATGACGGTGACATATAGCAAAACCATGTCAAATTCCTATGGCCTGGCAGCACACTTCGACCCCAGTCGACTGAGTGGCATCTGTGGCACTGTCCAGTGTTTGCGCGCAGCAAATGCCATGGCCAGGGCAAAAATCAAGGTACCTAACGAAGGGATGTTGATGGGGGGAACATTTCAGGTACATTCAGGCATCAGGAATCCAGGGATTAGAAAACTGAATCAAACTATTCATTTACTTGTATTTATGTATACATACAAATCTATTTCCATCGGACTACGCGATCTTTCCACTAAGATCCACTAGGTGGGGTTGCACACCAAAACCGCCACGGTTTTTCAAAAAGCGGAGGGTACCTAACTCGGATTTGCCTGGAGTTTACTTTCTAGGCTGCCGGCCTGTCCAGGATAATCACTACTGGTTGGTGGTGTTAACCATCTTGAAAAATATGAAGGTCAATGGGAAGGATTATCCCATATATTATGGAACATAAGAAATGTTTGAAACCATGAAACCACCAACCAGGCTAGTATATAATATATATAATTCTGACTCCGATGAATATGCCCATAACGCATTACAACATTCCACTGTAAGGGCCAAATTTCAAGGCGAAGATCCATGGCCAACAGTTGCCTTTAGGTACCTTTGAGAAGAGGGGCGATTGACCTGAGCTAACCAATCCCCAAGCAAATGCTCGTCCTCTCAACCAATCATCCCTTATGCATGGTTGAAACACACTAAACACTTGAAATCCCCAACCAGAAATTACTTTAATTCCAAAAAGTCACACATGAGATCAAAATAGATCAAATATTATAAGGCATTGTGTTGGGATAATCCCCGTACTATCGTCTTTGGTGACGCCGTTGTGAAGTCATTATATTAAAGAAAAACCACAAGAAACATTAAGACACACATGTCCAGGATAGTAGCTCGATGATACGTTGCCCATGACTGGGGGCTGCCATTGCGCAGAAATCTCACCTGGCACCGATGGAAAATATACGGCAAAATATTTTCCAAGCGGCTACATGTCCCACGCAGCACTGCATCGCTGAAGTCAACTAAGACCTGTCCGAGGCGATTAAGGTCCCAGAGGACTGGTCCCAGTTATGGGTCATATTTTAAGGCCTGAAAATGACCAGTGTTTGTCATATTTAGATAATCATTTGGACCTCTAAACATGGCTGAAACATCCAATGTTAGAATCATGGCTAATTATGCGGGTTCCGGGGCGTTGGATTTTTTCAGCGATCACTGTCCAGAACATAAACTTCCGAAGACCTTTGGTGGTCCAGGACCTCTTTAAATTTGGCCTACATCACAAGTGGGGAATTGTGGCAGTTTGACGAAATTCGATACTAGAAACGGTTTCAAAACATCACCCTGCTAGTTGATTAAGACCTAAAATGTTGTCATTGATCCTAACAAAACCCTATTCTCTCAGGTCTACCAAATTCTACCAATCACAAGAACAATAGAAACAATAAAAATTTGCACACATCACAGTGAAATAGGAACCTGATAATGGTAAATAAAAAATGATTTATTGTAACATCATCGCAGTGGATCGGCACTGTCTCCTCGACAGGTCTGCGCCAACATCCTAGCTCTGCCTCCGCATTCTTGGATTTTGAAGCCACGATAAGCAATGCCTGATGGAGCCATGGCCATGGTTAGTTTCGTGGTCATTGTAGCTGGGTATATATATAATATATATACATATACACACCGTGTAGTAATACCTGCATCTTCAAATTCCAATGTATTAAATTATTGCCTTTTCAGGAATTACTGCTGGTGACATGTTTCTCTGCCTGTGAGCAAATTTTGTGTTTTTTTTTTGCACGTGTTTGCCGGTACGTTGAAACGGCGAAAAAACCCAACGAAACAGCGAAAAAAACCCGACGAAACGGCGAAAAAAATCAAGAACCCAAAATGTGAAGACTGAAACGGCGAAAAAAACTGGAAACTGCGATATTTTAGGCAACCGGCAACAATTATTGTTGAATCGGATTTCGAGCGATAATTTTGCATAGGTGGATGATCCAGGTATGTTATAATCCAACTACCATGAGATGCATTGCAGCAAGCAGTGAAGTCATGTTTTCCAGCGCTCATCTAGGTACCATGCGCATCGGAAATGTTTCTAACATAGGTCTTGAAGGTCAATTTTGCGACAAACGTGAACATGCAAGCAACATGAAGAATGATTGAATAATGAAAATACCTCAGTCATCAAACATGGCTGGTTCCAAAGGATCTATCATTCACCAAACAGTGTGTCCACACTGAAGGGTTCTTACGGTAGTTGTACAGGCCGGTGCTTGATCAGGGTGCTCCAGCTGGGCCGCAGCATTTTTCTCCGTATAAAGTGGCTCTTGTGAAATGCTCGCTTGCATTTCGACTGCGCAGGCTCGCACAAAATGTGTGTCCACGTTCTGGGTTGATTCTGATCTGCGGCATTTTTCCTGTAAATTTCTGTATAAAATGGTTTTTCTGACATGTTGACGAGCATTTCGACTGCGCAGGCTCGCGCAAAATGTGTGTCCGCATTGTGGGCTGATTCTGCTGAGACCACTAAATGAAGATATTTTAGCTCCAGGCAATTACAGAAAGTATTTGCATATATTTGAACTTGCCATAACTTATGTTAAAATTTATTTGAATTTATTTGTTTTTTTTAACATATTTTCCGATATTGGCTGATGTATTTTATGAATAAACCAAATTTTCTGAATTTAGATTCTTGTTATTTAAACAATAAATCTACATTTTTGGTAGAAATTGATTAAAATATGCTTTAATAATTTTTTGTTTTTGGTTGATTTTATGAATTTTATGAATTGGCTTCCATATATTTTCACTTTGAATTCTGAATTTTCTGAGTTGTTGGTTTTCGGTAGTTTTTCTGAATTTTCTGTGTTTTTTTGCTTTTGATTGATTTTCTGAATTTTCCCATATGTTTCTGTTTTTTTCTGAATTTTTGGCTTTTGATGGAATTTCTGGATTTTCTGGATTGGTTTGTCTTTTGAATTTTAAATGGAATTCTGTTTTTTTTTTAATTATTTTTTGTCTTCGGGTGTTTTCTGATTTTTTTTTAGTTTTTGATGGATTTTCTATTTTTTCGTGTTTTCTGCTGATTTTTGATTTTTCTGAATGTTTGGTTTTTGGTTTGTTTTCTAAATTGGTTTCCTTTTAATTTTAATTAGAATTTTATGTTTTTGAATTTTTGGTTTTCGTGTGTTTTCTGATTTTTTGATTTTTTGTGTTTGATTGATTTTCTGAATTTTCTGAATTAGAATTCTGAATTCTCAGAATTTTTGGTTTTCGGGTGTTTTTTCTGAATTTTCTGGTCTTTTTTGGTTGCATTTGTTTAAAAAAATGAATTTTGGTGTTTTTCCGATTTTTTTTGTTTTTTGCTGGGTTTTCTGATTTTTTTTGATTATGTTTTCTGTCATCTAAATTAAAAATTTGGATTTGTTAGCAGACCACCCAAAAGCAAGAAAATATGTTCGAACATGTATTTAGCTTATTTACAGATATTTACAGTTTTTTTTCCCCACCTGCCAGGTGAAGGCTGTTAGGTTTTATCAGAGCGCATGCCCGCCACTTCCTCCTCCTCCTCCGCCTCCACCTTCTCCTCCTCCTCCTCGACTAGCTGTCCTCCTCGCCCTCCTCCTCGCCTCCGCCTCTTCCACCTCCACTTCCGCCTTGCCAACCTTGCCAACTCGTCGCCAAGCTCTTCGCCAACTTCCCAGCTCAGTGCGCACTGCTGGACGTCAACCTGCGAGCTGCCCAGCTCAGTGCGCACTGCTGGACGTCAACCTGCGAGCTGCCCAGCTCAGTGTGCACCGCTGGACCTCAACCTGGGAGCTGCCCAGCGCAGTGTGCACCGCTGGACCTCAACCGAAGACCTGCCCAGCTCAGTGTGCACCGCTGGACCTCAACCGGGGACCTTCCCAGCTCAGTGTGCACCGCTGGACCTCAACGGCCAGATAGAATCCCAGAAGATATGTCAGATAGAATGCCAGAAGATATGCCAGATAGAATGCCAGAAGATTTGCCAGATAGAATGCCAGAAGATATGTCAGATAGAATGCCAAAAGATTTGCCAATATTAAAACGTATAAATGTCATGGTGGGGATCACTCGAAGTAAAGTAATTGGATAATTACAGAAATTTTCAGGCAATCATGTATATCTGACTACAATATCCTGTAACAAATTACACTTTAAATTTAGCCGAACTTAACGCGGAATAAGTTTGGACAATCAATTTAAATAAGATATTAATAAGATAATAGTAACTTATACCCTACTTACTACTTTTGATAAGCGCCTGACATTTATATATCTAACTTTAGTGGTCTCAGTAGCCCGCGGCATTTTACCTGTAAATTTCTGTATAAAGTGGCTCTTGTGAAATGTTGAAGTGCGTTTCGGCTGCCAAGGCTCGCACAAAGTGTGGGCCGCGGTTCTGGTCTGCGGCATTTTACCTGTAAATTTCCGTAAAAAAAAGTTTCTTGTGACATGTTGATGTGCATTTGGGCTGCGCAGGCTCGCACAAAGTGTGGTCCTAGGTCTTGGGATCGGTCCTCCTCCTCAACATCATCATGCTCAACATAGTCATCCTCAACATCATCATCTTCCTCCTCCTCAACATCATCATTCTCAACATCATCATCTTCCTCCTCCTTCACCTCGACCTCATCATCCTCAACATCATCATCCTCCACCTCATCTTCCGCAACATCGCCGTCCTCCACCTCATCTTCCGCAACATTCTCATCCTTTTCTTCATCCTCCTCAACATCATCATCCTCCACATAATCCTCCTGCACCTCATCATCCTAAATATCATCATCCTCAGCATCATCGTCCGCAACATCGTCATCACCATCATTCTCATCATCATCATCATCATCATCATCAACATTATCATACATTAGCCTCCCGCCCACCATACTGTTTGGGGTCTCTTGCCGGAAAATGTTTTCATGGAATGAACATCGTACAGGAGAAAATAGCGGAGAAATATCGAACTTTCCTTTGCCAGGTGAGATTAGAACGGTTCCACCTTGCACATATTACTTTGTAGTTCACAATCAACCAATGACAAACACATTTCCTCAACTACAATAACTTCTATATATAATTATATATATATTGATTTTGTTGATGCCGGGTGTCCATTGATTTGGGGCACACTATTGTGAATAGTCACTTGCTGAATAGGTTGCGCCTTTATCAGCTTCGGGCACCCCTCAAATTTGGCGAATCGAAATTGGTTTCCATGACTTTCATGGCCATAAATTGAGGTATCCTATGCCCATATCATCTTGTTCGCTAATATACATATACCCGATATATACCATTATTATTGTTGCTGCTCAACCATCATATATTGTTGGTCTTGGTTAAATCCCAGTTCTTGTTGGTGTTTTACCACTAGTTCTTGTTGGTGCCACCGAGGGCTCCCACCAGCGGCAGTCCGGTGGGGATAGCAGCAGCTGCGGCTGCTAAGTGCACCTGGCATCACCCCTCAATCATTCTGGTCATTAGAGGAAACCCAAAATAGAGAACGAAGAGTGGGAAAACTATGTAAAACTGGAACAAACTGGAAATACGTACGACATATCCATCAAACGAACCTCGGAAACACTGAAATCGGCATCTGGAGATTCCAATCATCAGCCAAAACTGGCGATCACAGATGTAAATCATCTGTCTATATCAGGAAAGCAAAGACCAGCCCTAGCTCAGTAGGGTCTAAATCAGCCATGTTTTTTCAGGGAACAAAAAATATAAGGGCTTTAGCATTCCCGGATTCCCCGAAAGTCAGACACAACATGTTGTCTGAGGAATAAAACATGCTTGATGATCAAGTGATCAAGTGCAGCGAACGCATTCCAGTGATCCAGTGCCAAGTGATCCAAGTGCCAAGATCACTTGACTCTTCCTGCTGGCACTGGGGCATTTTGGCATTCTTCCAACAAATGTTCTACGGCCAATTAAAAAAAAACTTTTCAGAATTTCAGGCGATTCACTCTTAGCCAACCACCATCCCAGACAGGGAACATTCGGATAAAACAAATCCAAACATGGGACAAAAACATGGTCGAGTCCTCATTTTTGGGCTTGAACCATCTTCAACATATCTTCAACTATGTGGCAACCGTATCAAAACCATATCAAACACCCGACTCAAGGGTGCAGTTCTGTTTGCTAAGCTCCATCGTTTCCATCCCGCCCCGCCTGTCCCGAACGACTTGCCACTTCCACTGCAAGCAGCACCAGCAGCGAGATCAGCAAACCGCCAGAAGAGTCCAAGAACTCTGTCACCGACAGCGCCATGGCTTTGATGGGGCTGGGCAAATTATCAACAAAACTAAACAATCACATAACCTGAAATGAGGCTGGGGATAGCTACCCCCAGACAGCCATCATCCGACGTTGCAGTGAGGCTCACAGATATACCTATAGGTCGCTGGGTTCATAAACCAATCTACAGCTGGTCTCGATTTTCCATGACCTGTTGACCAACTCAGAGACATACGCCATATCCCACGGAGATTCAATTGCGACATGGTTGTGTCTGAAAATGGGGTATGGCAATTCTCATGAAAAATGTCTTGATTAACTGAGGCAATAACCTTGGAATTTCCGGGGTACCCTTTTTTGGGAAAACCCCATGTGTCTGTGCTGTGAAGAAATATGCTGTATCTCATTTTGGTGTGTTTCTTGCCATCCATGTCCCATACCATCCATGGTGCATTTTCCCAGCTGCCGATAACATTCCAGTTTTCGATGTCCTCCGCAGTTTTGACTTGGGAGTACCATCAGTTCTTGAAATAATAACTATCAGCCCGAATCACAAGCGCGGGAATCAACTACAATGTAGACCCCCCCAGATATAACTTAAGTTGTAACAGGTTTAACATAAGTTATAAGTATGGTCAACTTATGTTATAAGTATTGTAACTCATGTTGAACTTATATCTTTTTTAGGGATTTAAACCATGACTTATAACTTTTTTGTGGAAAGATAGAAAAGTGTTAAAAAAGTTAATTAACAAAGTTAACTTTTTTTTGGCATCTATCAACAAGTAGATTTTTTGGGATGTATTCTGATATGATCGGTGATTTTGGTTCAAAAGCTGCCCTATCTTTTAGTTTTGCGTTCAGTGCTCCTTTTGGAGCCTTTTTGCGCTGTGGCAATGGCATTGAATTTGCAGGCTGCAGCGGAACCTGCAAGAGCTCAGATGCAGGAATGGGGAAGGTTCCCGATGTTTTTAACAGAAGAGCTCTGGAGGAGAAGCCATGCTGTAAAAGGAAAACAGGAAGTGGCTTGGGTCTGGGTCAGTTCCTCTGGGTCTGGATCTGGTTCTAAACCTTGAAAACGGGATGTGTTTTTTTGTGTCTCGCAGGGAAATGAAAAAACGCGCATGTGTTTTTTTACTGGAGAAAAAAAAACGCGGATGTGTTTTTCGAATCGAAACCGAAAACGCGTATGTGTCTCGAATTTAAAATCAAAAACGCGTATGTGTTTTTGGACGGGAGAAAAAAACGCGGATGTGTTTTGGAGGTCGGATTAAAAAACGCGTATGTGTTTTTTTCAGATAAAGAAACAAAACCGTGTATGTTTTTTCCCACACGGTTATATGTGATTCTTGCTTGGTTACCAGTGTTGGCTGTGGAGTTTCTGGCTCTCAGTATAGCTGTTGTGCGTTGCGCTGTCTCTTCGGGCTATTGCAAATGGATTCCTCATCTCTTCCGCCAAGTGAGACTGTGGAAGATAGCCAAATAGTTACCGCCTCCGACGGGTTCGTACCTGCAGACATGCAACATGAAAAAAATGCTATCAAAACCCGCTTCCGGACAATTCGCCTAGCAAAACAGTCAAATAATGAGCTCCTCACATCAATACCACAATGTGTATGGAAAAAACTTAACAAAGTTATAAAAAAGTTGCAACTTAACTTAAAAATCCTATAACTAAAGTTATGTTAACTTATTTATAACTTTCCCAACTCAATTTATAAATAACATAACTTAGTTATAACTAAAGAGTCTACATTGTATCAAACCTATCACCAACTATCAAAACTACCATCATCAACCATCATCCAGTCAAAACAATCACCAATTATCTCATCCACAAGGACAAGACTGTAAATAACCAGTTGGTGCTCATAGACCATGCCAACGTGCTGGTGCTGGTCCTGTGGGGCTGAACACTGGTTTCTTGAACAAACTCCGTTGGGATCTAGATGAAAAGATTGCTATGACTCCAGACTGCAAATCTGGACCAAATTGTTCCATGTATCCAGATTCATCTATGTGGATCTATGTGGTAATTTACTTCGATAGCTATTTTTCAATTACCAAAGGATACATAGCAAGGATCTGCTTGCTGAAAAGCCGGCTGTTGCCGCAAACATCGTGAGAATTGTTCACGCCGAAAGGACTCACATCAGCCGATTCCCTGCATTTTCTAGGGAAACTGATCACCAATGCAAGATGGTGTCTCATAGCCAAGTTGGTTTATATGTTGTATTTCACAGGGGGTTAGTATACGTGCTATGTTTAAACCATGGTATAGGGTCCATGGATGTCGTGATTTTTTTAACAATGCAATGGGTATTTAAATCCCTATATTATATATATATACCTGGAAGTCCAGGACCTCAAAAAGAACTTCCTCATGAAAATCCGTAGAAAGTGAGTCAAACAAGTACGTCCATATAAAATCCTCATGATGTACCTTTGAGGATTAGACTTAAAAAGGGGCGTTGCTATAAACATCCTGCTGATGTAGCTTTTGATGTCTTAGACCTAAAAAGGAATGTTGTTAAATAAACATCCTGTTGATGTATCTTTTGAGGTCCTAGTCCGAAAAGGAACATTGCTATATAATATCCTTAATCGTGAGAAATCGTGAGTTTTCGTGAGTAGGACCTCAAAAAATATGTCCCCAAGGCCCTGAAAGGTACGTAAAGGACCTACAAGGTACGTATAGCGGCTCTAAATCGTGAGTGAATCGCAAGTGAACATTGCTATAAACCCTCGGCCGTAGAACCCGTGACATTGCTATAAAACCTCGGCATTGCTATGGTTTCTTGTCTTGGCGATGATCCTTTTTTGTGCCACTTTCGGCAAGGACTCAAAAAGTACAGCCTTAGGACTTTTTGCGTATACTTAAAATATCTCATAATGTACTTGTGATATGTGTATATATAATATATCATACAGTTAAATAAATAAATATATATATATATACAATCCAACTAACTGGATTTGCCCACAAACAGGGGATAGCTGGTAGGGATCCTATCGATACCCCAAAGTGCGAAACAGTCTTGGGAATCACCAGCTTGAAATTTTGTATAATGTTGGGAAGCATGATTTATGGTGAATCACATATGTAATTGTCGAAAAACAACGGAGATTGATGATGATTGGTAAGCTATCGATATGCTTCGGATTTTGTTAACTTACTATATATCATGATCATGATTCAATCCATAAACTCGGTGCCTGGTCCTTTTCTAAAAAAACCTCACAGCTAGCTTGCGACAGATTCACCCGGCCTCTGACAAGGTGTCAAGCTCCGCAGCCTCAGGATTGGCTTATCATGATCCCCTATAACCAGCTAGTATAATCCCCTACAGTTATGACCCTTTACCAGTTACAAGTACTTATAACATCTTATAACCCCATTTATTGACTCTATAATCCCATTTATAACCACTTATAACAAATAAATGCCCATAAGTGTATGACCCATCAACCAGGGTATGAAACAAGTTATGTTTGTTGGTCTGAAACCCATGATTTTCCGTACTTTGGAGCCACACGGGTACCACAAACAAATCGGATTGATGGCTGGGCTTATTAGCAACAACAATTGTGAATCCCATTCATTTAGGAAAAACAATGACAAACATGCACGATTTATTTAAGTATCAAAGACATGTCAAGTTTGGGTCGATAAATGTCTATAATCAATACACAATTCCGATAGTTCGTTATTGTTTTTCCACCGAAAGATGTGGATCCCAAATCATAGATGCCGAAAAGTGGGAGCCCTAGAAATATATGAAGTACTGTAAGTGATTCATAGAACCAACATCCTGGAAACAAAATTGTCTATCGTTTTTGGGGTTGTTGTGGGTATAATTTCTATGGTTGGAGATATATCGAACGAGTTAATGGGGGAAAGGGGGCACCACGACAAAACCAAGATTAACACTTCTTCCGAAAACCAAAAAAAACTACATCTGGTGGGGCCACACCATTTTCTTTGCCCATGTTTAATATTGTCTATCCGTCGCCCGTGCTCCCTAATTCTGGTCCCCCAACCAGCATCACACCAGCAACGGTCATGATGGCAGTCTGATTGGACCCGACCTCAGCGCAGAATCAGAATCATTTATCTAATATACCCTCCGGCAATCGAACATAACAATTGATAATTGTCATTTATAGACCTATAATTTATAGATGATTTTCCCATTAAAACCTACATTTATAGGGGGTTTTCAATTGCCAAATTTGATTCCCATATATCATATATTCCCAGAGGGTATCTCTGTGGTTTCATTGCCACTTTTGTTGATGATTCTTTTGTGCAAGTGCCGGGACAAGGGGGTGGTGGGATGATTTTCTGCACCTGGATTCTGTTGGCCCGAGGTGTCCCCAAAATTGGGCAAAATAAGTGAGAAAATTGCATGTATGTCCAAACTTGTTCAAGGAGCAAGCATGATTTCGCATAAGTTTACACTTCCATCTCTTTCGAGATTGCGACAGCCACTGAGTGAATAGGACTTCCCCTGCGGCACCATGCTCTGAAACTTCAGTCAAGGGGATATTTTCCGAGGTACCTCCCCTCTTTGTTGTCATTCAAAAGGTATCGAAGGAAGTTTAGAAGTCAAACTTCCGTCCGGGTGGTTACTCGGACCTTAAATTACAGTCGAATGTGTATTTTGTATTGGCAGGGCCATGCGAATTGCAACTTCATATCTGCAAGGAATTTGATCAAATTCCTTTCCCCAAGTGTCTAAAACCTGGGTTTTGGGCAATTTTGTTTTGATATATGCATGCTTTGCTTATCACTGTGTTTTTTTTCTCGGAACGTTTTCATCCAAAGGCTTCTTTGTTCAACTGTCGTCCAGTAGCCTGAAACGAGTGTTTCTTCTGGACCCGCCGCCAATGCCACTACTGCGCATGTGTCCTAATTCCAGCCATATCCCATGACCTAACATGTAACATCTTTACTCGGTCAACACAAACAACTTAACGTAACATGTAACATCTGTCCTAACTGCGATGTAACATCTCTACTCTGTCAACACAAAGAACTTAACGTAACATAT